TTTTATGTTGGATTATTTTTCCTATGTGTAGAGCACTTCAGGGGATGCATTTCCCCCATACATGCCGAAGTGATATCTCTTCTCTATCTGCCGGAAAAACGAGGTTTTTCCTCGACAAATTTTGCTTTTTTATGCTACGCGCACCCGCTAAAAAATTGAAAGAAGGTACATTTTGCTGTCTACGCATTCATTTAGATGATGATAATGCTTAGATGTTAAAACAAAAGAGAAAAAAGGCCAATATCTCGACTTTTTAGCTATTTTAAGTATTTTTTTGGTATTTTTATGGACTTCTTAATATTAACACCAAAAATACACGTAAAATAGCTAAAAAATCGAGATATTGGCCTTTTTTCTCTTTTGTTTTAACATCTAAGCATTATCATCATCTAAATGAATGCGTAGACAGCAAAATGTACCTTCTTTCAATTTTTTAGCGGGTGCGCGTAGCATAAAAAAGCAAAATTTGTCGAGGGAAAACCTCGTTTTTCCGGCAGATAGAGAAGAGATATCACTTCGGCATGTATGGGGGAAATGCATCCCCTGAAGTGCTCTACACATAGGAAAAATAATCCAACATAAAAGTTTCTTCGTTTCGGAGATATTTAGAAAAAAGTGGTAAAAAACCCGGTGAATTTTTTACCTAGAGGTTCACAAAAGATCATTTTTGACCAACAAGGAGTAATCTAAAATACTCACAATGTTTTACAAAGTAGTAGGCAATTTCAATAGCTATCATTTGAGCCTAATTTAAGGAAAATCCGTGGAAAATTGAGCGAGATATGAGCACATAAGTGCGGCAAAGTGGGTGAAAATAGTGGAAAATGGAAAATAGGCTCTAAAAGGAAAACTTGAGGGTCTAGGGAAAAAAGGAAGGTACCGTTGAAAAGCTGATGACTCAAGGAATCAGAAAATCCACACTTCAAAAAAAGGGCAGAAAAAAGTGTCATTTTTGTTGCCTAGTGATATCGACAATCATATAATTCAAATATTTCTCCACCAAATGGCACGATGAGATTCTTGGCTGATGTCTGGTGGTCCGTAGAAGTTACTCTGGGTGCATGAGATGAAATTTTATGATTATTTGATGTGACAATAAAATTACGGGAGTGGGTATATTTTGGATGGAAATACAAACCCATGCTTTTTGATTGTACATATTTATTTTGATAAATTGCTTAATTGACAAAACAACAATATAGACATTTGCGCCAATACGTTTCTTAATTTCGTTATCAGAAATGTTAAGAAAATGATCCCCTTTTTCTTACATCAACAATATTGCGACGATGGCTTCTCAAAATATCGCTGACCTTATTATCCTAGAAGGCAAGGCAATGAAAAAAACCTCCGCACACAAGAACTTCTTTCAGAAGTAGAGAGCTCATTGTGATTAACTGGAAAAAGGTTTATATCGTGGCTTCCTTCCTCTCTCACCCTTCCATCAAACCCCTGAGACGGTCATCTCTGGTTGTGGCCTCTTTTTTCGCGTATATTGTCTGACATAAAGGTTTGCGAGCTGCGCGAGGACGCACAAAAAGGCTTCTCTTTGACATTTATGTTTCAAATTCAGCGAACTACTCAACAGTGATTGCATGTTCCTTGGAGCATCGTGAAAGAAGCGATAAAAATTTGCCCCTTCGAGATTCCTCCCGGATGATTGAATGTTATCAATTTTCGCACACTGTCGCAAAGACGCCAAGACACATTTTACGATGATTTTCTTATACTTACCTCTCAGGTTTCTTTTTTTCTTACATCTCCACGCCATTATGTGATCGTTCTGCTCCAAAAAATTTAATGCATCTTCTTTTCTGCCCAAAACACTGTGCTCTTGATGGCTGCAAGAAATGGTCTCTCTGACTTTCTACCAAAGCATCAGCGCTCGAAAACTCAGTCAAATTTACAGCGCGGCACGGTCTTTTGAGCACAGACATCGCGAACGCACAAGAAGGGTGTTGAATTTCAGTGTGTTTAATAAACACGTCAATTAGGTCTCATCTGTGATATTGGGAGGAAACTTGAGACACGAAATCTCAGCTTTAAAGGTTAAGAACCTCTTTGCGATTTTTTTTCTGCATAGATTGGTGGAAAATTGACTCCCGAGCAACAGCTGAAAATTAAGTGATTGACATCTGGCCATCAAGGTGTGACGAACATTCTTATCAAAACTCACCTGGCATAACAGATGACGAGAGTGATGTTCACGCTCTTTGCCAATCTCCAACAAAACGCATGTCATGGCATTCTTGTGCTCAATGCACGGCTATATTGAAGGCTTTTCAGCCTCAATAATTATCAAATGGGCCCGTCTTGACCCATTTCTCTTCCTTTTCATTGAAATGATAAAATGCCGCTGACTATTGTTAGAGACAATTTCTCAATAATCACTGTGACATGTGAAGAAATGATCATTTCTTCCAATCAACTCTAATTAGTCTCTGTCAACATTCTGGCAACGCGGATTGATTTATTGTGTATGCCTCGCAAAGAGGCATAGTGAGGTGAAAATTGGGATTATATGCTCTTGCAGGATTGCAGAATTATTTACATATTTTTGATTTTCAGGCTTCATAGTGTATTGTAATACATTTTCGTTTATGTTCTTTCCATATCAATCTTGACGCGGAAGCAATTGGCAAGATTTTAGCCTCAGTGGTTTGGTCATCACCCACATAAATAGGGATTTGCAGTTTGCACTTTCGCGGCTACCTCGGCGAAGCTGCGAGCGCATAGTGATTATGAAGATCTCTGTGCTGAAAATGTGCACAGAGATTGTTCAGTAAAGTTGTGTCTTTATTTCAGCTGGTGTGACATCTTGCGAAGTGGTACAAGTTAGTTGGTTTGGGGCCGTTAATAAGATTGCCTTATGAAGATATTAAAAGTGTCTTTGCACGGCAAACGGGAGACCAACAATTGCGCATGGGACGTATAAAAGAGCCTTACGAGTGTGGATGAAAAAAGAACTACCGCACAAGACATTTTATTCCAGCGTGAATCGATAATTTGTTTCATAATTTCAATCGCATTCTTTGCCTCGCCATATAAATATTGTATGTAATTTGTGCTGAGGTGACCATTTGATTAAACCGTTGGAGGGCTCCCGCACTGTGTTTGCTCTCTTGCACTTCTTTTATACACACAGACAGAAAATGTTCCAACTCTTAATTCTCAAATGTTATGCACTTCTCTAAATTCTCTGACACATTCTCACTTCTTCTGGCCACACGAACAGAGTTGATATGCCACACTTTGCTATAGATGGAAAAAGCTATACTCAATAAATTGTTCTAACTTCAGATGATATTGCTTCACACTTTATGTGATGGGCAAAAATTGTGTAGACTAATGAAAGTTTATTCTTACGGAAATTGTAATTTACGCACGAATAATTCAACTTTGGATAGGATTACGATATTTACTGCGCATAGTGTAGCTTCCATGTCGAATAGGAGGTTATAATGAATGACATCTGGTTTAATCCGTAGAATATTAATGGAAAATAATACATAATCAGCTTGCTTTTTGTTTGACAAGAATTTTACTTTGCAATAAAGTCATAAACTTAAACTTGGTAAGATTTGTAATACTTGCTATTTGCGAAAAAATATATGAGAAACGTAAATTTCTTATAGCAGACATCAATATAGTATATATTTAACAGAATATATAATAAAATAAAAAGGGGAAAAAATCAAAATTTTGAATGAAATGAACAAAATAAAAAGTCTAGATTACAGAGATAGAAATCGAAAATCAGTGAGTTGCGCTTTTGTTGTGGTATCTTGTCACTAACTTGAAGAAAAGATCACCTCAGCGCATCTCAGCTCTGGTCACTGGCACTTGTGTGTCTTACCACCGGTTTCTGTTTTCCATCCGTGCGCCGGTCTTTTATGACTATTGACACAATTGCAATTAGCAGATTGTGGATGGAAGGGTATATTGGTTATTTACAAGACCTCCAACAGTTGATTAGAGTGTTCCTGAACATGTGTATTTTTCTGCCGCTGCCACGCACGGAATGCCCAAAAATCTAGTTCAAATAAGGCACAGTGAAGTGGTCAAATATTAGATGAACGTGGTTTTTTCTGTTGCAACCAAAGAGACATCTTACCATCGGGCGAGATGGTTTTCACCTCTTCATTTGCATATGTTGGGACTAAAGAGATGACTTCGCATCCAAATATTGCCTGTGCACTTGAAAGGGTGATCCGCGTGAATTGATCGCGATGTCTTTTTTTTGCAAAGCGCGATCGCTCACCTTAAGACCTCGTGAGACTGTGTTGGCCTGCGAGATGTCTATTGAGCAATTTCTCTTATGGGACTTTTCTTTCTTTTGCACACGAAGCCAACCAGCCAAAGCCACTGATCTTGTTCCGCGCAAACTATCTAACAAAGTTAAATACATTGATCATTCTCTTCTCTGGGTCTTCACAAAGACATGGGAAGGTGTATGGCGTCTCCTGTGGGATGATTACTCAAGTGACAGGATGACAAGGAGCAGAGATGATGTCTAGATTAATGGGAATCTATTTAAGTGTTCTGTAAAACATGTAAAATAGTGGTTATTTTGCCTAAAATTCATCACAGACTCGCACTGTTCGAAAGTGAAGAAGTAAATGGCGAAAAAGAGATAAAAAGCCTCGATCTCACCACTACATAGTTACACTTTGGCTCTACCTGGGCGATGATCTCGCTCTCGCCGTGGCGGTTGTGCAGGTGAGAAACAAGGAGGAACAGAGCACATCGGCTGGCTGCGACGTGGTGAAGGAGGAAAGGTAGCTCAGCGACTCGGAGCACTTCTCAAAACTTCTTTTAGTTTCCTAAATGTTTCGAGCGCGTTGTGACGTACGTGAGAACGGTGCTTGTGTGTTTCTGGTCCCTTCAAAAAAGACCATTCTTAATTCAAGTGCACATCCTTGCTTGTCTCACATCCGCCACATCATCTGGACCAGTCTGGGCCGCTGACAAATTGAGTAAATTGAGTGACACAGGCTGTTTTGTCAATTCTAATGGGCTTTCTTTGTGTGTTACCCTGCGCTTATACTTCGTCTAGGCTCTGTGCAAACTTGTGAGGCGAAATTATGGGATTTATGGGCATTTTTGTATTTTATGGGGGGAGGAAAAAGAGTCCCGCGATCGTCACTGGTGGACATGTTATAAGTGTGTGCAGAAAATAAAGAATTTAGTTGGAATGCCATTTGCTCACGGAATGGCCTCAGTGTTGGTTTGTGGTTCGATAAATCTCTGAGGCTTGTACTCAAGAAGAGTTGCTGAAATGGTGGCTCAAAGTGCATAGCCCCAAATCACACATACAGGGAGACAAAGGGAAAGAGAGATTGAGAGCCGGGGAGGACGTTGGCAACAATAATAATATGCAGGACAAGTGAACCACTAAATTACTCAACAGGTCCCCAACATCTTCGCCAGCACTGGCAAAAGAGTGCTTCTCTTCTTTCTCTCTTCCATCGCATCTTCTTTCGTGTTCAATTTCTGCTCTTTTTAAATATAACCAACACACTATATTTATACAAAGAGCACCTAAAGAGAAGAGCGCAGACAAGAGAAGCACAGAACCATATCTGGTTAGTGAAGGAAAGAGAGGGAGAGATGCGTTGCGAAAACCAGAAAAGTATTACGCCTCTAAAACGGAAATCAATTCTAAGGTTCAATGCTCCAATAATCTCCCACTTACCGAACCACCAAACATCAAATGAAATTTGTAGAAATGAACAGAAACCACGTCACAAGCTAGAGCACATAAGTTGTGCGCACGAGGCAGATCATAAAAATAATCACCCAGCGAATTGAGGACTGTACAATTATCCAGAACAAAGAGGCGAATGCCAGAGATGCTGTGCAGAGATGCACAGAAACACTTTCAGCGAAGGCTTCACACATGGGCTTCAATTAATCTGGGGCTGTGGATACTTGTCTCTACATTTGCACTCTTAATGCGCGCGATCGCGGATAATCAACTCTGGAGTTGACTGTGAACATCATATATAGCATATGGCACCGCGCGGCCAGTGTGGAAGATGGCTTTACACAAATCGACAAACTAATTTATGCAAAAACTCAATCCCAAACATCTTAATTGGGTGACGCGGAGAATTTTATTAGCATTTATATTTCTTAATATACATTCACCATTTATCGTGAAGCGCTCAGGCAATCAATAAAATTCTAAACTTTACGCCCTGCGCACTTTTCTGCCTTCATTACAAGATTTCTCGCGAAATGATGATTATTGCAGAAAATGCGACTGACAAATGATATAGTGACATGAAATTTTATCATTAAGACATCATTAATCACAATTTAATGCCAAAGTTTCGACTCACAACTCGCACATGAGAGAAAAGAACATTAAAGACAAAATTCCACCATCGACACTGCAATTCAGAAACTAATTGTTTCACCTGAGATACACAACACGATGCACACATATCACTTTATTTGCCTTCATTTTCAATTTGACTACCAATCAAAGCCTCTTCTTTCACTTCACCTCTGAAATCTTCAAGAGTGCACGCAAAAGCTGTGATCATCAGATTGATGATCACAGATGGTCTATTTCTTGTCTCTTTTCTCTTTCGTAGATTTACTTTTGCGTTATCTTGTCGGCCACAGACAAAAACCATATTTGTTTTCTCACATATTACAAACCACCCTCAATAATACGAAAATATTACAATCACTTCCACCTACGATGATGGTATATCCTGAAGAGCCTTATTGGGCACTGCCACCAACATCTGGAATTTACGACGATGGAGAATATCGTGGTAAGACAAAAGCTTACTCAATATAATTATCATGAGTTCCATGACTCATACATACATACTAGGGAAATGCAGCCTTGATATTTGGAACAAGCCCCAAAAATATTGAGAAACTGTATTTCAAAACAATAATAATAGGAACATTTTTTAAAGAGAAAAGTTTCTTGATTGGCGTTACTTTTAAATTGTTTTATGAGTTCAAAGTGTGTTGTTATATACCTACACAAATTGGTTTTTGTTTTTAAAACAATCGAAATATCAAGTAAATGACAAGTAATTTACGCTTTAAAATAGGTTAAAATAAGAGAACAATATTTAGCAGTTTCCTAATTTTATTGAATTTTATGAGATTGAGAGAAGTTCAGAGTAACATTTTCCTTCTGCTATGTTCCTTAGGTCAGTATTCTGTTACACCATTAAAAATGTGACCATATTGGATTAACCGCAATATGCTGGTTTATCTGTAATCAATTACCTTTGTCCTCATTTTATTCCGAAGAGTTTTACTGCGTTTTTCGTTAATATTTCATGGATTTTACGGGTTTTACTAACTACAGAAGACATACCTTTTATGTATATTTTCTTTGAATCTGCAGAGAAATCTATTATAAGTCATTATTATTTAATACGATCCTCGGAGGCGTCTTATGTGAAGTTTTCATCATTTGCGCCAAATGATTTTCAGGTATTAGGTAGGGTTTTTTTGCATGTTGGAATTGCGTTGAGGTGGAATTATGACCAATAATAGGCAAGTGAATGTTTCCTCTTTTGACTTTTCATCACTGGCTTGTATCACAAAAGCGTCTATCCAGAGAGATGGAAAGATAACCTGTGCCAAAGAGCATGGTAAAGAAGAAGAGGACAAAAAGAATTCTACAGAAGTTCATCCTTGTTAGTTTCTTCGGCTACCGCTGACTTTATTTAGGCTGCATTTTATTAACCAACTTTTTTTTAACTTGTGCCTCTAATGTAGAATTATTTAACTGTGAACACGGCTGACTTTATCTGGACAACAATGTTGCATTTGCGGAGCAAATAAGAGAAGATGAAAAAGCTGACCAGACCCAGAAAGTTTTTGGTATAAATCACGTGTGGTTTTAAACTCGTTTTTTTTCAAATTTAATTGAACAGGACATGTCAAAAGTTCAAGTACCACAAATTGGTGCACTTTTCGCTCAGTTCTGCGGCTTTACTTACTTTGACGAGCTCTTCGAGGAAACACTGTCCATCATTTCGAAGATGAACGCTTCGTGCTCTGAAACATTGTATATTGAAATGAGTTGGAGTGCAAAGTGAGGGATTTTGATGAATTTTTCTCAATTAATAACGACTGATTGAGTCAATATTGAGTGTAGAGATGATGCTCAAGAGGTTACCTTTCAGAAAAGTCAATTTAGACATGGTAAAACTCATTTCTTGCTGTCCATAACGAGCTGTGTAGAGCTAAAAAAAAGCGAGAGAATGCCAAAATGATTCATATGAAGATGGCATGACTAAGAGAATAATTCAATATCGATGCGTATGCAGAAAATATTGTTACAAATTTCTTGTGTGTGTGTGTGATCTTGGCAAGAAGATGACTGCGAAAAAAGAGCTTAAACTAGAGATTAGCGTGTCTCTTACAGAGGACGATGGCAAGAAAGGCCAGAATTTGTCGTTGATATAGAAAGTAAGTTGGTATAGCAAAGGTTTTTTGAGCGTCTCAAAGACAAACAAAATCGAAAATCGCTCTCAGAAGAAAGGCAAATCTGCTATAATGTTTTCATATATTGTTTAATCACATTCATGTATTATAATGATTGTAATAAAAAAAGCAGAAGAATAACTAAGAATGACAAGCACTTACTAAAATTTTTCGCAATCACAATCACTTAAATCCGAAATATAATCATCGGTTTAGCCAGTTCAGTGCTCTACATCTGAATTACTGATCTAAGACTGGATTTGGAAACTCCATCTTTAGCTCAACATTTTCCATATTTCACAGTGAGGATCGTGTGCAGAAAGGTGGCTGAGAGGCGCGAGAATTTACCCACTCCTGCATGTCAGGGGAGGCGTATAGAAGTCCAAAGAATAATTTCAGAAGTCATAGCTCGAGGCTTATTGTGTCTGCTCAGATGAGTTTTTGTTTGTGCTTCGTGATGAATGACTGTGGCTGGCTCTCGTCAATAGCTTCTTTTGCTATTTTTAGAGCGTGGGACTGACAAATCTCCTTTGCATCTCTCTCTCTCTCTCTCTCTCTCTTCAATCATCCTTCGTCGCAAACGCCTTTCATCATGCTTAAGGTCCGATCGCAATCAGCTGCATCAATAGAAATGGTCGCATATTCTATAGGCTGACTTCTCTGAAGAACATTTTCTATTCATATTTTATTAAATTAGAGCTATTTAACAGATTGCAATAAGTTTGATCGGTTAAATCTAATAATGACACACCTTGTTGCAAATCAACCAGCCAAACATGTCTGCAAAAGCGCTTATAACAAACAAAAAATGGTTCGTTTTAAGTCTACCTTCAAATTTTTTAACTTTTAAACAAAAATACATGGGCGTAGCCAGGATTGTTGTAGCTACGCCCATGCAGAAGTAATTTTACTCAACGGAGGAACTTAAGGAGGTCTTAAGGCGAGACGAATCTATAAAATTTTCAAATCATCGAACTGAGCCCGTATACCTATTGGACACCTGTCTAGCTTTGATTAGTGTTGATATATTTTCACTTGATTGATTTGCATAAGATCAAGACTTGGAAAAATAATATTTTTGGCCATAATGTAGGATAAAAAATATATTTTGTGAAGAGTTGTCGAACACTGTGTAGAGTATGACACAATTGTAGATATTTTGTAGCAATTAATTGTTTATGTTTTTTTCATAGATAATTTCGGATTGTGTGTGTTACTCTTCATTAGAATTCCATGGTTATGGCTTTGGGACGATGTTAGGGGAGCGGCTGAAAGGCCCGAGAGCGAAAAGATCAAAGCAATTCTTTGATGGTTGAAACTAAAAGATATACTTTAAGCTTCACCACACGACATCGAAAATCGCGCTCATCACCACAAAGTCTCTAATGGTAAAATCTCTCTCTATCATTGCAGTGAACGTTGTGGAAGCTCTACAGGAATTCTGGCAGATGAAACAATCGCGTGGAGCTGAACTGAAGAACGGCGCCCTCGTCATCTACGAATCTGTACCATCCAACAGTCAACCCTATATTTGCTACGTCACTCTTCCTGGTGGCAGTTGCTTCGGGAGTTTTCAGGTATGATCCAAGCACACAGCCTTACAGAATTGGAGACAAACTCAACAGGTTCTCGTCATTGTCCACAGAATTGCCCTACAAAGGCCGAAGCGCGACGGAGTTCTGCCAAAATTGCCCTCATGAATTCCGTGTTCAATGAGCATCCCTCGCGGCGAATAAGTGATGACTTTATCGAGAAAGCGGTCAACGAGGCGAGAGCCTCCTTCAAAGGCGGCGATGGTGAGGGTACCGATGGACCCGACACAGGAATTGGAGCCTTTCGGTAAGACAAATTTTATTCGGCAAGCATTACTATCAAATGAAGCACTGAGAGAAAACAAAAAAAATAACAAATCTTTGAAAACATTAGTATTGATTATATTCTTCTCGGTCCTTAAAAATCGATGCTGCACAGATAATACATTGTTTTTTATTGGAGATCTAAAAACTTATCGAATTACCATCTAGGAGTAGTGTATCGAGTCTGGCATATTGGAGTTCAAAACAAACCCCCAAGACTGCGATCTTTACATACAATTTGCACACATCGTCATGTAATTCAGGTTGTTTGATCTCAAAAGAACTTTAGGTTCTCCGATCTCTGAATATTTTATGTTCTGAACCCGAAGTTTCCTCTCAGTGTTGACCTTGCCCTTGATTTACGTTCGCGAGCTTTAAAAGCACGTCCATTTGACAAAGAGAGCAATTGTACGCGGCGTGAGGCGGAAAAATTTGACTGAGGAATGTGTTGTTTGACTTCCCACACGCAGATTTATGCTGGAGGCGAACAAGGGGCGCACCATGCTTGAGTTCCAGGAGCTGATGACTGTGTTCCAGCTGCTGCATTGGAACGGCTCGCTGAAGGCGATGCGGGAGCGCCAGTGCTCGCGCCAGGAGGTCGTGGCACACTACTCAAACCGCGCCCTGGACGACGACATGCGCACCCAAATGGCTCTGGACTGGATAGCGCGCGAGCAGGAGAATCCGGGCGTACTGGGTCGGGAATTGGCTGTGGCCGAGAGAGAGTTAGAGACTGCCCGTTTGGCCGGCCGGGAGCTACGGTTTCCAAAGGAGAAGAAGGACATCCTGATGCTTGCTCACACGCAGCTTGGCGGCAGCAGCGTCATCAGCAGTTGAAGTAGCGCCTCCGTAAGTTTCCCTCTTCGCGGCACTCCGGCATTAGTTAGTCTTTTGTAACATAAATATCCAAGATGTTTTGTATCTTCTAAGTTATATCAATCGTTGATTGTAATCATCATAAGCTCAAGTTATATGTGATCCATAGATTGACAAACTCAACAAAAGTTCGCGCAAAATACCCAAAATTTCCGTTGTCTGAACTCTTGTACAGGTTTTATCTTTTGCAATATTAATCTTCGTTGCCTGAGGGTGAAGAAATCGCCTTGAAAATCAACTCATTAGTGGCTCTTTTTGTGACTAAAAAGCGCCTCAATCACGACTTTTCGGATAATAAAGACGCACGAAGAAAATATTCATATAGTCAGATAATCACAATTATCAATTATACCGATTGTTTTGTATGTGGCAAAGAAGATGAAGTCTCAGGAGAGGCAAACATGACAAAAAAGTTGACGATAGCATTTAGAAAGGCTCATGAAAGGCAATATAAGCTAATTTTTTTCTCCGCGGCGCGAAAGAATTATTCTTGTGTTATGAAGAAAATTGTCGTAATTTCTATAATTCTTAAGGTATTTTAGCGTCATCGTACTTACACATTTCACTGCCTCACTTTATCCATTAGTCAACAAACCCTTGTGAAATTCTCCCCATCAATAAACATACAAACTCATGCAAAAACGTGAAGAGAAAGCGTAAACATACATAAGATATTTTTATTGTATCATTAATGAATAATAAAATGTGATGACTTTTAATTTATGATTTTTTGAAGTAATGGAAAATTTTATTTTAATATAAGAATACTTTATGACTAAGCAGAAAATAAATTTAGAAAATATTTTTATATAATTCCCATCATACTTCAATTTTCTTTCATTGATAATAGCTTAGAGATAATAATAGTAATCTCACACGTTATGATGTTACTGCCAAGAAATGATTTCTATGTAATGTATTTCTTGTTCCATCCACACATTTTCTCTCTTTACTCTTTGTTTCTTGTGTGATCTTTTATATTTTGAAGACATTCGCGCAAGGAGGAATTTTTTTTTTTTAGAAAAGGACAAATGACAAGCGAATGATACAAAAATTTTTGGCCAAAAAATGCTTTAAATATTATTTAAATTTAATCCAAAATTATCTAATATTTAGGTAAAAGATGAGGAAAATGTTCGAAAAATGCGAGAAAATCATCGAATTTATATGTAGAAATTTACTTGTTGTGATTTTTGATGAATTTTTTCAACGCCACACTTTGAGTTACTTCTTCCACACTTTTCTGTATATGTATTTAAATTTCTTAGTGTAAATGTGCTTTAAATTTATGCTTGTTGCAACATGCTAAAGATTAAGAGAGTAAATTTAGCATTGTTTTCCTAGATATCAACTGATCGATTGAGATAGACTGTAAATAAACACTCTGAATTCTGTACACACGCATTCTATACATACACTACACACGCATACAAAATGCATACACACACACATATATAAATATATAATTTTTAATTGGATGATTATTGCATTATGAGAGACAATTTTTAAATAAAAATCATTTTGAAGTGAGAAAATTGATTTTTTTAATCAAATTCATCGCATGGTAGTGTTCAGGTATTTTATGCACACAAGGAGAATGCATCGGAAACTAAAGAGAGAGAGAGTGATAAACAGGATTCGAAAATGCAGAAACGCTCAAAGCTCGCGGCTGTTGTCATTAATATTCAAATACTTATTTAATTGGCTATGCGGCATCCTTTAACTATACATTATGACACTTATTGGCTGAGGTACATTCACGTGTTTTTCAATAATTCGGCTCATTAGATGGCAGAAATGGTTACAAATTTGCTGACCATTGATTTCGTCGCGAGACACAGCGTAAAGATAGCATAGAGTTGGCTAATAAGGGTGAACATGTCGTCTTCTCCTGTGAAGATCCTCGGTTGTAAATTATTTGCGGATAAAATGATTTGTGGATAATTTAATAAAAAAGGCAATAAGAAGTCGGTTAGTTTACACATCCTAGAACACATGAGAAATGAACGGCATAGTACAGTGTCTAATGACGATGGTGATGCTTTGTCATTACAAAGAAACCTCCAAAATTAAATAAGAACAAAGCTGCGGCTGAAGTTATATAACGCGGATATGCGACATAAATACGCCGTTAGTTGCGCCTCAGTTTTTGCTCCTTCTTATACTCTTATGGTGAGAGCACTAAAATGGGAATGGCCCTGAGAGAATCGTAAAACACTGATTGTGATTATGCTCTGCACTGCGTCATTTGCTGACGAATAGACGATCGATCTTGTCAGACTCGCGGTTTGGATTTTATGAAAATATTGTAGGTAAGATCAGAGAATATCCGCAGATTTATTCAGTGATTTTGTTTAATTATTCATTTGATCAATTATTTACTAATTAAATATGAGAGTCAATTACATATTACTCCGACAGATCAGTTCCATTTTCCCTTTTAAAATCGTGAAAATATAATTACAAAACTATGTCTTAATCATCTTAAATGTCATACAATCTCTATTTTAAGTTTCATAAAATTATTTCACTGTAAGTTTGAGTGCAGATTCGAATAAATAACATGAAGAAATTACTTGCAATTTAAGAAGTAGTTAACTATATTGCAAAACGTAAGGTGAATTACTGATTGGGATAGAAAAAAAAGATGAAAAGATCTCGGAGTCTTGAGAAATTCATGCCAAGAATTTTCTCTCTCCAGCAATTGTAGAATAATTAACCAGTCAGTGAGCTGTGGAAATTGATTTGTGGAGAGCCGGAGCGACTTCTTGGCTTGGGACATTCCAACCGGGGAAGACGAAGGAATTTTGTGGTGGAACCAATGCTGAACGCAGGTTCATGATGAGAAATAATGACAATTTTTGTCCCATTGCCCAGCGACATTTCGGTGATGTTTCGCGAAGGGAAAATGATCGCGCCGCTCAATCGCGCCGCGGCATCAAAATAAAAACATTAAGAAGAACATAACAATGAAAATAACAAGAGAAATGGAATGAGTTAAAAACGGGTGCCTTCTAATAATAAAATGAAATGTGTGATGCGCAGGACTGCGGATAGGAAGCATCCCTGTGTTCGTTGCGCGAGAGTGATGAAATGCTTTATTTCATGACCCTAGAGGAGCGCAAAGTATTCGCAGAGATTCGCGAACGCCCCCCACCTCACTCCATGGACACAATGTTACTGGGCCTTCAATCAGCTTACGATCTCCCCATGTCTCCTCCTGGCCGTAGCCAATTTCGCGTGTAAGCTGCATCTCATGCTCCAACAAAAAGGGCGCAAGCTAACAAGAGATGGGCAGCACAAAGCGAAGGCACAAAAATATAGAGAATTTCAAGTTTGGAAATGTCGCCGAAATTCAGAACTGCAATGGACTTTTAAATTGTCTCCATCTCTCTTTTATACATCTTGCATTATTCACAGGAATTCAAACCACCGCGCAACTTTCTTTGTCTCCAGTGGAGATGAGGAATTGAATGCTCTGAACCCCACGACTTTTTGTGCATCGCTCTCGACCCCGATCATTCTTTGACTCCATCCCGGGTGCAAGGAAAGTATGGAAAATTTGACGAATTCCGCCGGTCAAATACTTTGCTGTAGTTTAGTTCAACTAATTAGACTCAATTAACGTGTATCGGCGCCCTTTGAGAGCCAAATTGAGCTCAGTACCTTTTACGAAAAAAAAACTTTTTGTGCATTCGTCGCCAAATTGCAAGAAAATTGAGCACAAAGTTTTACAATAAGGATGATGAAACAGTTGTAGGGTCCAGAGAAAGAGTTAGAATATTGATAATTATCACCATTATGATAGGTTTTGTTAAAAAATTTAACCGGGAAGTTTGAACAGACCTAATTCCATCTTTATTTAAAAGACTGGGCAGAAGTATACCTTAAAAAAGGTGTAATCTGACAAAGTGTCTTTGTGTAGACATAAAAATTCCTTTATAGCCTCAATATCGGATGTGTATATATATGTCAAGATCACCAAATGGTTTCTAAATGGCTTTCCAAGTTTGACAAATTTAGTTCCGAGGAAAAATGCAATTTATGTAGTAATTTCAAGAGATCACAATTCAATTAAGCGATATAAGTATACGGAAGTTGAGGAAAATAGAGATATCAGCAAAAGATTACATACTATTGCATTTAATGCTGCCACTGGGAAGCTTAAAATTGTGTCGCCGCCTTTTGAAAGCGTTCAATGAAGATTGGCCATCGAATTGACTTCTAGAAGCTCTTCAACTCGCGCGTGCGTTGAGCCCAGAGAAACGGAAGAATTATCTTATGTGCGACAATTTAGCCAACGAGTCAGTTCGTCAGTTCTCTGGGTGAGTGACAAAAAGACATCGTCACGCGGGCTCCCATTTTGCTTACGAAGTCAGCGACATGGGCGCAGAAGAGGTCTTGCAGCTTTTGCAAGATTGCAATGAGGCTCACAGTTGGAAGAGAAGGAACGGAGATGCTAAAAAGTATTTAGCAAGAGATTTAATATTCATTCATCTTGTGGCCAAGAAAATATATGAAGGAGCAAATTGTCGGTGTGTATGATGAATAATAATTTATCATATGGGACTTTACGCATAATAACGCATCACATAAAATATCTATTCACCATCCATCCCCAAGTCAATCTCAATTCCAAACCAGCTACGTTATCAAGAATGCATAGCTTCTCGCCATCGATTCAATCTCTCCGGCACTTTTTTCTCGCGATCATTTCTCGAGGCTCTTTTGCCTTGTTGCTTCTGCACTGCGGCTCGGAAAATGCCACTGAAGATACTGTATAGTTGTCGAGGAAGTTCACACATAAGACAGAAAATCTCGTGAGCTTTTGTAGCAGAGATAATACATTCAAATTTGAGATCAAAGACACATTTTTATCAGTGTCTTTTTTGGTGATTGAAATTTCATTATTTTATTCTGTTCATCTCCCTAGGAAATTCCTTGGAGTCGATGTTAGTCTGTGCACGCTTCCTGGAGGATCTCATAAGTGATCGAGATGATCGTAAAAATCACATTCTTGACGATTGTCAATCGCGCGAAATGTATTCAACTTGACATTGGGTGTTCTGGAGCGATGGAGCCATCGCACTGTTTACTCTCCCATTATCACGGAATATCAATCAAGCCCAACTCCATGATCGTTCGAGTGCGCTGGGATTTCAATTGATTAAAATCGGTGAAGAGCGACTGAGGAAACATGTCATCCCGTGTTGTTGACCACATCTTTGGGCCATTTAAATGCTCCTCGATATCCGCGTGTCTGCGCGATTTTCCCATCGCATTTCATCTTGTTGCATCGAGTGACGCCAAAAAGGGGCTCTGGCTACTTTTGGTAGCCACTCTTGTGCCCTTTGTGAACAATTTCCTCAAATTCTCAACACCATCCATCATCCCGAATTCATCGCTGCTGTTTAATACGCTGCACAACATATTCGCCAAATTGGCCTCGCTCGCAAATTGTTGATCTGATCGCATGGGGACCGGACAACTCGTCACTTCCAAAAGAATCCCATAAAATCTCCCTCTAATCCCCCGCGTTCGTCCCTGTGTCATCTTGTTTCCAGATGTCAACAAAAACTCCCTTTTCACATGGACTCAGAAAAAAGCAACGTGATGACGAAATTTCAGCAAGAGGCAACACAACTTATAGACATGGTTGAATTTAATTGTATAAATTCCTCTTCTTTGGAAATTTCGGCCAACGTGAGGACATGCATGACCCTTGGCGAGGCTCAGATACTCTGTTCTGTGTGCACTGAGGTGCAGCGCACAAAACTGGACAATTGTGCTAATAAATCACTTGTTTGTTGGTGCGCCTGTCAACATCAAAATTCAATCCACACAGTCGAGCGTGTTTTCAATGCGAAAAATCTACACTGCACCTCGTTTTTTGTGCCCTTGCCCGCGTCCTCGGACACTCATGGGTCGCCGTGGGGCCTGATTTTGGGTACATCACGATTGATCAGGAAGTTACGCCGGAGATGGCTACTCGATGTTCTATTGAAGACAGATGGAGGCACACTGTAGATCATTAGAGGCATTTATGAACCCTTTCATGAAGACTGACGTATCATTTTCTTAGATACTCTTAACAGAAATAAAACAAAGACAAAACGACGAACTTAAAAGAATTTCAAAGACCTAAAAATACTTTTTGACAATATAGTATAAGGGAAAAAATTTAAATAAATGTTCTAAAATAAAATCACACATCAGCATGATGGCTCAACAATTTCATAAAATTTGCTTTTATTTTTTTTAAATAAATGCCTTCAGCATTTGATTCAATTGAGGTAAAATTAAGCCATTTTGCACTATGAAGAGCAGGAAAAATGCACTAAAAGCCATTAAGTGAAGTTATTTTACTTATGTATGCTAATTAATAGACACAGTAAGATGATAGGAACACGTTCGACATTACGTTATAAAACATGGTCTTAGAGTATTCTCATAGAAGTCAACGACACTCCTTTTCTTGTCCTCGACATAAATCAAAAGTCCACGGAGAAAATCTTGCGAATCAATCATGAATCTTCTCTAGAGTAGCCTCGGAGCAATCACAGCATTAACGATGATGGCATGGATATTGGTAAAATGTAATCTGCGGTTCTCCTCCTCTGGTTGCCAAAGAAGTCACTTGTTTTCTACGAGAGACATATTTTTCAACACCTCAATTGACAGTGTGTTGAAGCAATTTGAATTGCTCTACCGGAAGCCCAACTTCCATGTCCAATCATGTCTCAACCTTTTGAGAAGGTCTGATGACTTGTATTTACGCGTCGGTCTTCTCTTACGCGTCTGCGATCGAGGCGGTGAGGTGCAAATGGCGAAGAAGAAGAAAAAATGTGATCAAACAATTACCGTTTTGATATAAAATCACATTGGAATTGTGGATCGGCGGCGTGGTGCGGACGGGCGGGTCGAGGCGAAAAAAAAGCAGTGCAAGAGAAGTGGAAAAAATCCTTTACATGGTTTTTAACCGAAATTAGCATAATCTACGGGATGTGCAAGTGGAGCTGAGGAGAACGACTCAATGGAACGCACACATGTGAGGTGGGAACACGTACCGCGGAAAACACGGTCAAATCGCCTTGAGCCACTGAAGCTCTTTTGCCATCTTTTGCCATCTCTTTCGCTCACTCGCCCCATTATAAAACATCATATTTTTACATGCTTGGGACACTTGGTGTTTTATCTTTTAGCGAATTAATGCTTGGCAGAAGTTGGTAGAGGAGGTGACCAGCAAATACAATCATTTCTTCGGCCCATGCCCCGACCCGGCCCCAGCGCATCAGTCTCTGTGCGACATGTCGCTAGTTTCTGCATCGCAGTGACCGCGAAAAGGCCACGGTCACCACTATTCAGTTCAGGCGGATTGCAAGAAATCACTTTGCTCGACATCATCATCACAGCTTCTGAGTCACCTTTGGGTCAACATTATTTTCGTTCAGGATCAATCAAATCTAAATATTCTCTATTGTATTGAACTCGTGTAAAACTACATGGTAGATGAATATTAAAAAAAAGAGTAGCAAAATATGTTGTATGACAATTTGTAAATATAGTAAGTAAGGTAATAGAATATGTATTACAAAATTAAAAGACATTGCGACACATTTTTTCGTCTTTTTTAAAGTAACACATTTTTAGAATACCTCGTGAAGAAATTGAGTAATGATACCCACTCTCTGTTATCATGTTTTGACCCTCCATTAAAAATAATCTCAATTATGTTACTCAAGGCGAGACTTTGTGAGAAAGGCGCACATCGTCGATCGATGCAAATAACTGCATATAAGTCGCCAGTACTCGTGTGGGTATAAAAATAATTATTAATTAGAGTGAATGGATGATTCAAGGGGTAGTCAATCCGCCAGTTGTTGACGCGGATCCTCAGATGTTGCTATTAATGCACCCCGTTCCCGAGCCGGACGAACAGGAAGTGTTCTCATGATCTCTGATGAGCATATCAATTAATGATTGATAGTATTACAATTTAATCGCTACGATAGAGAATCATTTGTCAATTTATAATGGATTTGCGTCTCTTTCACCCAGAGCCACATACATTACTCAGGCGCGTTGAATTCTTTTGCTCATAATTACACACATGCTCTTTATAATATAACTTCAATCTCATTCCTCAGGATTTATCTCTCGTTTATCATCTTATACTTTACACAATGTTGCAAGGAAAGAAGCACCATCGGTTGAGTTGGGATTGTAAAAGTAACTAAGTCACCTGCAATTTCAACTTCAGCTGGATTCTGACTTCTCTTCGGCGTCCTTCTCGGTAGCATTCGGCGGATGCTCCAGGACGCTGTCGATCAGGCCCAGGGTCTTTGCTTCCTCTGCGTTGAGGAATGTGTCTCTTTCCATCTTGGCGTGCAGTAGATCGTAGGATTGCTTCGTGTGCTTCACGTAGATGTTCGTCAGCACCTTCTTCAGCTTGATGATCTCCTCAGCGTGGATTTGGATGTCTGTCGCCTGGCCCTGTGCACCACCCGACACCTGGTGGATCATGATGCGCGCATGTGGTAGAGAGTGGCGCATTCCCGGCTCACCAGCCGCCAAAAGCAATGATCCCATTGAGCACGCCTGCCCGACGCACCATGTGGCAATCGGCGGCTTTACGTATTGCATAGTGTCGTAGATCGCCAATCCGGCAGTAACACTCCCTCCTGGGGAGTTGATGTACATGTGGATGGGCTTCGTGCTGTGCTCGGACTGCAGGAACAGAAGTTGCGCCACAACCAAGGAACTCACGTCGTCCATAATAGGCCCCATCACGCAGATAATGCGCTCCTTCAGCAATCGTGAGAAGATGTCATATGCTCTCTCGCCACGTCCTGTCTGCTCAATGACGATGGGCACGAGTCCCAGATTTCTCTTCTGAGAGTTGATTAGTCTCTGATGGAAGTGAAAGTAAGGTTATGTTTGTAAACTTCAATGCAGTGATTCGGGGAATAGTAATTTTGAAATACTCACACATTTGGTGGTGAGCAGAGATGTTAATCTGAACATTTTAATCCTTTCGCACGTTCTTCTTGGGATACTTTTCACAGAAATGCTACTAAAAGCTCGGACGACTCCCGTGAGCAGCTGATCAAAACAATCTTAATGCGTGACGTCATCAATGTTTTCAATTGTCGGCGTTGTTCCAACGGTCGAAGTAGGAAATTTTTCTGCTTTCCTTCCCGAATTCTGGAACTCCCTGAAGAATCCTCATGAAAAAGATTGTCAAAAAAAGATTCACCCACAGAAACCACAAATCTTCAATCTAATAAAACGTTCTTTTTATTTCTCAAATAATATTGGCTTTTTCTCCATTCTCGCATTTATTACTTCTCTTCCTCTATCTACGAATTTACCATGTTTTTTCTGTGTGCATTGCAAGTTTAATGTTTGAAAAAACGCAATTGACTTTGGGACGTGTTTAATTAGTAACTCCATGATTTTTTTATCCTTAAACACTATTAAGCAGGATCTAAATGTGATTCTTTAGCAAGATTTCACAGCTTTTGGTTGACTTTCGGAAACACACAGTGAAAGGATATTTTATGTTCACCTAAAATTTCTTAAAGACTGTGTTGAAATCCTCTTCCGAAGATTGGAGATGATTAGATGGAGAGTGAGGATAAAATGTTCGTTGTGCATTTTTTGGTGAGGACGTTCTGTGCAACAAAATGTCAAGGCTTATGTCTGGGAAAATGTTGTTGAAAATGATTGCTGATATGAGTTGCTTTTGTAGTGATTTCATTGAAAATGTGAGATTTTTCTATTATATTTCATTACTTGTGCCAATTGATTAAGCACTTCTCTCCTCACCACACTGTTATCCTGAGAGCGAAAGTTAAAATACAAAATCAAAGGGGAAAGTCGTAATAGAAACCATTGGGGAAAATGCTTGTGGTCGTGTTAGGCGGCGATAAAGCTTAATTGATAATGTAATTCATATCCCACTTAATTTTTTTTCATTTTTTTCTCCCCTTCCTTCACACTATGAATAAATATTCTTAAAAGTTACATTTAGCAAAATATCTCAAATCGTTACGACTTCATATTTTCTTTTTGTTACTCCCTTATTAATAAATAACTATAATTAATGGAATGATTTCTGTTGCATATCGTTTTTGGCATTGAAATATCTTTTATCATAATCATCATCCTAAAAATTTTTTTTTAAACACTAATGAACTTTCTCTTGTCTCGTTCTCTCTGCGGAACAAATACAAGTTCTACACTCAAAAACGTAGAGACAAAGAGAAGAAAAGACATGCTGTGGGAAGTAAACACATAATATAGAAAAACTGCCATTTCGGACCAGGGACAAGTCATCTCTAAACCTAACTAGGATTGCTTTTCATTGAGTTTCCATATTATTATTATTATCTATTGACTGTGTGGATGCGAGTAAGTGTTAGTGTTTATGAGAAGACGATTGCTAACCATTGACTCTTCTGGTCCCTTCAATTATTTCAGACATGGGAAGGAAAGATAAAAAAAAATATCAAACGCAAAAACATATACCAAAAACATACATCGAAGAATTCTTATAAAACTTTTAAAAAACCGACCCAATTTTCTTGATGAGAAAATCCTTGAGTGGCTGATAGTATTGATAGCGCAGACACACCATTTCTGGCCAATTCTTCAGCTGCACAAACATCTCCGAGTCTGATTCAATGATGAATATGGTGGACAAGACCAGCACTAACACCACGAAAATGAACGATGGCACGAAAGCGTGTATCAGGGAAAATTTCTTTGCACTCTTCGCCATATTCGCGGCGTTCTGTTGCTGGATGAGATGTGCCGACGTCACGGCGTGATTCGTAACTTGCTGCTGAGCCACTGCAGGTGGCTCGGAAGTGCTGAACTGACGCTGAATGCCCAGGCGAGATTCCGTGAGGGTGAGACCACTCTCGGAAGAGGAGTGGTCGAAGGAATCGCGGTAGTAGTAGTCAGATAGAAGATCGCTATTAACATCCATATCTGGAAAAGACATATTACAGAATCATTGACAATTTACTTAATTTATTGTGGGTTTAGTGGTTGAAAGGCGAACAAAACTCACTAGAATGTTTGCGTGACTCTTCAGAAACCGTCTCCAGGAGTGGAAGAGTCGTGTCCGTACAGTACACTGAGGACAAGTGATCGGAACATCCTCCAAGAGGTTCTGACATTGTTGATCTGGGCAAACTGCTGTATCCTAAAAACATCCACACATAAGTTAGTAAAAAGATTAGGAAACTCAACTAAACTTACTAATTTCTGCGAGATCGCCTTGAGGACTGGATGGCGTGGCGGGCACGCTGTTTGCCTTCCTCTTGCTCGGACTGGAATTGCTGGCAAGTTGTTGCTGTTGACGAAGTGCTTCGCTTAAGATTTCCCTCTCAGTGCGTCCTGAATATCTGAACTTTGTGCCCCAAGAAAAGAAACCACCTCCACTGACCACTGACGCATGTTGGCTGTTGGGCAGCGTAAAGAACAGCATCTGTTCGATGGCACAGCGCCACACATAGCGACACGCAGCGCCAGTGGGACATTTGAAGCCGATCGTGTGCTTTTTCTGCTCCCGATTGGAGTCAATATAGCTCAGATGGGCAATAAACATTTTCCCCTCATAATTGAGCTTGTGAATCTCTGGCCAGCGAAAGTGTTGTGCTCTCCGACCGACAGCAAAAGTACTGATGCCGCTAAAATTGATGCCCAGATACAATTGAGTGCCACGGTGATCCTTCACCGGGTGCGGATCAACACCGTACGTCTCCAAACCCCGTGCCAGCGTCATAAACTCATCCTGTACGAGGCGTATCTCCTGTCCAGGCTCACGCTTCTGGTGCAATTCAATCACTTTCCGCTCTAACGCTTCTGTTTGCCTCAGAGCGAACCGAATGGACGACACATAGTCACCCAAATGGCACTCTGCATCGAAGTCGCCGAGTTCCTCTGCAATTACAATCAAACATAAAATAAACTATTAACATCACTATTATTTACAGAAGTCATTCAGTTTGCCATCAGATTTTTCAGTTGATTGTGGGAATTAATAGTCATCATCCGGATAAGAAGTTGATGTGAAAAATCGATAAGATTCTTATTCATTTTCACATGCAAAAAACAAAAACAGACGAAGCGTAGAGTGCGTGTGAACAGACCAAAAATCGTCACACGCCAACATTACATTTTTAGTACCTTGAGTGGAGAAGTATAGAAGAGCGCGGATCCTCAAAGGAATTCAAAGGGTAAGAAAAGCAACTGAATCTACATATAAGAGTAATTCAAGAAAATATACAATTTACTCAAAGAAAATTCAAATTCAAGACAACACACAGGGCATGTTTTCTTCACGAATTCTTATCAGAATTTTAGAGAATAAACTTTTCGATTTTCTTTTAATGTACTATAAAACTTTTCTATTTGATTTATTCGTACGCTTAGAATGGGCCTATTGTAGTTCGAGAGTTAAGCATGCCTGTCTACAAGATCCTTAAACAATCAAAATTACACTCTTTTTTAATTCCATGTTAGCTTTGCTATCGACTATTTAACATCCAGCCACACAGACTGTCGCAGAGGGAGTCAGAAACCCATCAAATATTTCCCTTCAGAGAGTGATATGTCAAGGATAAGAGTTATAACACTGTTGTGGATATTGACCAAATTGTCCCTAATACTTTCTCTCAATTTTGTGAGTATCTACTCTATTTGGTCTCAAAATATCAATCTAAACTCATAGAAACTACGATTTAACGCACATTTCTAGCGGCCCAAAAACTTCAAATTGGAAGCATTTGAATACTGTCCGGATAGCGAGGATTTGCCGGCACGATTCAAAGATGTGAACATCACAATGCCCGAAATCAACCTCTACCTCATGAATGGTTTTATTGAGGTCAAACAGAACATCACGGTTCCCGTGGGATTGACGATATTTGTGAAAAGATGTAGTTTAGATAGGACGCATTGTGAGGACTATGATAGAATGACCATCACGAAAATATGCCACAAATTGAGAGATTCTAAGGCAATTTGGGCCCCTCTGATCAGCAAAGTTGATCCTGCTCCACATTGTCCTGTCCAAAACGGCATGTACACCATGACAAATGCCACTGCTAACTTGTCTGTGGTCTCTCGCCTGCCTTTGGAAGGTTTTCGCTACAATGTCAAGTTTCACGTGCATCAGGATGGAAAACCGAGTGTGCTGCTGATGTGCATGATCGTCGATGTGGCAATCACAGCTCAGAAACGTCGGCAGAATTAAATCTGCATTTTTACAGGGTGTTTAAGGTATTTTTTGAGGATCAATAAAAGTTTTTCAGTTTACCAGTACGGACCTTGCACAATCAGCGCTCCAAGGGCAGCAGACTCTCCGGCAGAACAATAGAGTCTGCCATGGATGAGATCTCTCTTTAGCTGCTGGTACAGCATTAATTTTCCATTCCCGGTCAGTCTCAATGGATCGGCTGGGTAGAATTTCACACGGAGGGAGAAGAGGACAGGATCCACATCTGGAAGAGAAGTCGAGAATGTAATTAGTTGACCTGTAAAAGCAAATTTTTCCAGGGTTTTCCAACTTCCTGAAGACAAACAATCATTTTATGTTACCTTTCACTTGCTTTATGATATTTTTAGCCAAATCTAGCCAATGCTGCAGTTCCAGGGAGTGATAAATTGTGTGTTATTTCGGGAAAATTATATGCATTTCTACTTGCTTTGCCATGAATTCCTAGTCAATCGTACCAGGAAAAGAAAACCAGAATTACGCGGATGTTAAACTTACCCTTTGCTTCGCCGAATCAACATAGCGCAGACCAAAGTAATCCTTCTCCGTGATGTCCAATTGCTCACACACGTACTCCAGGAGGAATCTTCCTTTGTGATTTGGCTGGAAAATGCAAGAAAATCGCTCATTGAATGCACAAAAGGCACAAAGGTGCGAGTCTGAACTAACAATTTTTTTCGGCAATCTTTCTTTTTAAACTTTTTAGGTAATTCCCTTACTTATCTCTCCAAGAGTATTACAGATAAACACTAAGGCACCCCGAGCCCGTAATGAACTGTAATTACCTGAAATTCACACTCCAGCACGTCGGCATCCTCGAGCAGGCGAACAGTGCATTTGTACACGATATTCCCCTCGTTTTTACTCTTAAACATGTTCCTTTATCACGTACGTGTCGCTAACGTACCTGCACATTCAATCATAGAACCGGAACGTCAGTAAGTATACTTTTACACAAGAAAATCCGAGAAAATTGCGAACTACACTTTTTTCGCCTTTTTTCCGCAAAACAAATGTCACGCTGCTTCTTGTGGTCACATGCAGAGGCGCTGATGTCTATCTTTTCCAAAAATGCCCACATATTTGAATCCATTGTCAGAGAAACGGTCGTGAAACATATGATTTCTGTTAAAGACGACAAAGATGACTAAAGGCGTCGGGAGTGGCAGGTTACAGTGATTTAAACGATATGAGAGCGACTCCTTGTATTTATTGACAAACTCCAGTGCTGTGTGAATCAATAGAGATTCTCTGTGTGCGCGATGGTGAGCGATATGGGCAAAATGCCAAGGCGAATCCGTGAAAATAGCCGAGATTTCCCGTCGTGCGTTTTTGGGGGAGCGGTCAGTGTGAGTTGGACGTCGAGACGCGTCGAGTCACTACACAAGAAGTGTGTAGAAGATTTTCACAATCTCAGGAATCATAGTTCTCTGGTGATAAAGAGTGATTTCTTGTGCTATTCGCGATCAAATTCACGATCAAGTTTGAAGATCACAAGATCACAATTTGAGGACGGATATCCTTTTGTACCTGTATCACACTTTTTCACCGAATCCTGAGATATGAACTCCTCGAGTAGGTAAGGAAGAAGAGATATGTTCATCTGAGATCACGCTCACGATCGTTGTGTCGCGGTCAGTGTCTAAAAATAAGAATATACTGGTGAATTTTCAATCTAAAAGTCTCACGATCGACCATTCCACGCGCTTTCTCATGAGGGAAATGCGAATAATAATGTGTGAACTCTAAAAATACATGGAAACCTCCCCCTTCCTTTTTGGATGAAGAATCACTTAGAGATGATTTCCAGCACTGCGAGTGCGATCGTTTCACAATAAACCCATGATCTTTATCTCAAGACCATAAGTTTAACCGATCTTATACTTACCTGGCACAGGGGCCACGGCGATTAGTACGATTCTCTAATCATATTCGCTCTGAATTCATTTATTTAATTCGGCAATTATTGGGAATGCCAGTGTCGTGTGCGCAAACGCACAATTATTTGACTTGAAGAGAATAGAGCTGACGACCGATTCTATCCTTGATCCAAAAATACAAGTGAACTGCCAAGTGTCTACATTTGAAATTGAGATAAATATATGCTATAGACATGCTTACTCGGTGCGTTATTAGAAAATAGAAAGAAAGAAGAAAAAACACACGGACGAGGAAGAATACTGCCATGACTTTTTTATTTCGCGATCATCATCCAACTTTCTGCACAAAGAAGAATACATCAAACATCCACTCATGATAGCATGATCTTCTCACACGATCTTTACTGCGTGAGTTCATTTCCCTGATGATTGTCATACGAAAAAAAGCCAGCGGAGATTATAAATATCAATCTATTTCAGGTTTCACACACACACTTTTTTTTCCACTGGAAGATCACTTGAATGATTTTTTATTCAAAGATCTTCATTTTAGGAATGCATTTACGCAATATCTCGCTGTGATCGTGCGATCGCTGTTGGATGCACACACGATAAATATTCGTCAAGCTCAAGAATGCAAATTAGAACTAAAATAGAGACTTTTTGGCAAATGCAGCAAAGTTAGGCTACGAAGTTGTGTAGCAATAATTCGTTGAAGATCAGCCCGACCGGCATTGATCCTGGTCATTGGCTAACACTAACAGTCTCTCATTCGATCTCCATTCATGATCATCAGGGATTTTCTGTGCTTCTGCGAGACTCCCACAATATTATATGATTTTTTATCACGATCATGAAATTTATTTTGAGTGCGATCACTCATCATCACTATCGTGCTTATTAGGTGATCAAATGGTGGAAATCATCTCATTTCCTCTCACCTTTTATGCAACGTTGGATGGCATGAGGCAGCGGAAAGAGCGATAAAAGAAAAATGAGAAATGATCTATGTACAATTATTTCCGGAAAAATTATCAATTCGGATTACGAATGAAATATTGCAATATATTTGGACTCCACAACTTCCACTTTTGTATTAATAGATGCGGAAGCTGAGAATATGAATAGCAAGCAAAATAGCAATAGTATCAACGTACCACACTCCATCGCTTACACACACCCTGATCAATGTCAAGTAAAAGTTTTTTGGATGTCAAGCCTGAATTGCAATTATAAGAAAAATGTGAGCAATATCTTCCAAAGTCAACAATTCAATTTTTCTTTTGCTAATGATTGCGAAGAAAACATAGTGAGCATCCATGAAAGAAAAGAAGATTTGTTTGAAATAGACGCTATTTTGGTTACTGGCTCAAGGTTTTTCCAATGGCCAAATGATGTTCATCTTCAAGATCGTGCTGTGCACAAAATAGCGCGGAAAATTTCTCTCTTTCCCCATATCACTGATCGCGTGGAAGGTTGACAGTGAAGGTGTCGAAGAATTTATCGATTTCTTGATTCGCTGTATGAGCACAAGTGTCTACAGTCTCAAGTGGAGAGAAAGTGTGCAATAATTAATCGATTGATGACTTCTTCGATATGCAATTCAAATGAAACTGGTTGACGCGGTGGCCTGGAGTGAGGAAAAGCTCAAAAATACACTAAACCAGTTAGTGAACTCCTTCGCTTAACCCATTATCTGCTTGCGATCTCTGCAGAGTCTCGTCTTCATATAATAAAACATATATGAATTTCTCTCCACCGCAGGACTGATTTCAGGAAGAGACGATGACAAAACGTTTTTATTCCACTTTATGTTAACAATTTTATGCGTTAATTTCTGATTTAATCGGCTAACATTAAATTTCTAAAATGAGAAACATTGACTTCTTTTTGCACTTTTCACACTCTTAGCAATTTCGAGGAGGCGGTCATAAAATCGGAAACGCGTGAATCAAACGCATTTGCTCCGAATGTGAGGAAATGAAGACCTGCACAGTCAAAGAAGAATAACACTCATTATGGAAGTTGCGAATTTTTGGATTATTATAACGAGGATTGCAAGCCTGCATTTTGTACACAAGAGAAATCTGTCGGATCGTCATATTGGGGGATTAATGATCGTGTCTAACGATTGCAAATCTTTTTTTCTCTCTCTTGCTCTGTGCTTCCTCAACACACAACAACATCAAACTGCAAACTTGACACCGCAGAGAGTGCGAAGCTGGTGGAAGTGGCCATATAGTGATCGTGGCCGCTGGAGTAGCGATCTCACAGTCAGTTGTTAGTGCACGATCGTGGCAGACGGAAGGGCGAATTTTGAGAGAGAGAGAGATTAATAGTGTTTGGACATTGTTTGTGTTGGCGCATCTTTTTCTGTACTGGCCAGACAGTGAATCATAGTTAAGGAATTTCTCTGTGCCGACACCGCTTGCCGCCATGACGACCACTCTCCAGCAACCTGCGCCTAATCCGCAGCTTAAGAGAATTGTGTACTCCAAGTACCGTGAAATGTTGGGCTCGTACAATGATAAAGCCAATACAATCATTCAGGCTCTTCCTCAGTATCTTGTGCATGAAGACAAGGGATTCAATATCACGAATCTCGTGGAAAATCCCCGAGATGGGTAAGTGATAATTGTTGGTGATCCTTGAGATTTCATTCACCTCGCTATTGTCTACGTTCGTCACTTAGGAGTTATAAGAAGAAATTGAGGAAAAAATTATGTTCTACTCAATTTTATGCAAATACCTTCTCAGTAGTGAAGTAAATGTATTTCAGGGAAATATGAGCGAAGAAGATTAGATTTCCGAGTGTCGACAAAGAACCACTCTTTGGAAAGTCAAGTGAATTTCAATTCAAGTCATATTCCCATGATTATCGCGTTTGTTTTCTTCTCATTCAACACTTCTTCACATTTCTCAGACTGCAGAGTGAATTACGTTAGAGATGAAGACAATTAAAATATGATATAAGATGTGGAAGATTGAATTTCTCGCGGTTAATAAAGTGCCCTTCAATTATATCAATCTGTGAAGCAACGCTGCGCAGTGAACAAATTAATGCATTAGTTATGCAGTATTACGACATAAAACGGGCATTTCGACATCACTTCCGATCTTCACTTTCTTGGTGAATCACAAAAAAAGAGTGAAAGAAATGAAGAAAAAAACAACACTATGATGAATAAATTAATCGATCGGGTGAAAGTGAAATTTGGATACACTTTTCTTTTACTCTTAATTCTCTCGATCAGCTCAACATTCCAGTAACTACTTGGATTATCCTTGGCAATTAGTTGAGGAATTACTCAGTACAATCACTTGCGAATGATTGGTAAAATAATCACGATGCATAAAATGCTGAATTTTGCGTTAAAATAGCGAGCATCGGGGAGAAATTATCGTTTCATCATAATCCAAAAAATCAAAGTTCAATTTCGCCTTCGCCACATCAGTGCCCAGAAAAAATGGTCATTGTTCGCACAGTTTACGCCAATGCAACACGATGGAAGTAAAAGATGAAGCAAATAAACCAAAAGCTAAACAATTACGTCATGTACACTTTTAGAATATGAACGATATGAACATCTTTTCTGCTCAAACGGAGGAACGACACAAAACCGTGTCTTCTTTAGTAGTGACAATATATAAAAAAAAATTGAGCACATATAAGAGTAAAACTTTAAGTGTGGGATTACTTATGAAGCAAAAATCTCTTGACATTCGTGGCGCAAGTCAAGGTTGAAAAATATTATATTAACTACAAGAACGAAAAAACGGACGCAAAGTCAGTTGAGAGTGAAATGCTTTCCCAAATATGGAAATGCGTGATCGAGTTCCGCGACAATCGCGCTGGCACCGAGCAGATGTTTCAATGATCTTCATCCAATGCCATGCACAACTCGATTAACCATTTCCATTCGCCAGATATTTCCGGCTAAGGAAATAGCCATTGACTGAGTGTGTGTGTTGAGTTGGACGGAAAAAAGAAGTTTGAGTCACTCAATTCTCAAGCCTTTCGAATGAACAATCATGCATATTTTGCTGTGTCGCAATTGAAAGTGCACTTTCCATACATTTTGACAGGTTCAAATATTATTTCTCACCCAAAAATAGCTCATTTGTCTGACTCATGTACACTTAAAATACTTCTTCTGATCATAAACAAAGAAAACACCTCTTAGATCTCTGTCCAAATATAGAGGAATTCATGCAGTAGAGTTAAATTTAAATGTGGATTTTCTTACATTTCTCCGGGATTTTCGTGATCTTGGACTATTGGTCGGCTATTGAATTGTCCCACTACAATTAGGCAATATTTACTTAATTCACAGCCTGATAAAATGGAGTTAAATTTGTGAAAAAAAAAACAAAATGGTTGTCAGTCTTTGATAAATTTTTCGTCTATGAAAGTCAATAAACTCTCAGTGGATTAGTCACAGAAATTCATCTAATATCCCGTGTAAGAAAAATATTTGTGTACCCGAACAGCATTGAAGGAATCTTTCAAAATTTCATTCGCAAGATGTTTAGACAAATGAAACACAAATTGAACATTTTACACTCACAGTGATGAAGAGTGAGATTGCATATGGATTGTGATGCTTTTTAAAAAGAACAACAACATATTTCTGGCTTTTCACACCCACGATCAATGTCTTCCATTGTGTTTCTTGGGACAGCTTCGGTACCCCCGCAATCCAAATGCGCGTCGCAGAAAACGCACTGAGTAGACATTCTGCCTCAGAGGAAGAAAAGTTTTCTTAAGAGAAAATTCGCATGCTTTTTTCATGCGCATTTCATCAAGCAAAATGTTTAAAGAATCCATTTTGAAAATAATAACTGTTATAAGGAAGTGGAATTAGGGTTTATTTCTGAATTTTATGGCCTGATGTTCTGATCCAATTTCGATGATGTAATCGAGCAGAAATTTCGTGCCAAAGATGGCAAACAAGTATTAAGAAGAGGTATTTAATTGTTGATTGAACACATTCCATTTGGCTCGGCTATTTATTTTTCTCCACCACTTTGTAGCAATCTTTCATTCGTCACCAATTAATTTCGCTCCGAGATTCATCAATAATCTCTAAGCATTTCACCGAGAGACTTCCTCAAACAAAGTCTATTTTTATTAAATCGCACCTCTCAAAAATACATTTTCAATGACACGCAAAATGTTCAGAGCTTGGCATTGAGTTTTTAGCATGTTGTGAATTTTTTTCTAACCTGTCGCAAAACAAGAGATTATCCATTGAGAAGAGACACTTTTGACTTTCTTCGCGAAAGCTAATTTGCCCAAGTTCACATTTGCCTCTTTCTGCGCTCTAGAGAGAGTTAGAGCATCGAAATTACTTTTGTTCTTCACACATTACGAGTGTACATATATTTGTCTTGCCCAAAAGCATTTCGTCAGCAAGGAAAAGCATTTTGAGAAAATGTGCGTGTCACGAGTACATTTCAGATGTCTTCGGGGGCTCTTGCGAAAATTGGGTCAATGAGATAGCCATGCGAGGAAAATACACACTTTTCCATATGCAAATGAGTTGAGATCGAGATATCGTGCGTCTGTTGCACCGGCAAATTCTATAAACTGTAGAGCTGTAATTTATGCAATTAATTACTAGAAATGTCACCATTTCTTGCAGTTATGGTGCTCCTCCTCCGCCACCGCCGCTCGCCATGGGTGGAATTCCGGCAACGCGGCTCCACACACAGGTGAGTTAAGTTCGTGGAAAATCCTCACTTGCACCGAAAATCATATTCTAAAATCGCGAGATTTCATCGATAATCGCTTGAATATGTTTGATTTTTAATTAGCGAACGGATTTTGGAAACGTGCTGAACTTTAGCGGATTTTTCTCGAAACTGTTCTTTAAAATCTGCATATACATATATGAATATTCTTGGAGACTCAAACAGCACGATTTTAACGTTTTTGCATACAAAACGGCAATTTTTAGTATACAACATTTCGGAATTATACATACAGTATGGAACAGATAAAATTTCAATTTCAGTTTGAACAACACAAGTTGTAGTTTTTTTTTTAACATTAAATATCATTCATCAAATTGAAACGTAATTTATTCATAAAATTCTGTCTAAATGTGGAAGAAAGAAAATCGAATTGTGTGAATTGGAAATGAAATGACACACATGAAATTGAGTTTTACCTTGAGAAATTATCTTGGCCAGACGCCAAATGTACTCTTAGTTTTTTCTTTCTCCCTCCTATATATATATATATATATAACTATATATTTGAATATAGTATATATAGTTAAACACATACGCATACGACAATACATAGTAAGTGCTTGGTTGCGTGCGTGTGCGAGAGTGTATGTAATTATATCCGACAAATGGAGAAGATATGGGAAATTTGTCAAATCAACTCTTTTTTTTCATATGGTAGCTACCGCCAGAGCCCCCGGCGTGTGTGCAGAACGCTATGATGACGAAGGACAAGAAACCCTTCACATACACTCCGGGCGGCATTGACTTGAGCCAGATTAAATCACCACGTATGGCAAAGCGAATATCGCGAAATGCTAACTCGGAGGGTGTCACTGGAGTGCCGAAAATGTCTCCACTGGCCCAGGTGAGTGCAAAGAGTGTCCTTTAGCTACAGAAGCTAACGATATATTCTCATTGCAGCAGCCAAATACGCCGGGAGTCCAGCCACCAACTCCACCGTGTTTGCCCTCTGGAATGCCAGTGCAGGTTTTCCCGTGTGGGCCTCCGCAACCCCCACCGCCGCCACCACCGCAGGCGAAGCTGAATGCGTCCCAAAATGGCATCAATGGTAACAAAAGCCCCGAGCGAAAATCCCCGCAGTCCTTTGAACCACCCCCATTCGGCTGTCGACCGGAAATCAAAATTCCACCCAACCCCATGGCTAATCTGCGACCCACTCCGAAGCCACAACCAAAAGACGACTTTTGGGTCGAGGAGTATCGCAAGGAAAGATCAAAAAGTCCCATGGCACCGCAACAATCCGCAACTGAATGTGAGGAGTCTATACTTTAATATTCTTCCTATGTACATTCTATGTACAGCTTTGAATGTGCTAATCAAAAAAAATATTATCTTTACTGGATATTGAAAAATCACTGTATTACTTTTGACAGCAACAAACAATGAGCCTGCAGAGAAGAGGGAAGAAGTTCCAATTTCAAAAGCGGAAGTCCAGAAGCCTCAGATTAGTCAGAAACCATCAAGTCCGGTAAATGTGGATCCTAAGATAATCAGTGCGGTTAGTACCCCTAGTCCACTACCTTCACGACCTCAAGCACAATCACCAAGCCCAGCAAAGGCACCACAATATGAAACACCACCAACGGTGACCAACCACGTAGCTCCAGTCATGAAAGAGGAGAGCCCAGTGAGGATTGTGGTCAAGAATCAGAATACATCAAACCAGAGAACTCAGAGTCCAATCAGGCAGACTTCACCACCGCAGTCGCCGCCGCAAAGAAATGTGTGTGATAACAAGACTAAAAAAGGGTAAAAGAAATACTAAGTGCATGATGAAATTTCAGGCGCAGCTGGGAAGCATCTACATCCCACCTGTGCAAGACCAGATGGCGAATCGGCAGCATCTATTGAATCAACAAACACCACCATGGATGCAATCACGCCAAGCGGCACAGAAGGAGATGCCTGAATGGGTAAATCGAGATGAAGCACAGAAACAGCAACAAAACCAGACGACGTCAAATCCAAAGGAGAGGATCATCCCGATTCAGCTAGAACAAACTCCAACTCCAACTAAAACTCCTATGACACCTGGATTTGGACCTCAACCCTTCTATAATGTGGCTCAGCAGCAGTACAACAGTGTGCAATCGCCTCTGACGACTTACTCATCACCAAGTAAGGAAAATATTGGTAAAGCAAAGCGAACAAGATTTAACCATATGGTCTACTTCTTAGCCTACACATCTCCCTACCACAGCCCCAATCAGTTTGTCGATCAAGGCTACAACAATTATAACAACTTCCAAAATGCTGGCCAGAGAATCATCCCAATTAGTGTGGAGGGACAGTCTCCAGAGAATTATTTCAATGTTCGCGGCCCTGTGTCACAACAGCCGACTGTGATCAGAAGGTAAGTGTTCAAAGGGATTTGTTAATCAAAATCAAGAGCACACTTTGAGAAGAAAACGTCTGAGAAGAAAGCTTACGCTTTGCTAATACTTTTTCCATAGTGGAAACTGTAGATATTTTATACATGACTGTCCCTTAGAGGCTGAATTACGTTACATTAAGCATAGACTCAGGTATCGAAGCGTTGTTGACTGGTTTTGCTCACGTTTCATTGCAATATCATGTTCATTGTTTTAATTGTCATTTAAGCATTTGTGACAATAATGTTAGCGTTGATATCTGTTTTACTTTATCACATTGTCTCTATGTCACAAATCACTACTGACACTATTTTGTCGAGCATTTCGCTAGTAGAGACATTGCTTTGTACATGCTTGGGCTGTGATATTTCATTTATTGTCATACTGATTTATCTCTCGCTAGTGATCCGCGGTCACCACCAACTCAACAACCGTTGCCACCGTGGATTCAACCGAATCAGTCGAAATCCTTCAGGATCCTTCAAAAGATGACAGACACCGTTGCTGATGAACAAACAAACGAGGAAGACGCCGGACCTGCTGAACTGCAGCAACCACACTATTCACGGCCTCTCGGACCGGCGGACATGAATGAAAATCAACTGCGAAAGCTGCAACTCTCAGAAAATGATCGAGCCCTGATGAATCGCGTAAAGAATCAAGGTTAGTTTCACAATAAATCACACAAGAATACCTTTTCAGTTTATAAAAATCTGACCTATTGTATTGGTTCTGGACAAAATTAGTGGATCAAGAAACATATCTTCATAGCGAAGAAGATCCTAGATATCGCGGTGCTGCAATACCATCAAAAGCATTTAAATTGCTTCAAAATATGACTGATGGAGGGCAAGCTTATGATAATCAGGGTATGCGCTTGTGGTGATGGTTTATGACTTCCTCTGTCTATTTTCTTCATTTATATTTCAGCATTTAGTTATGATCTTAAATCTGTCTCTTGTGCATGATACTTCCATTTCATTGTAGTTTCGTTACTTTTCAACCAAACAGCTTAAATGTGAAATTAGGTTTTAACTGACTCTGATACTTTTCAGTTCCCATTCAACGAGCAAATCCACGCTTTGCCCAACAAAGGGCCATGTTTCAACCTAATGACGGTAAGTTTCCTAACTATCCCATGTTCGTTTCCCTAGATAGAATTCTTATTGAGTACTTCTTTATTCAGGGGAAAAACAAGTCTATATCCATCCAAGTGAACAACACGTACCAGAACCGAAAATCTACACTGGAAGTGCCATCCCAAGTCGATCTTTCAAAATGCTACAAGCAATGACAACTCCTGAAAATGCCGGTAAATCCCTGATATAACAATCTTAAACCCGTAACACAACAAAACTCACACGTTATGGGCAAAAAGAGAATTTAAAAAGATGGGAAAAATTGATAAGATTGGCAATTGGTATCCATTATCTTAGATACATTTCTGTAAATAGTTTTCCTTTTGGTCTTTCTTGATGAATTTTTGTTTTTCTTTTTGAATAGAATTACCGTGGAACTTGTTTTTATATGAATTGTAGGCTGTGGATTGCTATATATCAGCACTCTCAGTTTTCTGTACTAAATATTAAAATACAACATAAGTGGTTGAGGTTTTTTTTCTATCAAAATGAGATGTTTCTTTGCCGAAGATATAGTCAAGTCTTTTTCATACAAAAATATATTTAGAATCAGGATTTTACTCAAAATCTTCAGCAAATATCCACTCTTTTTGAGTATACAAGAAATAATGGAATGAATATGTTTGACTTGTAATAAACTGAAATCATTCTTTCCACTTGTAATTATATACGTCCTTAAAATTCAGCATCCAAGTAATTTGTTTCGAAAGGATCGTTGTAAGAAAAGCCACTAACTATAATTTCAATTTAGTGCGGGCCTGAGAGATACTTCCAGATCAATTTAGCATTGAGCTTGTGTTGAAGAAAAAGAACAATCTAAGAGAATCCTATAATGTTTGTATGTGATAACATGACATTCTTCCCCCGCCAAAAACACTTTTGCTCGAATGGCAGAAGAGCCCTCGAGGAGGTCAATTCCAATGATCAATGGTTGAACCTTCTCGTTGTGCTTCAGCTGCCTCATCTCATATATTTTTTTATTTATTTATAATGCATAATCATCAAGGATTCGTTGTCATTTTTTGTAGCCGAAGGCACAGTAGCCTCAGACATTGAAGATACCAATTACTCTCCATTGCCTCATCCACCAAACTATCCCTATCCCTATTACGACCCTCACTGGCAATACTATCCTCCACCACAGTCGCCAATGACAGTTCCGCCAGACGGTGGGGCCTACTGGGGTGGGTTCTACGGAATGCAAGGTTTCGGATACTATCCCTACTATGGATACCCACCTTTCTACACACCACCTTTTGTGCCAATATCTCATCCTGACGACGAAATGAATTGGGCTCGCCGAACACCTTCACTGAGAAGGACTCCCAGCATTGTGGTGACACCGACACCAGAGGATGATCAGAATACGACATGGGGAGATGAGCTCAAGAATAATTTGAGTGGGAGTGAAAAGATGTATTCAGGAGATGACAAAAAAATGTCAAAACATGATTCAGACGATTCATCATCTTCTTCATCGTCATTAGATACAGAGAAAGATCATCAGATGCAACCAGGGCCTCTTCAAGCAATAAAATCTGTAACAGATATCAATTTTTATGCACAAGAGTCCGGATCTGAGGATGAGGAAACAGAGGAAGCACCAGAAAGCGATCACGAAGAAATGCCTGAAATGGTGATTAATGATGAGATTATTCCTCATCAACTAAGTGTAATTTTTGAAGAGAGCGAAAGGAGTAAACGAAGACCAAGCAACGATGATACGGACGCCGGATCGACGTTTAGTGACTCTGATACCACCATAGCGTGTGAGGATGAAGAGGAGCCACCACAAGATGAAGCGTTGGGGAATTTGGTTACGGTAAGACTACCACTGAAACTCTCCTATAGCCGTTCGTCTAATGATGAAGAAATCACTACCGTTCAAGTGGGAAATAGTGAAACGAGAAACTCTTCAGACGCCGATATCAGTGTCACAGTTAGTATTCCCTCGAGAGCGAGTTCAACTGATCGTGGTGAACTCAGCAAGACACTGTCAGTGGAGAGACGAAATTCTGGAGGCTTTGAATTTGAAGAATCTGATTTGGATGTGTCTGTGAATGTTTCTCTTCCAATGAAAAGAGACAAATTTTTCGTAGAGACACAACGTTCAGGAACATGTAATGATATCTCTGTTGAAAAAGAAAACGAAGAAACTGAGTATGAGTATGTTACGGAGAGTGAAGATGAGATTGTGATAGAAATGACTGGAGAGAAAGATAAATCGTCACTAGAGACAATTGAAAGTGAATCTGAAGAGTCTACGGAATACGAGTACGAAGAAATTACAGACACAGAATGCGAGTCCTCGAAGAAAGCTTCTAAGGTTACAAATGAGGAAAAGAAGGCAGAATCATCAGATGAGGAAACTGAGTACGAAACGGAATATATATCAGAGAGTGAGGGTGAGATTATAAGAAAGGTAACTTACGTGAAGGAAGCAATTATTTACCATGATTTTGTGAAACCTCAATGGTATCCTCTAGAAATATGGACACCGGAAGGACCTCAAATAGGATGTCTCTCGTATGCAAAAGAGAGTAGTCCTGAAATTCCTTTTATGCTTAAACAAGAAGACTCAGAGGAAGATGAATCAGAGGAAGATGAATCAGAAGAGGAAGATGAATCCGAAGAGGAAGAAGAACCAGATGAAAAGGCAGAAGAGGAAGAAGAATCGGAGAAAAATAATATAAAAGAAACGAACCAACCTGTGGAAGAGGAGGAAATCAAAGTATCTGTTAAGGATAGAATAGCTGTATTTGAAAATGTGGTAATATCAGAAACCAAACCACTGCCAAAACGTGATATTAGACGCCTGGGTAATTTGTCACATCGTTCTTCTATGGAAGAATCCGCCGATGATGACGATTCAGGTGTCACTTCCGACATAAGTCGTCCATTGTCCGACACAGAGTCGGAGAACTTCCCAGAACTCAGGAAGATGAGTCGCTATCAAAGAGCAGCGACGCATTCTCGATTGTTCAAGCTTCTTCAGGATGAATGTGCTGAAGAAGAGAAGCCAGAAGTTGCAGAAGAGAAACAATCCACTTCAAATGCATATAAACCAAAGAAGATCGTCCACAATGTCTCCATCACACGTCGCAATAATCCGAATGCGGTTAGTGAAGCGGAGACAATGGAGGAGCGCCGAAAGAGGCTATCACTGCCACTGGAGAAGAGTTCTAGTGATCAAGAAAGTATGTCGTCGTCAGTATCTTCGACGTCTCCCACATCTAGTGGGGTTAATGAGAAGCTGGTGTGTGAATTAGTGCAGAGTTTGCTAATGCAGAAGCGTGGAAAGACGCTTCGTCATATGCCCATTGAAAAATTGCACGCTGCTGCCAAGAGGGTACTCCTCGAAGATCTGGATTTGGACAGTGTAATAGGATCCTCACAGGAAGACACAACTGTAGACTCTACGCCTGCTCTGACTCCGCAGGAGTTTACCTATCCAGACTACTACGAGTCCTGGAGCGATGCCGATGAGCGCTACACCTACGACATTGTCCCTTCGCGGGCATTTCGCTGCCTCCAGGAACAATCGTTGACGGGTCAACGAAAATCCTGGGCTGCACGCTGTCCGCGAGTCCTAAGTTCCAAGACCGTCAATCGGGACTTGTCGCGCGTGGCGGAGATTCGCGAATCCGAGTCCCCAGAGACCACACCATCCATCACCTCGCCACGTTCCACTCCAACTGCCTACTTCTCCAGTCCCACCCCCACGCCAGCGTGTGATCTCAAGCCCGGACGCAGTCGCACCCCAATGTCTGAGGACACCAGCGTCCACTAGGAGGCACATTTATTGATCTTTACCAAATTACCCACACTCATATGATCTCTCACTCTCCCCACACCTCTTAGTCACAGAGGGCTGATGGTGGTGATCGAAAGTTCATTTGTAGATTCACAAAATTGGGTCTTATAAGCATGATGAATCAAAAGGTATTTCCTAGATGATAACATTTTTTTCATCCATGATCACACCTGGTGATCATACATTCGATTTGCGAAAGTGATTAATTTTTACGTCTTTTTGTTGTTATCCGGAGCATAACATTACTTTCTTTTAATGATCACTTTCATGAGGACAGATTTTTTTATTTTTGTTTTTTCTTCTCAAACATATTGGTAAATTTGTAATTTTTCTGTTTATTCGTTTCAACATTAAAAGAAATAATGATATGCTAAGAAATTGAGGATCTCACTTTTTGGCGAACTTTGTATCGTGCACTGATAATTATAAGGCTATAATCTCGATTTGGGCAAATTTACAAAAGAAAACCAATGGATTTGCAGGGAAATTCCTCTGCAATTAGCAATGTTGTCCTCCTAATTATTAAGTTTCTCCGTATTTCTCCGAAGGATGTTCCAGAATGTCTTGCTGACAAATCTCCAACTTTTTAGGACTTATAGTTCTACATCCATCCTTAAAATTGACTGATCAGATCTGAAGACTGATCTTGACTGTCTTTCGAAATTGTTTAAATCGAGATATATTTCTAATTATGTGTTTCTAAATTTCCCTTGAAATTTCATATAAAAAAATTAAGCTACTGTGAAATGCGGTGACTTAAGAAGATTAAATAAATTCACAAGATATTTTGTTAATAGTAAAGTACATATTTAATGACCGTAGAAATTACGCAATGAAACCAATCCGCTGTGGCTATGAACTTGCAAGTTTTCTCCTATCATGATCATGGGATATTTTGTTGCGAAATTGCTATAAATCCTCAATTTCTTAAGAAAAATAGTAGAATTTGATTTTATCTTTCACATTCAGTATAAATTTGGAAACATATTTAGACGCTTTGGGCACCAAAGACAATCATTGACATAGAAGATCAGCTTCATTTTTCATAAAACTATCAAAGCTCATTCATTTCTCTCTCTTTATTTTGTTTTGTATTTCTTCACAAAATATCATTTTTAGCTGACTGATAAATAATGTTTTTAATCATTCGTTCTTCTCTGTTACCTTTAACTGTGTATTCTTACGTGTTTTACTTGTTCACAAAGAAAGAAAAAAAAGAGGATAAATGTGTGTTTAAGATAGTTCTTTAATTCCACCCAAAAATGACTGTTGTGAGAACTTATGTAATATTGAAAAATCTGGGGGTGAACTCCACCTTTGGTTGTCTATCGTGCAAATGTTTGTCGTGTCGGTGTTTACGTTTTCTCTATTTCTGTCTCAACACAAGATTCTAATGTTAAATCGATCCTATGAATTCTTTCTCAAAATTTCACTATACAAAAAATTACAGATGGTTTCTTAGACAAAAAAAAAGATATTGAAAATAGATGAAAGAAAGATTTTGATAATCGCATAAAGGTGAAGTTTCCTTCTTGATTTTGAGATGAGTGTTTAGTTAGACTAAAACTACACATTAACCCATCACTTGTCCCCACAAAAAATTTCTTGAGACTTTGCCAACGCACGTTTTCTTTCAGCTTCTTTTACATATTTTGTTCTATATGGCATTATTCTTTTTTAAATGTTCTTAGAATAACAGATACGAAGTTATTGAATGAGTTTCTAATTGTCTTTCGCCGTGTGTTTTGAGAAAAATCATATTATCTCTGTAGCAATAACGAGTAGAAATATCTGAATTTTCTTGTCTTTACTGAAAATTGAGAAACTTTTTATTCCTATTAATTCTTTTTTTTTGCATTCTTTCCAGGTCCGGGACAATCTGATTTGTAAATGTAACTATCTAACTGAGAAAGAAGCCAATAACAAGAATATTAATAATCATTGAAGAGACAATAGAGCAATATTGAAGTGCATATGTTGGTAAACTTGATGGCATTTACAGCAAGAAACAAAAAAAAGAAACAGACAATGAAAGCAGAATTAGTAAAAGGAAACAAGAAATCTTCTGTAAATGAAAGAAATGATAGAAGAAATATTTTGTATTGTATTAATGTCCTTTTTTCTCAAAACAATTGTCTCGCGAAAATTGGTTTAATGGTTTTTTTTAATACTTTATTTATCAATTATTATGTTTATGTACTTAATAATTTTTTCATTGTTACAAATAATCCCTCAAGCCGTCCCTAAAACTTTCTCCTTTTCATTTCCTCTTCATCTTCTCTATTCCTCTATCCCTTTACTCATTTTATCTCAATTTCTTTTTTTTTTCTTCCTTGCAGTGAATATATATAATATTAAAACAAATTGAAAAAAAAAATCGCAGTTAAAGTGAAATATTTAGATAAAATGTATGCTCAGCACAGAGAGTTAAAAGATACTTCTTAGCTGAAAATTTGTTTTTATATTTCTTTGTGAGATATTACACCCCGACTTTTTATTAATAATATGAATTTGACAAGGGAAAACAATAAATTGTGCTCCAAAATACATTAAACTGACTCTTTTTTCTTCATTCTTTCATCATGAATAGCAAAGAAATGCAATTAAATTGTTCAATGTTTAATCTTATTTAAAAAATGCATTTCAATTTTCACAATTACAATAAAAAACCACAGAAAATGGTGAAAATCTACTTAAATTTGTTCACACATCTTCAAAATTATGAAATATATTTTAATAAAGAATAGAGAAATTTTGGAACATAAAACACTTTTTTTTTAGATAAACCTTGAATCTCGTCAAAAGCGCTTCTCATTATTTTTAAGGATATCGTCTTTCAGCTCTTCATTTCCTGCGACAAATGGATAAATTTACCACATTCTTAGCTCTGATCCATGCTTATTCCCGAATCTGTATTGCTATTAACCGATGTATCCTTTTGAACGGACTCATAGAGCGTCTGAAGATCCGGAGTGGCCCGAATGAGTGCCAGGAATTCACTCAAGTGTTGATTTACATCTGAAAGCAAAATTTGTTATTGCAAATTGTTGAGTTTTTGGTCAATAATATTTGCAGAAACAATGAATTTGAATACTAACCAGCTTTAGGAATAGAAGCTAGAGCAGCCACAGCTCTCAGAGCAGATCTCTTCAGTTCATCCTGCTTCTCATACTCCTGCTTTACTGAATTTGCTTTGACTTTCAAGGTACACGTGGCTCTGAGAGGATCGACAAACTGATCGAGTCCTGTAATTTACGATAAAAACAATGAAACATACATAGGTGATATTATCTCACACAACTCTAAAAAATACTCACTCTGTAAGACCGCAGTTGGACACAATTGAGCCAGGCGAGCCGTCATCAAGTACGTAAGCATTTTGATGTCATAGTGATCTTTGAGTCCAGCTTGAACATGCTCCAGGAACTGCATGATATCCACACGATCGAGTCCCTGCTCCAGAAGAGTGTACATGCACTCAAATGCAGCCTTGCGGATGTCCAGGCCATCATCTACAGTGTGTTTAAACGGGCCCATTTCCACTTCTCTAATGAGCTCTTTCTTGATCTTCGTCTCCGAGTAGAGTTGCGGTAGTAATTCTGGCAAAAGATCACGCACGAGACTCGGTTTATTGTGTACAGCCGAGTTGAATGCCACCAGAGCCACGCGTCGCACTGAAGGTTCCGGATCTTGAAGAGCGTACAAAAATTGGCCAATGCACTGACGCAACAGTGGATCGATCGGCTGCGGCTGATCGGAAATGGTGAACTTGATGGAAGAGACCACAGCTGTGCGCATTAGCGGACTCTCACTCTTCAGCGCTTGCTGAAGACGAGGCAATAGCTCATCGGGCAGCACGAGAACGAGTTTTCCCAGACACTCGGCTACGACGTTTCGAGATCCCTCCTCTGAACACTCGCAGTGCTTGAAGAGCTGAGCCCAAATTGACGGCACTGATGGGATGAGTTGCTCTAGACCGCCTTTAGAGAGTGATAGAGAAGAAATTACCTCTTTCAGAGAGTGCAGTAGCAAGTATTGTCGCTTGGGCTGCGCCTCAATCTCGCTAAGGATAAACGGGAGGTAGCAATTGAGATTTCCTACAGCGACAGCGCCCAAAGCGTGACTCGCAGCTGCCTTGACATCTTCACTCTGGGCAGCAAAGCAATTCAGAATACACTGAGGCAGCATTTCGATGTTGCTGAGGTTGAAGTGTCGTCCAATTTCGCCGATTGTGAGGAGACAGAACACCAGGTAAGTGTCAGATTTGCGATCTTGGATGTCGTGCAGAAGTTGAGCTGCCACAGGTTCCGCTTGCTGTGGCACTTGAAGTGTGATGGCAGCCACACACTTGGCCAGAGAGTGATAAGCTTGCTTGTGTAGCACCTGACCGGGCTGCTGATTAATCACCGGTGCCATGAGGAGCTCCAGTAAATAGTTGTAGCTCAGACGCGGCAGATTTGCCTGCACTAGAGCCTGGAAGAACTTGAGCGTGCAGTTCAGGGCCGTGCCTTGAAGCAGTGGCGATCGCACGAGGGTCATCACTTCAGGCAGAATCGCTTCGTATACGCCTGCCTGAGGCTGTTGCTGGGCAGCCGAAGTCAGGAACACCAGTGACAGTTGAGCGACATGTAGATCAGACTCGGAGAGAAGCGGTGGGACCTCCTGAATAGCCGTCTTGAGGAGTTCCGGATTGAAGAAGGGACTGTAATTGATGACAAGTGTGTCCAGAAGTGTCAAGGAATTGAGTTTCAAAGCACGTTGATTCTTTCTCAGGAACGACCCCAAAGTTGGAATCACATCAACAATGATTGGGGACAAATTCACTCTCAGCGGAGATGCGGCAATCATCGTGAGAGCCTTCACTGAAGACAAGCGAGTCACTTCATTCCTCAGACGCTCCATGAATAGTGGCAAGCATGTTGTAAGCTCAGTTCTCAGCACATCGCCCATATTGGCGATGATCTGTCCCATACAAGCAATGGCGCGCTCTTTCACCTCCTGATCCACCTCGGGAGATCGTAACTTCTGCAGTGTACAGTTGTATAATTGCGGTACGAATGGAGCAAAGTCAAAGTTAGTGTCCATCGATAGTGGGCGAATCACCTTCACCAGTTGCTGTAGCACAAGGAGAGCTTCCGTGGCGATCTTATAGAATGGATCGAACACAGCATTCTCAACCAGAGGCACCAGAAGTTGGATGTGAGGATGAAATACTTGAGGATTGTGACCCTGAAGCATGCAACAGACGAAACTCAGGGCGTCTATCTTCATATTTGATGTAGAGTTCTTATCGCTCAATGAGTAGTTGATTCCCGGCATCAGTTGATCCACGTGTTTTGCTAATGCTCCGGGCAGTGCATTTAGAAGTTCACGCAGAAGCAGGAAACAATCTTGACGCGTCTTCACCGACTTCTCGCGCATCAGCGGCTGAATAGCACGGATTATTTCTGGCACTTGATCTTGCAGCATGCTAATGGGTCCGGGAACTTGCTCCATGGAGTCTGGATCATGAGTGGAGTCATCAGACGGACGTGTTGCCTTCAGCAAGGCAATATAGGCATGGAAGATGTCGGATTTTACATTCTCCTCGCGCTCCTTGAAGCGCAAAATCAAGGCTGGCGAGAGAGTCTTGTAGAACTCTTCAAGCAGCTCATGACGTGTGGAGATGACAGACTCCAGACACTTTGCAGCTGAGCGACGCACCTTCCAGCTCATATCGTCATCATCACTGTACTCCTCGCTGTCCACATCCTCCTCTTCCTCTGTATCCATTGACACGCCGGCGTCTCCATCGTCTGCCTCGTAGTTGTAATTTGGGTCATAGGTCACGTAATCCAGGCACAATGCCACAATGCTTGGTATGTGAGGCACAATCGCCTCCGGACACCTCTGTATGAACGCTTCGCATGCCTGCAGGCAGAATTCGCGCAGCTCATCATCTTCGCGCTGGCTGTACTCGTTAAGCAACACCATCACGCGATCAATATGATTGCAGAGACGATGTCCAGCCTGACGGCAAATTGACGCCAGGCACTGGATGTAGGTGCGAATTGTGCTGGTGTTCTGTGGCTTCTTTAGTCCATCCAGCAGGTACTCAATGACTTTGTTGTAAGCGCAGTTGCTGCAGGATGTAAGGAGATGCGACAGCGCCACAATTGTTCTCTTCCGCACCGCTTGACGCTGAGAGCCCAGTTGTGGCATTAACGCCTTCAGGATGGTATCGTGAAACGGCACAAGGAGATCACCGAAGCGCGACAGCAGATCCGATAGAATGTCCAGAGCCTCAAGTTGCACACTCACGTCCTCTTTCTCGATGGCATTACTCAATTTCCCGGTGATTCTCTGACATACATTCGGGGCCAAAGAGTTGGGCGTCTGTGGCAGTTCTGAAATTACCGTTTTCAACCCTATGCTTGAGATATCTCGCAATTGCTCCTTGTTGGACACCATATTAGCGCATAGAGAATCCACAATTGTCTCCACTTGGTTCTCCTTCACCTTTATTACCAGCGGCCCGAGGCTGTGATAATGGAAAACATTAGTGCATATTCTACGAAATCAACAATAAGCTCAACTCACCACTTCACCGCAAGATTCTGCACTTCTCCATTCTTATCCTCAAGAAGCCTCAGGACCATTCGGACCACCTTTTTCTCCGACTCATCGTCTAGTTTGATGCTATCCTTTTGCAGTTCCGTCATCAAATCGTTCGTGGCCATAAAGCGAAAGTCCTTGTCGTTGGAAGTCATCTGGAAAAAACCATCTCAACATAGTAAAGAGGAAGCTTCCCGAAAGAGTTGCTCTCTAGAAATGAGGTTATGTGTGACAAGTGCTATTTTTGCACAGTTACATGCACTTTTCCTTCAATGATTCCATACAAAGGCATGTTAGGAGTTTTAATTTATGCTCTAATCGTGATAATATGATCATTTGTAATGAGAATATCCCTTTTCCTGCGCTTCTCTTTGTTGATTGATGGTTTTCATCGCTCATGTCTTAAGAATAGCTTCTTCAAGTAAGAACACCAGAAAATAGACGAGAATTTACGATATCTCACAAGATAACTCATTTAATGCATTAGAAGATGATTTTTTCGCAGAAATATCCCTTGGTTCCTCAGAAAATTCATATAATTCCCGGAAATCACCTAACTTGATGCAATTCTTGCCCCTCATTTTTCCCATATTTCCGGGAAAATCTCACCTTATCCAACAGATTAGCAATTTGGTAGGACGCCATCGTGACGTCTTCTTGCAGATTATGCCAGTAAAAGTATCAAATTCACAGAATTTCACGACTTTTCAGTATGTGTGTGCTTTTCTTTCTCCAAATTCACTCGAATCGAATTGACAACCGAAGCCGCAGACAGCGCTGCCAAGTGGGAAAAAACCATAAAAAAATGCCGAGGAAAAAAACGTGGCGCTGCGGGCGTTTTCGATATTCTGAACTGTCAAATTAACAAGGATAGAGAGGAAAAGTGAAAATGTAAAGAATTGCGTGAAAAAGCGGAAAAGGGGTTGGAAAATTTGATTACGCGACTGGCTGCATCGTGAAAATGGAAGGTGATAAGTTCTTGATGGCGGCTGGCGTGACGGCGGCGGTTGTTGTGGGTGCGTTTGTGTTTTGGGGCCCTTCAGGTGAGTGCCTGTGACCGAGTTTTCACAATGGGAAGTTTTAATGATGGTGTGGGGGTATTTTTCCTCACTGTAGGAGCATCACGCGTGCGCCAACGACGAGGTCAAATTGCCGGCCTCCACAACTTTGGCCGAACGTGCTTCCTGAACGCCCTGCTTCAGGCTTTGTCTGCCTGTCCGCAGTTTATCGGCTGGCTGCAAATCTCCAGTGCAAATGACAAGAGGAGCCTCGTTTCGAGTCTCCTGAGCACACTAGAAATTATCAACGGCACACATCCATCGCTTCGCGGTGATCCGCACTCGCCGGGGTCCGTAATTCGCGCCTTGACGACGCTTGGCTGGGTCATTCCTCCCGATGAACACGACGTCCATGAACTCCTGCATGTGATGCTGACATCGCTGGAAGAGGAGTTGGTAAAGCCAAAGAAAATGGGCTGTCTCTCAGACGCTCTGGGCCAGCAGCTGCACGTGGACATCCCACAAGCTCGTCCCTCCAGTGCCATGCTCTCTGACTTTGATAATCCCGAGTACAACGAGATGGCCAATCTCATGCGCCACACTCGCTCAGAAGCCCACACTCCCGATTCCCCACATTCCACCTGCACAGACATCGATGACTCGGTCGATACGTCGCTCCTAGACGAACAGCTGGTGAGGGAATTAAACAAATTTTTTATACATAATCTTTCATCTTCAGTGAGAACATAGCTAATCTTTTACGTTCTCTTTCCAGGCTTCTCCGTCGATGAATTACCGCATGAGCCGAGGCGGAGGCACTGGACATGAAAGCGCCCTCGGCGGGAGTCTCAGCAAAAGGATCTCAATGTCCTATCGATCGCTGGATCGTCTCAATCGTGGCCCAGGCCGCGTGTCCGTATGGAGCGATCGCACCAGCATTCAGGTGCCGCATCCCTTTCGCGGAGCCCTCAGCAGCCAGATGACATGCTCGGGTTGTGGCTTCAAGTCTGTCGTGCGCTACGACAAGTTCGACAGTGTGACTCTACCTTTGCCTGAGGTGAGGAATCCCGGACTAAGTCTGGGCCATTTGCTGTCTGAGTTCATAGCGCCGGAGACGCTGACTGATGTGACGTGCGAGTCCTGCAATGAGACCACGGTGCACACGAAAACGCTGACTTTCGCCAAGCTGCCGGCATGTCTGTGCGTGCACATCTCGCGGTGCACGTGGCTGCAGATGGGCGGACAGGTGTCCAAGCGGCAGGATTACGTACACTTCCCTGAGAGTCTCTCAATGGCACCGTACAGCTTCGTTCAGCCGGGCCTCAGCAGTCAGATGAGTACGCCCTGGGGCTCCACACTGTCGCTGCTGTCCAGCAGCTTCCCCACCGGTGGCGGTGATACTCCCACCGCCTCCACGCCCTACAACTTCGGCTCCATGTTCCCGCGCAACCTGTACCGCCTCTTGGCCGTCGTGGTACACTCAGGCGAGGCTAGCTCCGGCCACTACGTCACGTACCGCCGCGGCGCCCTCCGGAACGCCCATAAGTGGTACTTCACGTCGGACACGGTGGTACGCGAGGTATGCATTGATGAGGTGCTCAGCGTGCCTGCTTATTTGCTCTTCTACGACCGCGGACCGCAGAAGTGCCACTAAATCTCTCATTTGCGCATTTTCACTTCGTGCTGGACAGTGTGATACGTTTGGACGACCCCATAGAATTCCCAAAGGCATTTAAATAGCATATTCTCGATGTTGTGTCATGTGTAGAGGTTGCAGATTCATTGCAAGGAATAAAATTTTATTTTAGAATTTCCGCGATTGAGTCTTTGGCGGGCGCCGGATTTTGGGAACAGTTTCTGTTGAAGGGCGATTTTCTCTCCAGAAATGCTTATTCACATTCACCAAAATTGTAGCTTCGATATCTTCGATATTGTCAGCAAGATTGCCATTTAAAAAAAATGTACCTAATGGAATTCAATTTTTGTACAAAGTTCTATAGAGTCATTAATGCTCTAATTAATGATCTCTAAATGATTGCAAAATCAAAGTTACAAGTGTAAATGAATTAATTCTAACTAGTTTTTAATAATTATTTTAATCAGGATTTTCTGCAGGTTTTACAAATATTTTCTTAGAATTGTGAAGTAAAAATGGTATGAAAAAAGTATATAACACAAGAACACATACATAGTGATAGAAGCAAAATTTACGAAGAAATTATATTGTATTATTTGAATGAAAGAAAAACATTAATTCTACATTAATTCCTTTCTCAACATGATGATCCACAATGTTCTCTATTTAATCGTGACATCGGGTTTTGAGTTGATAAACCCTAAATGGGAACAGAATTTAACCCAGTAAACACTGGGAACACGGTGAACATCATTGATTTTCCAAAGAGGGGCAATAGTGCAAAGAGATTGTTTTTCTCTTATTTCTCAAAGGAAAAAGGCAGACTTTCTAGTGATAAATGAGTGGATCGTGAAGAAAAATTATCCCAGAACTCTTAGGAATACGAAATGGTGAGAAAGCTGTGAATATTTAAGTGATTTTCAGAATGAAACATGACGTTGAGGTTAAATGATTTGGGGTCCGATGACTAATCTTTCCTTCATCCTAAGGTTTCCATCGAGAGTGGAAATCAAAAGCTGTCATACTGCGAAATTGAGTCCTTGTGGCATCTCTTCAACGCGCCCACCACAAACAATGAGAAAAAGCACGAGATTGAGGCACGACTGAGGTGCTGGCAACTGCAGGAGGGCGCTTGGCAGCTGTGCTTGCCTCAGCTGAGTGACTTTGGGGCAACAATATGGTTTTTCAACGCGTCCACGGTTGAGGTGACAATTAGCCGAGGATGGGGAAACCTTCCGGTCAGCAGCCGGACGATGATAAGGAGTGCTCTGTGGGGAACTTACATGAAAACTGTGGCGGATATGAGATTTCAACGGAACAAACTAGCACAGCTGATCGCCTTGGTGGGGAAGAGAGAGTTTCCGCAGGATCATTCGGGATACATGAATGATGTGGGAAATTTGCTGAAGGTGAATTTCAGTATGGGCATCCTTTTACTGCGCTGTACGTCCGAAGAAGTGACTAGCACGAAGGAGGACGTGACGAGTGAGCGAAAGAGACACTTCCAATCCTGCGTGGCGGCTTGTGTGCCGGATATATTTAGATTGCTCAACAAGTTTCTCTCCGTCACGCTGTTCAGAGTCTCGAGAGCAGGACAAGTCTTTGCGAATGGCGACGTGAAGCTTGAAGAGTTCGAGGGAAATTTAGAGAGATCAAGTCTGGAATTACTTACGTGCGTGCAACACATGTTCTCTTGGGTGCCGCTCGAGCACGTGCTGGATGACTTCCTCCTGGGCGCTCTTTTCGAGCTGGCCAAGTGGAACGACGCCCACTCAGACGTGGCGACCTCCACCTTAACTACAATCTGCGAGCTCTTTTACCGCCAGAGCGCCATTCCGCACGTGGCCATCGCAACTGGTATTATGGCGCTGCTACAGGCCAATCTCAGCGACGCCTCTGAGATGTACCAGGACAAACTAACTGAACTCCTAAGACTTTTCACCACGCAACAAACCTCACGCTGGATTTCCGACGAGACATTCCTCAACCTGCTCTGCGCTTTATACAAGTTCACCTTCGCCGGCTACGGCGCCCTCGCCTTTACCGAACGTCTGACCATCTGGACGCCTATCGTGAAGGTGTTGCTGCCAAAAGGTTTCGGCGTGTATAATGATCTCCTTATGAGCCTCGCTGCGGGCACAATAAACAAAATGCAGTTCCAGAACGATCAGAACGAGGGCTTTCTTGAGCTCCTCGATAACAGCACTCTGGATGACGATCTTGAGACGGAGTGGCAACACTTCCTCACGCAATGTATCGAATCCGTGGCTCTGATCGCCGAAGGTAGTCCTGAACCTGTGCTGGAGATCGTACTAAACGCGTGGAAGGCCTCCTTTGAGGTGTTTCTTGTGATAGAAAAGGCCATAATCAATGAATCAAGCCTCTGGACCAGCACTTCCAAGTGCCACTACATTCACTGCGTCTTGCGTGATCTCTCCTCCCTCTGCCAAACACTCTCTCGTCTGGTGCCCATCATCGAGGCCTGTTCTGAGAGAGTGTCGGAATTTGTGCTCACAGTGGCCATCGGTTTGGTGCTGACTGTAAAGTTCTTAGCCACGAAGAAGCCTTACAAGATGTCCACATTCACCGAAGAGATTCAGGTGGACTTTGCCGAGACTCTGGCTCAAATGCTTGCCGCCCTGCGAGGTCTTCTGCCCTGGTCAACAGTACTGAAGTTCGATGCGTCCGTGAACTCTCTGATCGACGTTGTGGTGCACATTCTGCTGCCCACGGAGACGCTAGAGCCGAAGATTGTCACTCTGGCAGCGGCGCAGCTTCTCATCGGTATCACTTCCATCATGCGACCAAGCACTCTTCAAGAGCAGAGTGGAATGGTGCAGCTGATTCAAGCAGGGAGGAATTTGTCGCATTTGGACAGACAGACTAGTCAACTGGTCTATCAGTCAATTTGTAATTGCCTGATTTTGCCACAATTCCAAGGTGCAGGATCGCACGATCACCAAATGGTGCTGAATCAGCGAACAACTCGTCTCAGCGAGTACATAAATACTCTGGCCAAAGAACTTCTTCAACTGGGTACCGTTAACGTCTCAACGGCGAACAGAGTAACTGAAGTTGTTACAAGTGTGCTTCCAATCCTTCGCGATATACTCGATTACTACGAGAGTGCGGCGTCAGTAACAAAACAGATCCTTTTGTCGGCCTTCCGTGGAATTTTGGAGAAGAGTCTGCAGATCTACAATGACTTCTACACCTCTTGTCCTGGCATCACAGACACTGTGCTGTCTTTTGGCTTCAGCGTAATTCGAACACTGCAGATTCAATTGGGCACAGAATATGTAAGACATATTCTGGGCAACTTTCTTAATGCCTGTACAAAAAATAGCTTCACGGAGTCACAAATGAAGTCAACGGAAACTCTGCTACAGATTCTGTGCCTGATTGTCAAAACGTCAGGAGCGTCAGTTCTGCTACCGGCAATCTTGGAACTCACGTTGGACCACTTGGTGCCTTTTCTGGTGCAGGAGAGAAATTGGACCACAAAGTCTGATATTGTGGCAACACTGTACGAATTGTTTGATGCTATTCTCATCAATCATTGGCAGTACTTCTACAAGACAAGCGTTCTAAGGCGCCTTAAAACTGACGAGCACGTCCTGACTGAGGGTGAGAAAGTGCAGCACGTGGAGCGATTCCTCGCTATTCTCACCATGTACGGTGATGCTCTGGTGCAGAACGATCCGCACATTTGTCAGATTGTCCTTAAGTCGCTTCAGGCGGTGAATGAGCATTGGAAGTTGTATCAGAAGGAAACATTCCAGACTCACTTGCTCTCATCATTCCAATACACCCTTATCAATTGCCTCCTGATGCCCGAGGGCGCGCTCTTCTACGACCAACTCATGCAGACGCTCTTCACGATGGGTCAAGTCAACACACAGACTCTCTACAGATCCTTCCTATCGGCGGGATTCACTCCAGAGTCGGAAATGGTGCGGGAAATCTGTGCGACTTCTGTAAGATCCTCATTGCGTTTACTTAAAATACACACTCTCAAGACACTTCTCTCTTGCAGGATCTCCCGACATTTTCATTCCGGATGGGCCACTTGATACAAGACACTCGCTGCGGACAGAGTTCCAAATCCCAAGTCAAGGGAACACCGTGAAATATCATTCCCAGCTCGTCGAAATTGTATAGTCTTTTTTTCATTCAATAGATATTTTATCGGAGCAAAGCGTTATCACAATGAAAATCTCTGGGGAAGGGACGCATTACGGCGTTTGCGGTGGCGCTTGGCTGAAGTATGGCGCCGTGTTTTGCATGAGGAGTGTGTGGCAGACGTCACAGACTCGCGCTGGCTTCTTGTGCGGTCCAGACGGAACAGTCCGGCTCAGACACTTATCACAATAGATTGTTCCGCAGTGGCGACAGTGTTGCTTTCTCTTCGTTACGGTGAAGGGTGACTTGCAGTTGGGACACTGATCCACATCTTCGTCGTCCTGCCAGCGCACTTGCGTGTCAGCCACACGGATCTTCTCCAGTTGCATCTGCGGGAAAAGATTTTACTTCAACTTTGCTCCAATTGAATCTCAATATGGGACTCTAGGAGAAATCACGGCTTTGCATGAAATGATCAAATTGAGTGTTTATCAACATGAATTTACCTGCAAGGATTGGGAAAGTCTGACAAAATCCTGCTGAACTGCTTCGCCATTGGCCATATCTTGCTGAAGAGTAGTCACTTTGCTCTTCAAATCTGCATTAGTCTTTTCCAATTTGGTCTGCAAAAGAAGAGGACAATTCAATGTGGAATAAAAAGAAAGTATACGAAAAGAACTTACATTGAGCGCGCGCAGGTCGATGGCTTGCTCCCTGAGTTCTGATGACTCCTTTTTGTATTCCACCTCCTTCCGCTCGAATGCCTCCTTGAGACCCGTCAGCTGTCTCACCTTTGCCATCGATTCCTTCAACTGAAACTCTGAACTCCGCAAATTAGCCACCATTTCCTTCTCATACGCTTGGCGCTCTTTGTAGAACGACTCCAGCTGATCCCTCAACAGTTGTGACTCATCCCTCAGACTGATGCTCTTCGTTTGCTCAAATTCACACCCTACGCGCGCCTCAATAAGACTCTGATGCACTTGCAAGAGCATCTCCTGCAGCTCCTCAACCGTGTTAGGCAGATTAATTTCCTGATTTTGAATCTCTTCCGATGTGGCGAGATATTTACCCGCCAAAATGTCATTGTCACGCTGCAGAGACTCCAAATGACGATGGACACTCTCGCGCTCGTGCGTGAGCTTCAGTAGTTCTTGGTTAATTTCATCTTTGATCTCATTGTAGTGCCTCTGAAGATGAGCGAAAGAGTCCTCGGTCTTCTTCATATTTTCCGTCAGTGAGAGCACTTCATTCTTGTGCGCCTCTCGCTTCTCTTGCCACTGAGACTCCAGTTCACGTCTAAGAATAGCTTCATGACCCAGGTCCTCTTTGAGACGTTCCACCTGCTTCACCACCTGTTCCGTCTTTGCCTGTTCCTTCTGGACGTTCTCCTGTGCTTGCACCAACTGCATTTCATAGTTCTTACACATCTCACAAGGAAACTGACCGTCAACTGCCGACTTGCTGTCACTTCTCGGCTGGGTGTCCTTCAACAGACCGCCCACGGCAAAATCTGAAGCCGCTCCACCACGCATAGATTGAAGCTCTTCGTCAGTGGCTCTTAGTTTTTCCTTTAGAGCTTTTATCTCCTCCTCCAGAGGTACAACAAGTGAACGTAGCACTTCAGCGTCTTCCTGGGCCTGAAGCATAATGAAATACAGCATTACAAAATATATATCTATGGACGCCCTATTTTTTATCATCTAAAAAAAAGACAATTGACACGTGATAATGCTCTGACAATTCCCTCATGGAATTGATTAGAGTAAACAGTGAATTTTGAAGAGATAAAAGTGGATTACCTACATATTTGTTTACCTTCCGCATGGAATCTTCGAGATTGTCATCCTTGGAGTCAGCGCCCAGCTTTCGGGCGATCTTCTTCACATGACTGAACACAGGAGCGAGACTTGGAGATTCCTGTGACGCAGAAAACATTCTGTAATCATACTCTAGAGTGAGTTAAAGAAGATGTCGCACCTGATTGCTCAGCATTTCCTTGAGATTGTGATTCTCTTGGCGGATGCGTTCGTACTCATCGTAGAGACGCTTCTGGTCATCTTTGAGTTGACTGGATTCATCCAAAGTGTCCTGTACGAGTTGTCTGAGCGATGCAAGTTCCTCTTGTGCCTTCAATTCCTGGTTTTGCATCTCATTCTCCTTTCGATACTCCGCCACAATCAGCTGACTCTTGGCCTCATCCAGTTCTTTGGTTAGACTGTCGATCTTTATAGAGTGCTTCTTGCACTCCGCTGTGAAGGAAAAGCCCCAACATGACTTCCTGGAACCACTGTGACTAAGAAAATTGCCAATTAACCTTCTTTCTGCAAATACAGCTCTCTCATCTTGGCACGCTGTCCATTGAATTCCTCGCGAAGCTTTCTAATCTCCTCCGTCTGTTCTGCCTGATTGCTGACCACCGCAGTTACTGGAGCGTCCGCCCTGACTGACTCTGTAAATACAGCCCGAACATAATCTATATTCTACCGTGACGGCACTTTAACCTTACCTGCTTCCTCCTCGTTTACTCCTGACACTTTTTCGTCCATTTCGCAACTAATGGGGTTCTTTTTTACGCCAGAAACAAAAAACACACTTTTGTGTGACCCACTGTCAGTGGCCCCAAATATTTGGGAACAGTTTATTTCACACTTGGTGCGCTGCTATCGCTCAAGAGCTTTAGGCAAATATGAGCGCGTAATTTAAAAATTTTCTCAACAACTAAACGATGTGAAAACGCGGTGTTGTCGAATATTAAATAAAATATTTTTGAATATAGAAAATAGTAGTTTCCTTCGGATATATATTCTTATAATTACGATTATAGGGCAACTTTTATCTTTAGTAAAATCCATAAGTGGGAAGTGTCCACTAAAAAATTCTGAGGATAGAAAAAAGCAAAAACTTTTATCCATACAACACATATTTATTCGTTTTCTGATCCATAATCTATCGCGTAAAGGTTTAAGAAGTAAAAATACAATATTAATATTTACACATAATCATCATATTGCACTACATATTATAAACGAGATCAATTTGAAAGCTGACAGTTTCCACGAAAATTTTCTTGCTGAAAATTCCGTATATGAGTTGAATGTATTTTTGCTGGTAACCTTAGTGAATAAGATAAGATAGGTCAATATCAATTCTCTGACAACGACTACACTTATATTCTAGTGACTAGATTGAGCTCATCCTTGGATATTCTATTTGTTCACAATGAATTTTCTCAATACCCGAATTAATTGTAGTTTTCCTTACATATAGCTTAAAATATCACTTAAGATCTAGTAAATTGTTGATAAGACAGTTATCTAAAACTATTAGTTACTACTGTATCCGTATTAGGATTTCCTGCAAGCAAAAAGGTCTTTTTGCCAAGATTTTGTTGCGAGATGAGAACGTGGTAAGCTAGGCTATGGTTTTAGGTTTGTGTAGGATATCCACTAGGGTATTAGTTGAGCATCATAATCTGCATTTGATATTAGAAACATGCAAATATACTCGCAAGGATCTCTGAGTAGTTTTTCACTTCTCCAGTTTTCGTCTATAAAGGAGATCAGATCCTCTTGTGCGTGTTTTGAGAAGCGAAGTCAAGAGAATTACATTGAAATTAATTCAATATGAATTCTCACATGTTTTTGTAGCAAAATACAGACTTCGATACTTATTGAATGTCATCTGATATGGCGTTGAAGAGTGTCTCATTCAGTGGATCAATGGAGTCGGTGGGTTGAATTCACACATTTCCTCCGTACGGAGTGGAGACATCGCTAATCCGTCGGCTGAGTGAGGACTTCTTGTTGAGTGTGTTATGTGTGCTGCGATGGTGTGGGAAGAGATTAAGTGGGGCGATGTTGGGATGTTCAATTCGCGTCGGAGAGCTCACGTGGGGTCGTGGTGAGCCGTGTGAGAGCGTGCCCACGACCTCCTGTGGCTCCTGATACCCTGAGTCCATGTCAATTTCATCGAGATTATTGTGATAGGATTCAATGAGTGGTGTCGGATCTTCATAGTCATAATCCACGAAGCCAGAATTATCAAACGAGGACTGCAAAGAAGGCAAAATGTTACAGAAATTCCCACACATCGCTCACTTTACAACGTACCAACCTTAACTGGTGTTCGATTTATGGTGTGATGCACCGGAGGTTCGGGTTTGCTGACCGAATAATCCACTACTTCGTAGTGATCTTCCTGATAGGGATCTGTGACAAAGTGGCGAGTGCCATGGGGTGTGAGTGCAGCCCAGAGAACACGATTGTCGTGCGCCAGTTGTTGCTGCAAAGTGTGAGTGGCGCTTGGAGTCGGGTAGAACATCGTGCCAGTTAAGTAACTCCCATGAGGCTTTGCAGAAGTCAAGTTGGGCTCACCAATAACTGGCATTGGCGGTTTTGATGTGTCGTGGTAAGAGTAATTGTAGGATCTGCAGAAGAAATTTTCAGTAGCGTTTTAAAGGCATTCTATAAACGAACTAAAGAGGAGAGAATAAGGTTTTCGTCATTCATACTCACTCTCGACACTTCATGAGGATCATGGCGAGAATGGCGCCCAAGAGTAGAACTCCTACACACGACGAGATCAACACGAATAGCCAGGTGTCTTCTACGCCCATGTTCTTGTGGCTTAACTCAATGAACTCAATGCCAGAGTGTTCTCTTGGTCCTGGCGAGGGTTCACACATGAAAGCCGCGAAGCAAGGCTGAGAATCATTTCCCGTGAGGGAGGCGATTGAGTTCCTTGGGAGAAGGAATGAGGGCAAGGGCGGTGGAGGCATTGAGAGGATCATGTCCGGGGGTGGACCTAAATCGTAACAGTCGCCAATGCACGCCATCATGGGACACTCGTCGTCCACTTTAAACTCTTGTATCCTTTGCCTATAATGCAAAAAATACACTAATTAAGGAATATTTCATAAGCAATAAATTTTAATGGAGCGAACATAATTGTGAAACTCAAAACCACTGTCGAAGGGTGGATTTCCAAAGTGCGCAGGAAAAAATGCCAAGAAGGACTATGAAATGTGAGATTGTAAAGTGAGAAAAGGGCCTGAAAAATGCGATTGTAGGTGAATGTGCGCCCCATTTGTGGCCTCTTCACCTACAAACCACTTTCGGAATGCTATTCTGCTCTTCCTATCAACCCCTATTTTCGCGTACTTCCGCCTTTTCCGTGTCATCGCCGCCGAAAGCAATGTATTGCAACTATTCTTTGTACAGCAATCGTATTGATTTTCTCTCGAGTCAACCATCACCGGGTTGATTGTACTTTTGGGGTGTCACACGACCAAGGGGAAATGGCTAAAGAACGCGGATGTGTCGCAATTGCACCCTTCTTTAACATTCTGAGTGCTAACTGTCTTAGTATGCAGAATTTTTTCCCAAAACACAAATTTCAGGCGCTGTTTTTTTGTCTCACCTGAGTTCTGTGTCTCTTTGTCGTCTTCTGCAAAAATTTTAAACAATTCGGGGTACTTTTCCTCACAAGAAACCTCACACAATTTGCACAGTCTTTACGGGGTGAAACAAGAAATATAACTTAGGTTGGTAGAAAAAAGTGTCTTAAATGTGATTTAAAAGGTGTGGATTGTTTGTTGGGAAAAATCACACAGACTGGAGGGATTTTCTACCCTTCGATGGTGGTTTTTCATTGCGACGCGTCGCGACGCATGCGTTCTTCATCTAGTTTAGTTACTCATCGTTTGAGGGAGAATTGAAAGAGAGGGAAAATAGTCGGCGTAGTGCTTAAACAGAAGACTTGTAAAATCCGAGACTTTACTTTAAAACGATTGAACTACTATTCAATAAATATCTACTGATTGTCTGGAATAAATCTTCGTATATGACTACGTTTTAGAAAGTTCTTCATCCAGATAAATCTTTAAAATTGTGGTAAACTCTAGATGTTGATGCTTACCAATATAACTCCTTCCGGAATTTAGTACTGTGAGCTCAGTCATGAGGTTTGCCTCTGAGTATCCAAAATCCCGCTCTCAAGTTACCCCAAATGGTATTGATTTTAATGGCGAAAAGCGGCAGTTGGAGAGTTACAGGGTGTCTCTGAGATGCTAGTAAAAGCATATATGTGCGTGCTCTTTCAAAATGGGGGAGGAATATTTTGATGGAATCCGGATGTCAAAATATAAATTCCCTAAGGGATGTTTTCCAACCGACCTAAAAGGATTAAAAAAAATTCCAACGCCGCACAATGACTATGTAATATAGATTTGCGGGTAAGCCAAATGCCTTTATGACAACGTAGTTTCGGGGGTGCGAAAAAGATGGAGATTTTCTCTGAAAAATTCTCAGGTTTTTGTCTCCTTCAGAGTTTGATGCAATCGTACAAACGTTCCAGGTTTAGTGTGAGGAATATTGAGCATCACCTCGAGCAAATTACAAAAGCTCTTGTCACCTACACTGTCAATGCGCGTGAAATTGGAGTAATTGAGGAAAATCCATCAGATTCACGATTCGTGAATGGAATCGCAATCCCACAGTGTCTGGGCTTGTGCGTGTCTTAATCCCTCTTACTAAGAACCACGGAAATGAGGAGACAGTGGTAACGGAAAAAATGACCCTCCAAGAGAATGAGAGACTCCGTGTGAAGTGAAGCAATTCAGGAGCCTAATTTATTGTCCATGGCGTGTATGTGTAAAGTTTAACAAACATTGATTGAATGAGCGGAGGGTGGATGGTTCCACCCGCCCTGCTGACGTCACTGCGGGTGGGGGTCTTGTGGTGTGAAAGACTGGAAAATGCGCTAGGAGATCGGCGCAAAGGAACCAACACCATTTTCCATTGATGCGATTTCATGTCGAATCGTTTTCGTGCCATGACGATCACTCAATGGGTGAATTATTCAGCAGGAACCATCTGAATTAGTATCCACCTCCTTTATGTTCGTTCGGTATGTGGATAACATACAACAGTGCATGTACACCTCCGCAAAATGCGCTGTCAGGGAGTTATCCAATTGTAAAAAATTGAAACACTCTGACAGGCAAGAAGTGGAACAAAGCACTAGAACATCCTACAGCCCTGGATTTTCATATGTCTTCTTTCCTCCTTAGCCCAGCCTTAAAGACCTGTGTGACCAGTGACTTCCGCTCACAAGGATTGCTTCATTCTGCAATTTCTTCTCCCATTGTCTATCGATTTACATAGTGTACTTGGACTCCTTTCATACAGATTAATGCCACATTGTGTAAATACACAATTTGGTCAACAAACCGTGTCTGCTGAAGTGGATGGATTTTATAGTAATTCTCTTATGTCTCAAGAGTTAGACAAGGGTTTTAATTTTTCGAATGATGTTCGATGAGAAAATTTAATAAGAGATGATGTATTGGATTCAAAATGAAAGAAAGAATGAAATTGTGTATGGTAAATTTTAATACTCGAATATTATGTTATATAGTCAAATCATGCCTCTGAGCCCTCTGAGATTTGCAGTTTTATCTTATATGTATACATATAAGGTATGCCGAAACGATTCCAATCCGCCGATTTTATTTTAAAATTATTTTGTAGATTAATTGGATAACACTTCTGCGTATTAAAACTATTATTAAGTAATTTAATGCAAAAAAATAATTAGTGTTATTACTGTAAAAAATTCTACGTCACTTGTACAATTTATTTAATTAATTGGCGAATTTTATGCATATTACGTTTATTGATCAAACATGACACCTTCCTTTGTGTGCATTTAAAGTGAAACCATCATTACGTTTTCATACAAATTCCAATTCATTCATCAGTAAATTACCGAGAATCTGCTCCAATGCTTTGCTGAATATAAGATTTTCTCACTTCTTGGGAAGATTATATATTAAGAGAATTAACAAAAAAAAATTCGCGATACTTTTATTGTTCGGGCGCTGGTTTGCCTCGATTCGGGCCTGGCGTCGTGAAATTTGCTGAATCTCACTCGAAACGCTCGTAGGTAGTGAGAGCACAAGTCAGTCACGAAACTCGCGTCGACAGAGATGCCGGCTATTTGCTCGTCGGTAGGAAAGAAGTGAACATAAAGAGTGAGAGGGACCAAACAATAAGACGTTCTCAGTGCGCCCAATTTTCACTTTGAAAGGGTTGTGCATTCGATTCTAGTCTCTCTGTTCACAAGAAGGTGAGTTCCGCGTTACAAAAATACATCAAAATTTCATGCAGAGATATGCGCTAACGAGTTGGAAAGAGGAAGAGATTGAGTTCTTTCTGTGTTGGCGTGAATTTCAAGTGCTCCAACATTATAGCAATTTTAATTCGTCCCAATGATACTCAACGCGCGAGGCAAAAAAAGAAGAAATAGATTTATGTATATATTAATTGATTTTAATTATTAGTGGGATGATGAATGTTCAGTGTATAATATCTTCTCTGTGTACGATTCCGTCTTTTTGCTCACGTTGTCCGCTGAGAATGAGAGATGATGTGAAAATATTGAGGGAGATTGACTTGACTAGACTCCACTCCATGAATGAAATATTCCATCACACACCCTTCCTCGTTTTCCTCGGAGCATGCGAGGAGAGAATAAGTATTTTCATGAGATTTTTTATCTGGTGCGTACGCAATTTTTTTCATTTATTATATGCATGTGACGAACGAGAGTGTGATAAGAATCACTGATAATTTCGTGGGTGGACTATGAGAATTTGAAGTGTAGGTTTCAATGTTAATTTTCTCGTTCTTCTCATATATTCATCCATGCTATTATTTATTAAAGTATCCCCTTGGTTAGTACTTATTTAGAGTCATAAAGCAGTAATGGCGCTAAATTACTCTAAGGCATCCATTCGCCTAAATCGGGACATCAAGAGTTTGGGTGTGTATACCCTTATTGGGAAGTGAAAATCATTTCGAGGAGAATTATGCAAGAATAATCATTATGTATATTTTTCCTATCTCATTGCATTAATTAGATCAATACACCCTCGTTACTTTGCGAACGCCCCAAACTTTAACTGGCACAATTTTGAGGAATAAACAACTGCGTGAATTTGATGGTCGTGTGAACAAGTCACAAAATTTCCACTTCTTCGGGAGACGCTGAATAGAAACACCGCACGTCGTTTCGCTAAATGGGATCATATCTTCAGGGGAGTGATATCGAAAGTTTTATATTTCTCCGACAAATTTTACGTGTTTTCCCATCTTCTGAGCTCTATCTTGAAATTTAACAGGAATTTAATGCAAAGATTGTTAATGTTTAATAACATCGATAAAACTCTCTTACAGTGAATAAGGCCTCGACAAAAATAATTACTTTCTTAACGATAAAGTAGAAAGAGAGAGAGAGAGAGAGAGAGAGAGAGAAATTTTGTATGGTAGATTTCACACGGCAAATGATTTTTCAATATGCGCTATTTAAACGTCTTCTCTATTCACTTTCAGTACCCATGCAGATAATTTATCTGCAGTCAATATTTATTGCGTTACAACTTAAACCTTGATGTATTGAACACATTAAGCAGAAAGAGAGCGAAAGCAGAGCAAATATAATTAATTATCATGATCAAAATTGAGTTTATGTTCCACTGTTGAATACTTGGTTTATCTAATAATCCTCTGTTAAAATATATATGACTATAGGTGAAGTATGAGTTATTTTGGTTTCATAAAGTTTAATTTGCTAAATGAACGGAAAGAGTCACATGTCAGTGTAAGAAGTAATGCATCAGCGAAGGAAAAATCACGAGAAAGGAAGTCAAGAAGATAACAAAAATCTAAATTAAGAAGGAAGGTAGAAACTTTAAAAAACAAAGTTCAATTTTTCGGAGATGCAACAAAAATTTCGACTTTAATACACTGTAGTAATGTATTAGCTTTCATAAAGACGATGTTCTCGTGTAAGAAGGCATCACAACGAAAAGGATTAGGATATTCGCGAAGAAAGACTCAATCAGAGATATGAGAGATAACCAGTCTAAGTGCATTTGTCAAACAGAAAGACAGATATCATTATTGTGAGCTTTGCAATAAGGGTGATATAATATTTTTCAACCCACTTTCCCCTAAGTTTTCTTTTTCGATTTTTCCATGAAGCATTTGAGGGATGGTCTGTACAGTAAAAGGGACACATTAACGTTAGAATTCCCATGAGAAATATAGTGAATGTGTTTATGAGAGATAGTTTGAATTATGGACTACAGTTTTAATTGGTTACAGGTAATGCTGGGTAAAACTAGCGAGAAGGAGTGAATTGGAATATGAATTTTACAAGTGGAGAGAGACGAAAGAATAGAGCAAAATCGTATTTGAATAAAATAGGAGAGAGAGAATGAGTATGGTGCCCCATTAATTAAAATGCTGTGCTCGCAGTTTGTACACGTACAATTAATTTTGTAATACAGCCACTACTGTGTGTGTTCAAGTTTGTACGTTTTTAAATATGGGGAGGACTACCCCAAAACTTGCTCAGTGTGGTGGTGGTGAAAAATCGATAAATGCTAAATAACACGTTAAGAACTCAGTGAGAATGTTACATTTTCACATTTTTACTGTTGAACATTTATTAATATACACCTACTGTTGAGAAGGAATTTTTTCCATGAAACCAAATTCCATATCTTTCACGACAAAATGGATTATTTTCAGAACAACACCCCCGCCTTCAATTATGAGGTGTGTGCGTGGTGGGAAATAATGTGGAAATTTTATAGCATGGACATGGTTTCATAAGTGTGTCTCTGTTGATGCAAAAATGTGGCATATAATTTTTCATAAATTCCCTCCGCGCTACGTGACATTGCGCAATTCATTTTTTTAGGATTGGGCGGACTTTATCACATCGTGAATTGGCTGACCAGATGTCTTTTTTTCAATTTGAGAACACAATCACGAGATGAAAATTGCTCTGACTTACACGAATATTACCCAGGAGTAAGACAGAATTGGAGCAAATTAAGCCACGTTTCCCAGTGAATATTTTAAAATTCAAATAAAATATTAACCCAAATTTTTGATCATTTATTTCTCTGCCTTGTTATTCGTATGGTGAGTATAAGTCGATCCGCTAAATTTGTTTCAATTTTCCCGGAAATTATTTATTTTTAGGATACTTTGCACACATTAGCAGATGTGTCTTCGTGCGAAAAATATCCTTAGGAAAGAGTTACACTGGAATAAGGAGCTCAAAGACATTCTCGAGAATGTTGTGGCTTGATATTTGATGTGGGTGAAAAAGTTGTGAAGAGTGCGTGGAAATTTTTTTCTTCACAGCTTTAAAAATTGATACATTTCAAGACCGGGCATAAATCCAATTACAAGGGACTATAAAATTGTGTTCAATTTTTTGAGGTGATTTTCTGTTAAATGCAAAAACTCTCTTGTCTGGAAATTGACAAGGTCGAAGGGTAGCAAAAAATAAATTTTATATGAGAAATCATTGTTAAACATCGAGCAAATGCGATGGATTCTTGAATTCTATAGTGTTTGGGGGTGTTTTCTCCATTTTGTGGCCTCAAACATTATATTCATACCATAATAGAAATGGCCAATAAAATATTTCATTCATCGGGCATCATTTTTTACTTTAGTACCTGACAAATCGATAATGTTGATCTTATGATCCTCTTGATTTGATTTTTGTGAAGGTATGCAAATTCTTGGCCATATTCCTCGAGATAGTGAGCATTAATATGTCTATCTATAATGTTGGTTCAGCAACGACATTCTCTTATTCACTCTTTTGAAAAGGATGGAAAGTAATTAATTTAAAAACGATCTTATCTCAGAGCAAATTACGTTGATTTCCGGAAATTTCAAAATTCACTAGTCGTCGGGGGTGACATCTCTGTATTTGGCTTTTCTACGTTTTTTTCTGAATTTGCTTAGGGATTCAAAGAAAATTGTGCAAATTTTCTGAACTCTCTGAATTTTTAAATTTTTACTACGCTTTCTCACATTTTTTCTCCCTAACTGAGTCGTGTTGCTTGCTCAACACTCGCTATTTAGTTGTATTGAAAAGTGAGTTTTTATTCTATCTAACTAATTTAATGATTTTCCAACATTTACGTTGCCTGACTTTGTCAATTCACAGCGAGAGCGTGTGTACTCACATGAAAATTGCTCTAGAGATGGGAAAAATCAATAATGACTGAGATATAGTTTTATCTCTGCCCCAAAGTTTCTTTATCAAACACAAAGCTCTGTGTCGCGTTTTTTGCTCCCCAACATCCATTTTTTCTTCCTCTTTGACACTTGCCATGGTTGACAAAGTGATAAAACTCTTCAACAAATAAATTCCATGGACAGTTTTGTATCAGGAATCAAAATGAAATGTAATACATCTTTTACACCTGAGCCATTTCACATCGCCATTCATCGGGTGTTTGTCAGACTTTCATTCAATTTGCCACATTTGATGGCTCCATCATGATGCTTTTTTGATGGTCAGTCAAAATAGGCTCCTTCAGTTACATGGAATTACTATTAATTGTCAATGATTAATAATGTATCATCAGGAGAAAGTGTGTTTGCATTCCGACTAAAAATAACACATCGAGCGAGTGTGTAGTAGGAATAAGAGATTACTTCTTAAAATAGATCCTCGGAGTGCCATTTAATTTGGAAATTTTCAGGGGGCGTTTCTGTGGACGAAAGTAACACCTGTCGCATTTAAAATAGTTTAATTCTCTGATTTGTATGACTATTTTTAGATAAATTGTTTTCAGTGTTAAATTAATAATGGGGCTGCACTGTTCAAACTGATAACGACTGACTTAGAGTTATCACTCTTCTGGTCCAATCAAATTTCATTTACTCCAACCTTCTGCTTCATTGAGAAAGATTGTAAACTAAATATTATAATAATTTCCCTAAAATTACGTTGTGAATTCAATATAAGGGATATTCTCTCTCTCCATGAAAGGAAGTAGAATTTCGTGGTTTCTGTAGAAGTACATATAGCAATTTCATTCACGTATGCGAATGTCTAAATATAAAGGAGAAGGATTGGTCTTGTTTGGATTTCAATTTGGGTTTTAAATTAGTAATGAGGCAGAGAGAGAGAGAGAGAGAGAGGGAGATGAATTTTGGTTGTGCTCAGCCTAGAGCATAATCACAAGAGAATCTGTGAGTCATATGGAAGTTGTTCATTGCTCTGGATGTTCACAATGTGTGGGCATGAACGACGGAATAAGAAGGGTCTTTATCTGGTCATTCTCGGTATCATCATTTTGAATTTGCTTGTCTTTCGCCGTAAATATTTGAATGCCGTATTGATATGCGTCTCACTCTTCCTATTTCTGTCTCTCGCTGTAGGTCAGAATAGATAGTGGAGCATCATGTTACTGGGGGCTTGGCCACTGGGTGGTAAAACCAACCATGGATCCACCGCAGCCACATCCACAAAGAGTGGCAAATTTCGCTTCACCCTTCTCTGTGGCGGCTACGTTCTTTTCCTTGTCGTGGGAGCAGCAATTTTCTCTGCCATTGAAGCACCACGGATGGATGAATTTGCCAAGAAACTCAATCTCGCCAGGAGTAACTTCCTCAAGAAATATTCGTGTGTTGATGGTGAGTACTGTGTTAAGCAAAATGGACTTTCAACACAGATTTAATATATTCCCTCCCCATACCACCACTCAAAGGCTGGGATTAGCCTTGTGTGTAGGATTTATTTACATATATTCATGGGAGAATAATTCATTTTCTTGCAATGGGAACAACAAACATTTTTGCCTCCACTCTTTCCTGCTGTAATAGTACTGCGGAGTCATTCTGAACTTTTGAAACTATTAAAGAGGGTGAATTTCATTCATTTATTAAATGAAATGATTCATGAAAGATTGTTAAATTTTAATGAAAAATCTATTATATTACAGAGGTAATATTTTTCAACAAACTCAGAAAATTTAAAGTCAGTTAGCTAGAAGCCGACTTTGTTTTAGACAAAACTTCGGATTATTACATTTTAACCATTTTAACATACTTGCATGTTGATTCTATAGAAATTAAAAAATGGTAATATAAGTATATTTACTTGAAGCATTGAGTCTTTTTCTCCATGTTTTTGACGCTGCATATTGAAAAAAATACAGATTTCAACCTTATGTAAGGTTTGGCGAGTTTGACGATGATTGTAAATTTTTCACAACTGTAGGCGTGCTGATTAGGCGAAGATTAAGACCACCCAAAAAGTTGCAAGAGGTTTAAATAGGATGGATGGAATATCTATCAGACTATACTGGAGTGTGTATTTCTGTATCTAAAATCATGTTGCTTACATCAAGACTTTTGGCCTTTAACAGAAGCAAAGAATTCTGGCGGAAAGAAAACGTAGAGGGTGGTATAGAACAATTCTCTATATACATATGTAATAAATATTTACTTAAGCGCTTGAGCTATTCTGTTTTTCTTTCAGTTTATTAATTTAATGTGGGCATTTTCAAAGTTCAAGATAACATATTTTTCGAGGAAATAGCATTACTCTCCCCATAATGATTAGATAATCACATTGAGGGATGGAATTTTGATGTGAATAATTAATGTTCACATTAATATGATTGACGTTTCCTTAGGAAAATCAATACATAATAGTAATTGATGCATTGAGATTGAAATGTATCTAAACTTTCTCGGTGAAATTTTATACACCCGGAAAAGTGTGATGTATTGATTTAAACTATTTAGAGATGCAATTTGAACAAGTACAGTATTTGAACTTTAGATTTACAACCAATTCTCCTTGTTGATCTACTTCCCCTCATCCAGACGTCCATAATTCATTTGTGAAGACAGAAAGAGAGGAGATTGAGCTTTTACATACTTATTTACATTACATAATTTACATTTCTTGTCCCACTCTTCTCCGCCTCGGAGATTTATCAGAGGAGCGCCTTATCAGTTGAGTCTCTCCCTGACTTTTCTGCCTCTTTCTCGGTATAAATGTTCGGTGGCATATATTAGCTGGAGTCATTGAGTAATTGTCTGCTTGTGCGACAAGAGATTATACAGTTGAAAGTGGATTTTCTTCTCAAGCCGAGAGAGCGATTAGTCTTTAGTTTCGGTGGTGTGATAACAAATATGGTATTTAGTCGAAGCACGGAAAATTGCACACACATTGAGTCAATGTGCCAAGGCATTTGGCTCACTTTTGGCGATGATTTGATCTTCATTTGACGTGATTTTTGGCACTTCGTGTGATCATATCTTTTTGTATTGTTTCTCATCTTCTTTCGCGGTCGTGTTCTCGGTGACATTGATCTTTCGTGGCGGGTTTTTCTCACTTCGCGAAAAAAAGACAGACAGTCTACAGCTATATAACGAAGCATGGAGAAGGCAAAGGTGAAGAAACATCCAGGTGACGAGCTTCACGGACTTTTGTCAGACTTTGCAGATGAATTTGAAGCACGAGTCGATGAAATTCGTCTTAAACAGTCAGAATTGGATTTCAAGCGTGAATTGCATTATGAGGGAATTCACTACAAGAAATTCACGAAGCGGAATCACGCTTACTTGATTGCCTTTGCGATCTTCTACACTTTCTTCTTGGTTCTCGGAGCTCTCAGCTTCATGAGTGTCGAGTCGTCACTTGAACTTGAGACGCGACGGAAGTTGAGCTTGTCCAGAAACACATTTCGTGCCAAATACAGCATACAAGGTTAGCCAAGAGAGAGTTGAGCATTATGGAAAATGTATGTATTTTCATGCTAATACATAAACACTCATTGGGTATAGAATGTGTATGGAAAAATTGTGTTCATGCATTTGAAGTTCGTGAGATACTAATTTTGATATTTGGTGATGTCTCAAAATTTTATTTCTAATTTTTGAGATAACTGCTTTCTATTCATTGAAGGAAAATTAAGTCCCGAAATATTGTATGAAGAATAAAAAAGTGTTTAAGATAAAAATGGCTTTTCCGTCAACAACTTTAAAATATTCATCTATGGGTCGAAAAGGTTCTTTGGCAAAGGAATAACCTTTCTTATTAGTAGGGCTTATTAGGTCTTATTAGTCTTTAGAATTTTTTTAACAATCGTATTTTCCAGAAAAGTCATAAGTTTGGAATAGCGATTATAGAAAAAGTAGACAATTTAATGGTCAAAAAAAGAAAATTTTCATTACACTGTGGGGTAGTTTGTGCGTCTCATAATATTAGCAGGACAGTGATAAAAAAATGCGTTATCAGAAAATTTATAACAGCAATTAATTACTTTGCGTTCTTTGCTGGTGTATTTCCTTCTTTATCATATATTATCATGTTATAATGTGCGGTTAAAACGTCTATTATTTCGTAATTTTCAGTAAGAAGACTCACCCTGTGGTGAAGTTTCTTGAATGGGGAAATATTTTTAAAATTGTAGGTAACAAATAGAGCGAGAAAGAATGAAAAGTGGAAGTCTCAACGATGACGCAAAGGGAAAGTTGACAAACACTCATGCATTAATTATATTAAATATTCCCATGCGGGATGAAGAGCGAAGGGATGTGTAAATTCATAACTCTCGAGGAATGTTCCTTGAGCTTAGGTGGAAGCAACATAGAGAAACTTGATGAATTCTTCTTCTTTTCCACCTTACCCAGATGATGATCTCGAGGCGTTTCTCAAGGAGGTTGTGAGTGCCAGTGAACGTGGAATTTCCATCCTGCGAAATGCTTCATCCAGTGAACTGAACTGGAGCTTCGGCCAGGCATTGTTCTTCTCAAGCACCGTTGTCACGACCATCGGTAAGTTTAAGTGGATGATTATTGACAGAGTGCATATGTTTCAATTTCGAGTCGACAAAGTATAAAAGAGAGAATAGCAATTACGTGATTTGAATTAAAATTTGCGGAGTTGAATTGATATTTCTTTTTGGACCCTTTCCTTTTTCACCTTTTTGAGGGGCAGTGGGTGTGTTTTCTTCCGCCATTGAGTGCTCTCAAGATACGCAAAGAAGCACGCAGACCTTAGAGTGGTGTGCAAACAAAAATGGGGGGAAAAATTCCATGGAATATCATTTAATATCATTTTGAAGCGACGCTTTTCTTTATGGGTTTTCAAAACATTTTATACAAACTCAGAGTAAAGATGAAAGCGGGAAAAACAAAATGTCAACACACTGCGTAATTTAAATGGAACTATGAATAAAAACTTTAACGAATGCTGATAATTCAGAGGTCAAGTTTGAGTGAAATATGAAACCTTGCACAAATCTTCCATAAAAAATACATCCATAGAATTGTGTTAATTAATCTATATATTTTTATTTTTACAACGTTTCATCACAGAGATGATTTGCCATGTTTATTTATTATTTTGGTTATAATTTAGTGGGTGTTGCGGTAGGCTATTGACGTTTGGTTGATCCACACATAAAAGTGCGAAAATTACCAAATAAAGCACTAACTATTAAGCAAAACTATTCAGCGGAAATACAATTGCGAGCTTGTAAATGGAATTATGAATTTCTTTTCATGCTGAAATAATATCCTGACATCTAATTAATGTCTGTAATTAATAACTGTCTTTCCAGGTTACGGACACGTAACACCGCTCAGCGAGACTGGGAAGATTTTCTGCATGATATACGCAACTCTGGGGATTCCGCTAACACTGGTCCTCCTGTCAGCCGTAGTCGATCGTCTCATGATTCCTGTGAGTAGCCTGTTGGGCTTTATGAATGCAAAATTGGGCCATTTGTATCAACCATTCAACATCCGTTTGCTCCATTTGCTGCTCATTGGTAAGTACAAAAAAGTCTTTTCTGCTGTGCAATAAACTACCAGTTTTACAGTTGAGATCTTATTAAATTCAGCTTTTTGGGGTGAAAATAAATCGTTGGACAAGGCAAGAATTTATGAAGCTTTCCTCTCTGAACTTTTCTTCTTTTTTTTACCCTTGGGTTTGAGGTGAAGTGTTTGACTTTTTTTTATGGGATCATAAGAATGTTGTTGTTCTCTGAGTTACGGAAAATTTTCATTAGAAAAGTTGTGAGAATTTGGTGGGGAAAAAAGCATTTCAACAATAATTTTTCCATCGGGGATATTTTGAGTACGTGTTTTAAATTCATTTCATCCTTTGTTTTTTTTTTAAATAAAATAAAATAGAAAATCCGGCAAGATTGGGACTTTGTATGGACAGTAATTTATGATACTTAAGGTACTTAGGGTACTTGAGGTATATATTTTGGATAATGTATGTATTCTATTGCATGTATTAATGTGTGTATTGTATAATGTATAAGAATTCTAGGAATAAAATATTCGTAAATCATAAGTAATTTTAAACTAGATGAAACTATAAAATAAGGTTTCATGATGAGACATTAATAGTTTTGATATAAACCACGCACTGGCACCGCCACTCGTTCTGTTATGAATCCTTCGCTCCATTGTACATACAATTCTTTGCAAGATAGCTTACTTTTGCGATATATCGCGTATGTGCTGTGTGAAAGACACTGTATCTTTGCATTAAAGAGATTACGGTGTAGAATTTATACAAATTGCAAATGCTTGGCTTAGAGAAAATATTGTGACTTGCTGCAATTGCTTTCCAATCACTAAGCGTACTTTATATACATCTTGCAGTGGTGGTTATTGGACTGCTCTTTCTCGTGGCGCCAATGTTTGTCTTTGCCTACATGGAGCCTGGCTGGGATCTACTGGATGCCTTCTACTACTGTTTCATTTCCCTGACTACTATCGGTTTGGGTGACTTCATTCCGGGAGACGGGGAGAATGTGGCAAATCCGACGCTCTACAAGACTCTAACCACGTGCTATCTGCTGCTGGGCTTGTCCGGCGTGATGCTGGCTCTATCGGTGTTCTACCAGATTCCCCAGCTCAACCTGGGCCAGCTCTTCACCGAGTATGGTAGCGGCGCGAGTGAGTCGGAGAAGATGAGACTGTCAGGCGCTGGAGCTCCTTGCTATTCCGGGCCCACCGGACTCTACATTCCTCAGCGCGACGAGGAGGTGCGTCGCGCTGTCGTCCGGATCAGGCCACGCGGCGAAGACTCGCCAAGTCCTGAGGACACAACGCCTATGCATGCCCGAGACATTCGTGTGCCATGAACGCACCCGCAGGAGATGAGATGGAATACAAAATGAGAACTACTGATCCACTATTGTTTTATAATTTAAGACATTAATATAATAACATATAATATCATCTGAAATCAGTCTATCAAAAAGAATATTTATATATCAATGTTATTCACTTGTGAAGTTTAAGAGATTCTGGCATTAGTTGATTGGGAAGAGAGTGAAAGAAAGCGAATGAGTTAAAGGTGAAGACAAAATTTTATCCCCTGTTTAGGAATTGAAAGTATATATCAAGATGGCAAAGATTATGAGATTAGAAGGTATAATATTTCATAAAATTTACTCTGAAATTAATATATTTATTTTTAGATTGAGAATATAAAGTGAAGATATCAGATAATTCTTTATAAGTAGATTTAGATGAATGAAGGGCCAGTTAATTGCGCCACTTCGGCTTTGAATGAAGACACATGATGTGTGAACATTTGTGATTAGCTTCCTGTCCATTTTAAATGCATTCAGCACGTAGTGATTGCAAAGTGAAAGTACGGGAGGGAATGAGATTGATGGTTTAATAGCAATGCAATAAGTTATAATGATAAATTAGTCAAAAATCAGTCTTAACTTTATTTTTGCACATTATTTATTAACTGTCTCGACGAATGAATCATACCCGAAATATTAAAATTCTGACTAAACACACTTGTCTGATGATATTCTTTTAAATATTTCATCGAGTGAGTCACACGCTTTTCTCAATCTCATTCTCTCAATTGAGAATTTCCACGAAGTATGAGACAATTTTGTGAAAGTACAGGAAAATAGATACCTTACTAGAGAAAAACACTTTATTTGTATGTAGATTATATAACAAATGAACACATATAAATGCTCAAATACTTCCTTTTTAGAACATATGAAGAGTAATAATATTGCTGTTTAGGGACGATTGAGACATAAGGGCAACAATGCTTCATATCATGCGATATTTCCACCTTTCTAATGAATTTGACTGACTGCAAGTGTCACCCATAAAGTTTTTGTACCTGACACTTTTTTTTTAGCATGATACGCGAAGAGTAAAGATTAGAAGAAGAGAATTATAAGAATATCAGGAGTGAGTAATACACACTGTGGCAAGAGAATTGATCCACCATAATAGCAATAAATCCCAACAAGAAAAAATGAAATGTTTTATGAGAATTCAGAAGAAAATGATATTTTTCGTTTTTTCTTGAAATTGTATTTTGACAAATTTATGGACAGTCATAAGACACATTGATTTGCGTACGTTGTATATGAATCTGCTGTGAATTATTCCATGGCATTGAATATGGGAATTTCTCTTTATAGGGTGAGATTAAAGCTGTAAATATCTATGCCAGACCTAATTAACAGTTGAAAATTGATAATGAAATTGGATCAAATCTACTGCCCCTGAGTGCATCTTACTCAGCGATAACGAAGCCAGAGAAATTAAAACTTGTTGGAATCACGAAAGAGAAAGGGAGATTTTATCCCAAAAAAAAGAAGAGGAAAATTGATGAATAATTTGTTGGTCCTACAACAATTAAATGAAAAAAAAACAGAGGCTGATTTTCCATCCTCATCACATTGTGATTATACTCGCAACTGTTGCAATGAAAATCAGATAAGACATGATGAAGAATCACGCCTAATTTGAGAGATTCTTCTCTGATGATGTTTTATTTGATTTTCTCATCACCTCAACGAGCGAAACTCCTTGACTTCTAGTGGAAGATGAGCAGAAAGAAAAACACGGATGAGGAAAAATCGATCGACTTTATTATGTCAGTGTGAAATCGCGCTGGGACCAAAAAGGAGTTGCTCATGAGGAGTTGTGGAAGGGCGGAGTCAGCATCTGGTCTTCCAAAAAAACTGGCATCATAATCCTATATGTATGCATCCTCTCGCTATTTGTCTCTTTACATGTGTCTCATTAGTGACTTTATGTATAATTCATATTTGGGGACGACAAGCGCGCTCAATCAAGTGTTTTGGCGCGTGAGAGGAAAAAGGCCTGTTAGCCTCAGTTATAATTTTTGCATAGTGGATAAAGCGTGCTCACAGAGGGCGATGAGGAGGCACAAATTATGAGATATGTAAATAAATCCCAGGTATTTTCATTATTAGAGCTTTTTATTATCTCTGGATCATTGAAGAATTCGCATCAGATCCATGCAGCATATGCTGCACGACAAGTCTGCTCTTCTGCTGTAAATCACCGCCAAAACGATAAGCAAAGGTCTCGAAAAGGTTTGTTATATAATGACTGCAAGAATGAAAGGTACGTGAAAAAATCAGTTTATCTCAAATAAAACTCAAAATTTCTATTCATTTATTTATTTCAATTGTGTAATATGTGTAGTAAAGTAACATAACATCAATTTAAGTAATATTTTCCTTCACTTTGATGTTTATCTTCGCCCCTTTTTTATATTCCTTCGCATAAATTTCTACAAATATTTCTTCCCTCAATCTTAAACCTTACAAAAAAAAGAATCCTCTACAGATTATCATTGTCTATACACAAAGTTTTTTTTATCCTTTATCCTGTTAAAATTTACTATATATACTTAACCCTCAAAAATTGGTATTATTTCGAAAGATGAGTTGTGGATTCAAGCAGTGGTTCTTGAAATATTATCCACTGTGGTTGGAATATGTATGTCGATATTTTATTCACATTGTTCAATGCTATCATGTAAATCTCCTTTTTAGAAAAAGCGTCAAAAATATTGAATGTTGTCGAAAGAAAAAATGTTTTAGCAGAATTTTGTTGGCATGAAACATTGTTCCTCATCCATTTTTTCCTCTCATTTCTCTACTACGTAAAAATGCACAAGATTTTACTTTTTTTTAACTTCCCGTCTGTTGCAGCGTTTGGAATTATCAATATTTTAACTATCAATGACTTAATTACGATATAAAATATAATTGTTTTGAATTCAAATATTCAATTATAATGTTTCACTTCATCTCCACTTAATTTCCTTAAATAGTAATGAAAAATGTATATAATAAAAGTGTGTATAAAAATGTTGATCCTTCTAAAGATTTCCTTCACGTCTTTCGTTTTTATTATTTTTTTTTATTACTTTCAAGGCCACATTTTGATTTGAAATCGTTCCTATTCTTCGATTTTTGGGATTCCTCATTGTTTCATATATTCTCCTTTCTTTTTACGTATGCAAAGATAGAAAAGTCACTGATATCAATCAAGCATGATGATTTTCTCATTTTACCGGTAATGTTATTATTTACACTCTATTTTTTCATCAGTTTTCCTCAACATGATCTTCGGTTTCTTAATACTTTGATACCCTACCTAAAATGTATTTTGACAGCTACCACTAAAAAGCATTTTTAGTACTGTTTTTTCTTCTTCTTTTGTTTCAAATGAACCATGAACTGGGAAAGAAAGTGACTTTACTTAAACTTGTTCACATTTCCACCTTCTTTTCCATTTTCTCTCTCTCTCTCTCACACTCTTCCCTCTTATTATAATGATGCCCAAGAAAAGGCAAAACAGCTCAACAAAGAACATTTCTCGCAATAAACGCTGTTGCAGAAGTTACACAGTCATTTCTCTAAATCAATTCAAATGGCAGAGTAGCAAAAATATATCAATAATTATTCCCCGTCTTTACTTCATTATATCATTTCTCAACTGGTTTTGACTCTACTAGAAAAATATATAATTATATTTATAGTAGTAAATTAATAATTCCTTAAGTAAAAAATTAATAACAATATAAATGTAAATTTCAACTGAATACGTGTGGAAGATACTTTTCATTTGGAAAATTAACAGAGAAATCATTTTCTCCCATGCATCGTTTTTTAGAAAGTCTCTCCATTTCTTAAGAACAAAATATTCAGAAAAAAGACAGTTAAAACTATTTCAAAAACTAGAGAGTACCCTCAAAAGTTACAACGGTATTAGTTTTTAAATGAAAGATTAATAAGTATACTTTAATGGATTCTTTTCTGCCTAACTTTCATGTCTTATAGGCCCCAAAACTTTTTTTCACACCCTCGTACGTCAACGACTCTTTTTTACATGTTTTCAAATTGATCCACTCGACGCTTCGTGTTGCCTTTGCGAATCTCACGCAGAGTCTTGTACTTGTCACGCCCTTGACGAACGTTCTCTCGGTGAATTTTGTCGTTGACAGTTTCTTTCGTCTCGTCGCGAGACTGCGCCAAGTCTTTCTTCAGCGCCTGCAAAAAATGAACATCAAGTTGAATATTTTGAAACATTTACATAAAAAGGATTTTAAAAATTTTAAAGTGATTTTTTTAAGGTTACGAGGCTGTAAAATTTAAATATTATGTGAATTTCCCTAATCTGAAATCGAAAACACGCGTGAAACATGCAACTGAAACATTGCTCTAAGCGAAACATTACTACATTCAATTTTGCTCTAGCTAGAGCAATGTATTTAAAAACTACAACTTTCAAATTGAATGACTTTTGATTATAATTCCGGGGGAAATAACAGCGAAAAGACCACCCCAAAAATCCAAAATAATTCATTCACAAAACTACACGTATTCTAAGTGATTTTCATCATTTCAAGGGCTTTGATAATAATACACGGCACGGACTATGTTAGGCATCGACAATTCGATGGAATTCAACAAAGTGCGGCTTCACATTGAATGAAAATTGTGATGAATCACAGTTCCGACGGACTCTGTATGATATTATCTCACCTTAAGTTGATCATGCAAGCGTTCATTGCGCTCCGCCAGCGTGCGTCTGTCCTCCACTGGATCCTTAATGTGTTCATCGATGTCCAAGTCGCGGGACACGTCTCCATTGCCCTCACCATTCAGCATTTCTTCGTCGTGTTCATCCTCAGCCACGTGGTGATGCTGAGGTGTGGCACTGGCGGCGAGAAGAGCTGCAGCCGCCTCGCTCTGCGTAGTAAACATAGTGATTAGAGATTGATACTTGGCATGGTCAAGAGTCACAACTCACCTGCTTGCGACGCGCCTCCTCAACCTCTTGCTGTAGTCGTTTCGTTTCGGAATCCTTGGCGCTCACTTCCTCTTGAATTCGCTGCACTTCGCGCTGCTTCATCGAGATCTCCTCCTCGAGCTTCGTGCGCTCCGCCGTTTCCATGTTCTTTGCCTCCTCAAGACGGTTCAACATGGCCTGTAGCTCCTGCTGGCGCTTCTCCAGCTCATCCTTGGCCGCTTGAAGTTGTTTCAGCTGCTCCTCGAGGCGTCTGATCATGTTCTGCGCCTCCACTAGACTCGACTGTGATCGCTCCATTTCCTCTTGCATTGAACGTAGGCGATCCTCATATTCCTGCTGCTTCTTCTCGGCTCTCTCGCGTGCTGCTAGCGCCATTTGCAGCTTCTCACGCTCTTGCTGCTTAGCATTCTTTTCCTCACGCGCCTGTGCCTTCATCTGCTGCACATCGATTGTGTCCGGCTTGCGGCGGCGCATGTATAACTCATGGTTGCCCATGCACAGCGCCAGAATGCGTTTGTTAATCCTCACGCGGGGCGCAAAAAACACAAAGTCTGGAGCTTTCTTGTCGATTGGCTGCATTGAGAATACAAAATTAGACTCAAATCCTCATTCTATCTATAAATCGACACATGCAAAAAGTATTAACATACAGAGAATATAATTTAAGAGTTTACTATATATTTTTTTAAGAGTTCATCAAAAATGTTGAAAACTGTTTAAGTCTCCTTTATAGCCAAAGGAACACATTTATTGTAGATTTCTGTGAAAAAAATGACCACAAAATCCGCGGAAATCACAAAAAATTTTAAGTTCAATTCTAGCTTCAATTTACTTTTTTTGTCGAAAAAAAACAAAAAACTGTAGCAAAACAGATAATAAATAGCACAAAAACCAACGTTTTATTGTAGTATAAGAAAAGCATGCAAAAGTAGAAATTAGCGAGTTGAAATATGTTTAATATGAAAAAAAATGTTGGAATTAAACGAAGTTTTGGCATAGAAAATATGATGTTTTTTCTCACAAAATGTTTAGGTTAAATGAGTTACACAAAGTTAGATCCTTCATTGAGAAAAAAAAACTCATTTCTTGACATTTACTACGCTACTAAAATTATTCACGACGGTGTCGTTAGTCTTCAGGCAATTAATCTCTTCCGGGACAATTTCCTGCGATTTGATTTGCCGGGGGGTTGAAAAGCATTGATTCACGTCAGGAAGGCACATCAAAGCCAAGGTGCTAATTTCGAGTTATTTCTGGTACTCTGCTTAACACCTCTTCAGTATGTCTTTTCACGGTCAAGAAAACATGCATGGTCACACACTGTGATGCGAGCGGTTGTCGAGGAAAATACATTGAGTGATGTATTAGATGAGAAAGTTCACGTGAAAAAGTAGAGTGACATTGAGAGAAAGTCCATCATTTTCAGCCTCATTATCGCACAAGCGGAATATTATCAATCATATTTCCGCGGTTTTCATGCAAGAGAGCAAAGAAAAGTATATAGAATTACCTTAATGATGAATTTCCTGTCATTGAACGAGATATTTCGAATTTCTGACCATGGAAAACCAATCTTGGGCGTCAATTTGTCATCCTTTTCATAGATATTGAGTCCCAGTGCATCGACGCCCAGCCACAATTCTGTTCCTTTCTTGTTACGGATCTCAAAGTAGTTCACGCCGTACATCTCGAGATCCTGGGCAATCTTAAGATACTCCATCATGGCGTCCTCGCGCAGCATTCCACGGTGCTCCTGCCACCACGTCATGATGCTCTTCTCCCACTCATCTTTGGACATCTTGTGCTGATCAATGACACGCTGTGGCAAGAGACGGTCGTTGGACAGGAAGCCAGACGAGTGATTGGACTTGTTGAAGTCTCCATGGCGCGCCTGGACGGCGTATGAGGCGAGCAAGACCGACGTTTCTGGCGGACAGTAGATCTCATCACAGAGGATTGAATTTTTCACTTGCAGATAGAATAGACGCAGCGTGATGTCCTGAATCAATTCCTCCGCAACGTCTTCTGGGTAGAATTTGGCCCGGAACTTGAACTGTAGTGGATTCTCCTTCTTTACATCCTGATTCATCACCTGCCGAGTGAGAAAGAGAGAAAAGTTCTGTGAGAAATCTGTCATACAAATTACGTCAATAAAGGTGACATGTTGTTTTATTAGGAGAAAAGAAATAAAAAAAATCTCTCAAAAACCAACTACTTAACGGTCATTCCACTTTTCTTCTCTCCTAAAATTAATAACATTATATATTTCATACATTACCCAATGCGAAAGAGACATAGACCCTGGCTAAGTCCAAGTACATGAAAGCATGTATAGAAGAAATTCGACAAAGAAAAATGCTTAATATGTATATCGTTATAGTATAAGAAAATTTGCTAAATGCACCATTGCGATTTTTCTGGGATTTTCTCCCACCACTTTGCAAACTTCCTATCATTAATTTACAGTTTTTAAACACCGTAAAATAGCCTTTTTGCCTCTCTCCGTCTCGATAAATCTCTCACCTTTGCAAAGTGAAATCTTATTGTGATTTAATTTTCGGTATTGGATGGATATTTAATTTAAACTTCATACGCATCACTCTCTTTTCCGATAATTAAATTCACTTGTACGTGGAATTCCTATCGCTTTACGTTTCAGCTTCTTATCATCGAGAATCAAAGGTAATGCATGCGAAACCAAGGAGAGGATATTTTTGCCATGGTGTACATATATTACTAATTCTAATTCTTTCCTTTTCATTAATCCTTTTGCCTTTGTATCCCATCGTGGATATTACTAGTAGTCTAACTACTTTTTGACATTTTTGACTCTCTGACATCATTTGACTTTTCTCTGTATTCTGGGAGTCATTTAAACCACACTCTGTAATTTTAGCCAATAAACAAATTATGATGTACACATGTTCTTCCAGTGACATCACCCTTGAATATCATTGCCAACAGAATGAAACCCAATTTATACCGTAAAAGCATGACAAAAACGATATATATATATATATATATATACATATCGAGGCTACAAAGAGACATACGACAGATAGTAGAATAATTAGATTTACGACAAAACGACGAGCTCGTGTGACAATTAACGCTTTTTAAAGAATAGATGGAAGATCAGTGGAAAATCATGGGCAATGTATCGATATCCGCAATATTGCTCGTGTTATGTAAGATATTTTTTGGACTCAATGTTGTCACTGAGTGGTGAGGATAAAACTTTGGTGAATAATTATCATATGAGTGGTAATAAAGCAGATCGTGCACAGAACCATTGTAAAATTGTCATGAGAAATCAATCAAGTGGCTATTCTATTGTGGTGTGTTTTTATTTGCATAAAGAGATTGTGGAAAAGTAATGAAAATTATATTGATGCACTTTAATTATATGCATTTCATGCGATTCTCTCTCCCTCTCTCTCTCTCTCTTTCTCTATTTCTGTCTGCTGATTCAGCAAATGAGATAAGTTTGTGTGATTACAGAAATTATATCATAATACTAAAAATAAACTCAATTGTATGAGTTTTAATAATTTTAACGACCATCTGTTTGAATATCCAATAACAAACAACAGATTTTGCAATTTCTAACCATATCCATCAATTTCCTCAATAAAAGAAAAACATTCCTTGTTTATATTACTAATAAATGGCACAGAGAATTAAATCACATTTTCAATAATGCCTAATGTATGATCTTTTGCCAACACTTTCATATGGCTTATAATAGAGATTTTCATGGGAGAGAATGCGAGATATTGTGTGTGCACCACTTGTATAATTATCACAAGTGTGAGGTGATTATGACGCATGAAGATCTTGAAACTCTTTCTCTCTGGATTACGTGAAAATGAGAATTATTATCATCAAGAGCCAAGATGAACAGGAAATTTTAGAGAAACATCTCTCAAGTGATAATTTTCAGTCATCTCTCCAACAATCACATGAGACGCGATGATGTGAAGGAACATAACATTAGCAGAGTTTTTTGGTGCCAGAAAAAGAAAGACACACACACTCACTTGCAATTGAGAGTGAGAAAAAACTAGCTTTATTACATAATAAATCTCAGCAATCCCTCAATAGTCAGCAATTTAAGATTGCATCAAAGCCCTTCGATTAATCTTACCAAATCCTCCTCTTCCTCATCGTCATCCTTGTCGCTCTTCACACCACCCAACAACCTCTTTCTCATCAGCATGGTCAATTTTTTAATCCTCTTCACTTGCTTGCAAATCAAATTTTCTGGCTAACCACAGTCAAAGTGTGTTTTTACCACATTTATTTCACACACACCATTTGATTTTGCATAACAAGTCCGCGGGAATATATTTTCCGCAGTTGTTTGCCGAAAAGAGATGATGGTAAACCAACCATAAATTTTATTTGTCATTAGACATTAAAAATCGTGTTGTATCAGTTGATTTTTTTTGTGAGAATCGATGAGCGAATGAGAGAGAGTCAGAATGAGGGTCGATGGAGAAAAAAAGGCAGCATGCAAAAATAGAAAATTATGTAATAACAAATGAATAACATATTATAGTGTCTCTCTCATAACATCACACCGTCTCAGTCACACAAACTACACTGTATTACAAATGAAAAAGATGAAAAAATCAGGAAACTGCAAATTTACTCCCAACAATTTTCCACCATTTCGCTTCTTTGCAGTACCACAAACTATTACATATGCGGCATAAGCATCATTGGAGATCTCAGCATTTGTCTCCGTGTAGGAAAAAAATCTTTAAAGTCAAATTGCAAGTGAGGAGAATAAGCAAATCACTACGAATTATACTTGTAAAACAAACAAATGTAGTCAGCCTTTAGCATGCTTGGGTCAGGGAAAATTCTTCTTTTCTAACCATTTTCATATGAATCATTGTAAACATGAGACACAGACTGTGTATTTTTGCATTTTTTCTCATACACAATTATTTTTCTTATGTTCGCGTCTCTGTATTTTTTTTTTTCTTTTTTGTCTATCGAGCTACTGGTTTTTTCTATACTGCACTTCTTCCTTCTCTTATAGTCAATCATGTCTAATATTTCACACAGGTGTATTGAGAGATCCATCATTAAAAAATTCTTTAAATCCTTTGAAAAAGAGGAAAGTGGTCTGATCTTTAAGATAGGATCAAAATAGGATAGTTTTAAATTTTCCTATCTGTCTAAAATTTTTTTACTGTGAAGCCTTATAATAAATTCATACGGTAAATGAATGCATTTTCAACAAACCCTTTGAAAATCACCGCATTTTAGTATTCAATATTTCACTGAAATGCCGCATTTGTGTAAAGCCCGGAGAAAAATGTATTGAGCAACAATTTGGAACGAGGTTGGTGAATTTAATATTAAATGTATCGTGTATAATATTATCATTGAAACAATTAAAAGCAAAATGAATAGACCACTTTGACACTATTTTGAACCAATTGCTAATGAGAGCGGAAAATTTCTATAAATTTATCATTTCTCTTTTTTTCGGGGAGAAGATTTTTAGCTTTTCCAATTTTATTTGGAAATTTTCACATAGATGAAACACTTTAATATTTCCTATCTGTTCACTAGCAGAATCTCTTCATCATCAGATTACACACAATTTCACACTTTTACAATATATCTTTTATGTGTGTACTTTTTCCTCTCGCTCTCCTCTATCTCGTGACGGCGCTAAGACTCCATGAAATAGAGGCAAAGTATATAATTTTTCATTATATAATCTTCCCAACATCATTCATCTGTATCTCTTCATCTCTTTCTATTTACGCAGTGACTCTGCATTGAAGCCACAACTCTTAATAATGATGATGATGACACGGCAAACATAGACAGCGGATTCAGGTGAATTTTCAAGGGCTACATTGTATAGATATTTATCTAAAAGCCACAGAACACAGAGAGAAATATATAATATTCATCACTTCATATTAAAGTCGATGAGGAAAAACCATTCATTGGGGCTTTTTCGCCACCCGGAACAACGTACCACATCAATCGACAATCACCGAACGGAGAAAAAGCTGCAATTAGCAAAGATGGTGAAGTCAACAAAAACGTCCGCCTTTTAGAAACACATTTATATACGAATGTTTTATGATTATTATTGATTTTCTATCACAAGTGTTTCTCGCCATATTCCTCAAAATCAAACCTATAAGTCTTATCAAAGTCATGCCATAACTATTCAAGAGATATAATTAAAAAAATGGTATTAGTTATTTCGCATTGCGTGAACTTTCATGTGTGCGCTCTTATCATGGCAGAAAGGTGACAAAAAAGAGACACATTATCGCAATAATTCAACAATATGTCTTATCAAATTGTTCTTTTTTCTCTTCCCTCGCAATATACGAAATTCCTTTCAGCAAAATCACACTGAAAGCAATTTAGAGGCATGAAAAAATAGCGCGACACAGAAGAATTAAGTATAGTGTAAATAAGGCACGTACAAAAGCACCATTCTTTTGCATAATCTTCCCATTCTCTTCATCCCCAGCGTTCATGTCTAGAAACATTATCTTTTCGAGTTCTCAGCAGAGAAAAACACACTCAGCAAGCAAAAAACTCCTTCTTATGAACATTCCAGAAGAACAGAGAAAATTAGTAATCTTGAATTTTACGATTCTCTTCGCAGAAATTAGAGAATATTATTAAATATTTGTCAAGTGACTAATTCACTCATCCTCACTGGTATTAAGCAGAAGAAAAAAATAGAGTAGAAAATATTAATTGAATAAAGTTTCCATGTGACCCAATTTCCATTCCCACTCAGCATTTTGAATAGATGTTACGAAGAAACATGGATGATGGTTCCCGCATTTGTCATCTTTCCAAACAGTTCCCCTCATTTTTCCCGCCTCATCTTATCCAGTAATTAAACATTACTCATTACACATAGAGCTGAATCAAAAATTGGACAGCCAGAAGATTTTTTTCCACTTTGCACAATTACAAGTAAACTTGCTCATACTACAAATAGGCACCAGAAAAACTCTGACGAGATGATAAGCAGTCTTTGCTTGTACTCAACATTTCCTTGGCAACATTTTATCTTAGATTGCCTTAATTAAGTAATACTAACGCCCCAAAAATACTACCAAAATTGTCAATACGCACAAATTATCACTATAATATAGAGATTTTCTCCCACAACACATGGTGAGTTATGCCAATGATATATAAGAAAAAAACTCCTTTAAAATTCCAATTTGTGATTTGCAGCCAATGTGTGGTAACCATTACATTATATACCCTAAAAATCATGCGAAAAGTAGTTTCATCACAAAAAATCCAACAAAAGAGGAAAAGTTCCCCGTGGAATTTTCACACGAGTGAGAAAGATTATTTGATATGAAGCTAATATAATTCTGGACTAAAATGCACTCTTGAATTCACTGTATAATTTAATTCACACACATGCGCTGAAGGCACGTGTTGCAAATCTTTACCTTTTCATTCAATTTTTCACTAACAATTTCTTGGCTCAAATATCAAATTTCATCGTTCTTCGCCTTTTCGTCAATATTATTAGATAAGGAAAATAAATTCGTGATTTCTTGTTAGATTAAAACTAATTTACAACTTATATACCGCAGCAAAGTCAACTACAAAGCGTGATTTTATATTTGTCACTTGAAGTCAGCGTTTTAATTGTAAGTAAAAAGAAAAGAGGCAGACGAGAGACCGACTGGGATACGAAATGGAGAGAAGTAAAAATGTGCACTAGAGCAATGCCTTTTTATATTCATGGTCGTATTTTATGCACGTTTTATATAATAGAAAATTGAGGACCCACGGTCTCATGCATCACACGTCGCTGATGTTTAACTTTCAATTATTCGTGATTTTAATAAGGTTGACATTTATTTTTCCCCGGTTTTATTACCATTTTCTGTATGTGATGATTGTTCAATTGTCAATTATTGTAATTTTAACCCTCATTGAAGTGGCCTTTTAGAGATAAATCTAAGTTTCTCTCTCTAGCTTACAAGTATGATCATTTTCATAAGAATTTCTGCTCTCTAGCAAATCCACACAAACACTCAATCAAGCCATTTTCTCATGGAAAATTGTAATCACTTTTCGACACATGGAAGCAAAGTGAGATAAATCTTACCTTTTTATACAGTTTAATCCATGTGAGATCACCTTTGGAGTCTGTATACTGAAGCCCAAAGAACCAGACCTCACGTAATCCAATTGTCTTGACCACTTGATCGAACAATTGCTTGCCGGTGGTCGTTTGCTGAATTGCAAACTCCAACTCGGCATCCATCGTGGTAACACGTACATTTACCTATTGGGGAAGAGAAAGAAAGAAAAGAGATTAGAAACAAGACGAGGAAAAAATCAATTATTCGTTTAGACATGCATTAGGCCTTCTCCGTAGGAAAAGTAAAGAGCAATTTGATGTGTATACACTTGAGTGTGTAGCACAAATTTCTCTTCATCATCAATAGAGGCGAGATAGGCTTTTTTCGCCTCTTTTCTCCACTTTTCTTCCGAACTCATAGTCATATGGATTTGCACGCACACACAGCCCAACAAACTAGTGGAATCAACTGAAAAATAACCGATTTTTACATAAAGAACACCAAGCCGTTATGAATTGCAATTTTATCGGAGGGAGCGGAAGAAGTAGTCAGATTCACTGCCACACTCTGGCTTATTTGTACAGAGAATTATGCGAGTCTGTCCTACATAATATGCGGACGAACAAAGAAAGTTAAAACTGACAATGCTTGTGCACATATGTGCTGATTTTATTTTCAGTTGGTACTTAAGCCAATTAAGGGACACCTTTTTGAACCGCGTTCTCTTTTCACTTAAAGTTTCAAGAACAATTTCCGTCTGTCCAATACTGGAAGTTTAAGATAACCAATTTTAAGAGTGTAATTTGTTGCAATTGGAATTAAATTATTAAAGCGTTTACTTTTCCCTTTTTTAAACATTTTAATTTACGCGCTATCAATAAGACACATGATCACAAATTTTAAAGCAAAATTGACAAGATTACTGCTTTTTAACGGGGAAAAAAAAAAAATCAAATACTCAGTTGTTTTCCCTTTCCTAATAAAAATTATCACTGAAACATTTCGCAAGTTACAAATATAGTCAAGCCCTATTCTATGCCTCGTTTTCTCTCAGTGAAGGAATAAAGATAAAAAAGTGAAAGGAAGACGCCTCCAAACGCGAACGTTACAAATTTAAAAAAAAACGCACTGCTGGGCTTCTCTTTTCTGGCCATTCGCTATATGCTGCCATGGACATATTTTTCTGCGTTGAAAACAATTTTTTATCTTCACCACGACACAAATTGGCTGAAAAAGTCTCATTCTTCAACATGTGTGTGTCGTTCCATGGCGAAAAAAGAAGCTACAGCTCTTCTCATTTGAAATGCTAGTTGAAAAAAATGCTTTTTTTCAAGTTCTTCTCCCTTTTGTTAAAAAAATTCATGAAATTTCTTCAGTCAGAGAGGCCAAAAGACCAAAAGTGATAATTTTTCCACTATGAATATAATTTCTCAACACACAGCACCAACCGAAATTTCTCTTGACGAGCATAAAGCATACTCAATAATTGACCAAGCATAATGAGAAGAAATTGAGGTCTTTTTGTCAGAAGAAGCAAACATAAAACACACACACATATCACAAATTGCGGGGAAGATTTAACTGACCATTTTTCCTCCGGCAACCATTTTAATTGTTCTTCTTGAATCACTCTCTCACACGAAGACACACTTTCCGCCTCAAAAGATTATATATTTGAGAATAAATCTCATAAATTGCGGATTTCAGTAACACACAGAAGACTCCAGAGATTCCACAAAATCCACTAAAACACTGGAATTAATGAAACTCAGGCTGATATTTGTCCTGATGCTAATGCAGCCATACACTGTATCTCCCCAAGTACAACTTTCTTGCCACCAACATAAAACAATACAACCGCCGCAATATCCAATTCCCAACTGAACACATTCAATTTGTTCAAACTCTTCCAACCAACGGTCATATTCGTTGATTGCGTCACGACTCGACCGGGAATACATAAAATCGCGCTTTATTTACTAGTTCCCCGCACAAACACACAAGCGTCAACATTCAAGGCATGAGCGAGAGACCACTTCACACGATTGTTCTGTCTCTTCCTCTCTGCGAACACACACCCAAGTATTTCATTACAATACCCCCTCCCGACGCTGCCTCTAAGCACTATTTTATGGTCCAGAGATGTTGGGAAATAGAAAGAGACTTCTCCTCTCCTCAAACACTGATAAAGAAAGCAATTTCCATTGCGAAAAAAAACACGCCGCCAGTGAATAGAAGCACTAAAACCGCGAAACCATCATAGGCTTTGGCATATAGAGAGAGAACATACACCGCTCACCGTGCGTTTCGCTCTCTCATTCAAACTCATCGCCAGAGAGACCTTAAAACCGAAATTCCATGTGAGACAGGCGAACCAGGTAAAACGGAACTTGCGGCATTCACCGCATTCACATACATAAGCATTTCATGCCGAGGAGATTCAGACTCTCTTTTGAAATGCACACCACGCCGAGTCCGCCTCAATGTGCGTTTTTCGATGCATATTTAGAGATCTCAGTGGTGAAAACCATGAGGCTATTTTTTGACAAGCCAGTTAGCTTCATTGTTGACGCGTCAACAAGCACGTGACATCGAAATCCAACTAGATTAAAGATTAAGGGGTAATCTCAGCGATATTCGTTTCAATTTTCATGCTCAACCTCGAGAAAACACCACAAAATAGAGAGATAAATTTAATTTTGAAAATAATTTAAACTTTGACGTTTACTAAGTTTAAAGAGTAATTATCCAGCATTTGAGTAACCTGTTAAAATAACAATTATTATTTCGTATAATTTTGAACTCAGGAAGAAAATTTGTCACTTCTATTGTAATTCATGAATGGAGCATCAAGAATAAGAGTAGCCATGAATGGATTTTGTTGAGATGACTTATTTTTGTCATTTTACATCTCATATATTTCTTCTAAAGAATCAAGCGCAGTAAAATCTAAAGATAAAGATTACATTGCAATCTGTGTCATGAATTTATAAAGATCCATCACTTAAACAAATCCCTCACACAATTCCATCAAGATCAAACTTTACACAGTGCTAAAAATTGATCAACAGAAAAATCACCTTCACCTGAAATGGAGAGAAAGAGAAGTCAAGACTGTCAAGTGAGCTTTTTTCTCATCTCCCCATGACACAATCTCTCTTTCTCCCTCTATCTCATATACAGAAATTACGTGAAAGGCAAGGAAAAACACACATTTGAGAAGCAATAAACTCCACCATCTTTGCCGTTTCGATCATCAGTCAAAGACAGTGTTGCTGGGGAGAGAGGAAAAAAATAAGGTGTGAGTTGATGTATAAAATTGTGAATCACACCTCTATTGCTTCATGTTAATGCCCACATTCAATACACATCTCTAGACTAAAGCGATGGAGAATAATTGAGAGAAGACACTTCAATTCAATTGGATGATTTGCACACCAACGTGCAGGTGAATTTGCGCCATCACAAATACAAACACTCAAGGGTATTGGATTAATCATCGTTTGTGCTGTTGCTAAATTAAATCATTCAATGATTCTCAATTGCAACTCTTCTTTTTTTCTTACCCATTCTTTTACACCTTTTATTGGCTCTCTTTGGAGGCGCAACAATTTCGTTTACACTCAAGGTTGGTACGCATGTCGTGGGGTCATACTTGAATTGAGTCAGTGGGTGAAAAATAAAAAAGCCCATAAATCATTTGTGAGAGCCGCGAAGTGGGTAACGGGGTGAAATTATGCACCCTTCCTCTTCCTAATACAGAAATCGAACACGCAACATCTTTAGAACGAATCTATAAATACATGTCATTCATTTTTAGATTGTAGGGCCATTTCGGTATTGATCTAACTGGAAGTTAAAACGTCGGTTTGAAAATGGACTGTGCTCTCCCATTGTCTCACCATCGAATGAATATATTCAATTATACTTGATATCCTTCATTAATATCTCAGCGGAAGATCAAGGATAAAATGAGTGAGATTGAATAGAGCGTGAAACCTTGAAACACTCCGTCAAGGAGAAACATTCTTTGCCGATAGCAACGCTGCCCAAAACTAATCTCATATCAGACATGTTCATTCGCTTCTTTTGAACTTTTATTGCAACTCCAAATCGCACGAAAGAGCTTCTCTATCTTTTCATACATTTTTTTTGTATACTGTGTATGATATATTGTGTTGTGGTGAAGAAAAGTTACCAGTGGTGTATCGTGGATTCTTTTGAGACTGCATATGATTTTTTAAATCATCAATCGAATAACAGAATATGTCAAAAGATTTTGCCAAATAAACTGAATGTAAAGAAAACTGGTAGGCATAAAAACATGCTATAGCTAAACACGGTCAGAAATCCAATGAGTATCCATCTTTATTGCCTTTTCTCCTTGATTGCGCACCTGACAATATAAAAAAATTATTCTGTGATCAAAAACTACACATCACAGTGATTATAATTGCATAAAATGAAGAGAACGACATCCAAGATTATTTGCCTTCGTCCGAGGAGAAATGCGATAAAGAATATTTCAATCTGACTAGATTGTGTTGGTTGATTTCAATGTATGAAATCAAAACCACTTTAGTTTAATCTAAATTATCTTCAGCGTCTCTCCCACTCTTTGGTTCTCGCATATCAACACGGAGAAAACTGCAGAAATTATGATTTACTGCTTCACTTAACTCCCTCTCGGCCAATGTGAAGAAAAAGACTGTCCAATTTTCTCTCGTCCGCTCACAATTTCTCATTCAATATAAACGTACACACAGACATCTGTCTCGGATATTCTGTAGAATATTTTTCTCGACATATTATTATTTTTATTATTTATTAAATATACATCAGGCTCTTTTTCAATATAAACAATCCCTGTTGCAGGGATGTTTACCGAGCTAAACAAATCCCGAAATTCCTATTCACGTTGGTTTTATTTTATTCTCGAATTTATTTTAATCCGTGTGACTTTTCTATGCAAATATTCTTCGGTCCACCGCTTCGGCCGGTTACAGCTAAAATCTAACCCATTTTGTACCAGTTGCTTGTGAAAATTCAAAGAGAGAATTTGGGTATCAATTGGTATTGGCGATTGAGAAAAGTGAATTGAAAATGTGCTTGGAATCGCATCATTCCCGAATTGAAATTCATGTTGGTTTGGATTTATTTTAGATCCCTAGTTTATTTTAATTCCGTCTCAACATAAATAACTCTATTCGACATGGTAGCAAATGAGAGAAGGACGAGAGAAAGAACAAGAGAGGGAGACAGAAGGTGAGAATTTTTAATTTAAATAATATTTGCTTATATATTGAGAAGAGATACAAGAGTACTGGGTGAAAGTTTCCGAGACTCTGCAAGCAATCAACAGGTGGTTGAAGGTAAAAACACCAATGAACGAGATTTCTCAAATAGTTTCATAGTTATTTTCATTGGGTTTCTTCTACTTCTTCTGAACATACTTCTTCTCCTTCTCTCTTAACTTCTTCGCACTCATTCCACATACATTTGATATGAGAATTCTAACCATAACCATAAGTATATCCGATAACTATGCATTTTCTAATGCAATATCCACCTTCAGGTTGAAATTCAAACTGGTTTTCCTCTCCCATTTTCCTCTTCAACTCTTTCACCATGACTCGAGATCCATTCAAAAAGTCTCGGGCCGAACAAGTGAGCTTACAGTCAGTAGTACAAAATTGCAATATGTGCAAATTGTAATTTTTATCTCTCCATCTCTGTCACTTCCTCTGGAGAAAAAGCTTACACTTCACTTGTGTCTCCAATTTCATGACAAAAATCCCCAGCTATAAAACATTCTTTCATATAGCAGAGCTGAGGGTGATTCCATTTCTAAAATTAGCTACAAATGCGAATCAGAGTGTCTCTTCGATCATCAATTGAGTCAAGCAATGAAAGACCGAAAAAATTTCAGTAATCTAATCTTGCACAATTGTAAAAAAAAACCATGCGGTGTATTAAATAATTTAGCGCCTTTTTCGTATCTATCAAAGGCATCTTAGTGGAAAATAGCCAGCAAATGGCTTCTTCCTGCAAATGCCGTACTCGAAAGTCATTCGACAATTATTATTTGTTTTGCTCTTTGTTGGCCATTTTCACGCTTTTCACTCTACAACTCTATTTAGCAAGAAAATTACGTCTTTAACTCAAGTGAGATTTGGTCAAGTTCGAACTTGTGATTAATTTACAATTATAGAATACATATAACTCAATGAAGAGTCAATAAATCACTGCTATTAAGTACATTGCTTTTGCGAAATTCCGTAGAAAATAGCTGCGAAAAGTGACCAATTGGTGACATTTGCACTTTGTGAGTTGTCTCTCGACCATATTTTGTCCCCGTGAATCGCGTAAAAACTTATCAAAAAAACCAATTTCCTTTACGTAATCGATTAACAATGAAAAGAATTGGGAGAGGCAGAGAAGAGTGCGAGAGAGAAATATTACATTTGGTGGCTGTTATCAAGGTTGAATTACTGGCCCACAATTGTAATAATACAAATCGTATACAATCGAATGAAAGGTTTTTGCGGTGCAAAGAGCCAAGAAGAGTGACAATTTGATTTGACAAAAAGTGTATCATCGTGTCATTTTTGGCTGTTCTGTGGCATTTTCAGTGCTGGAAAATCCAGCCCATCCCCAGAAAACCAATTCATTCTTCAGACTAATTGGCCGATATTGCTTTGCACGGCAAAATTGCCGTGTTTTTCTACTTCACATGTGGTCTATTTTGATAAAACATGCCCCAACATTGGAGATATCACAGCGTGTGTGTGCGACACTCTTATCAAGAAGAATGTCTTCGTCGTGGCCTTTTGTATTAACAAGAATTCACCCACAATTTTTCCTCTTATCTGTGGAAAATACACAAACGTTTCCTTTTCCAATAGGGATACTTTTTTAATCACTGTGAGAGACACACAGTCAAGTTAAACCCACTCGACGATGTCTCAGACATCAAACAGGTGGATTCTTCCAAGTAAATATTGAAATATAAATTCTCCAAAAATACTCACAGATTTCGGCATCTTTGCAGCTCTTTTTCTCCCTGTTTTCACTTCTTGTTCTTCTGGCGCGAATTCCTATTTCTCGCTTCTTTTGCTCGTCTTTTTTTTCTTGTGTCACACAAAACCCACACTCTGTGAGAAGCAATCTCTATCTGTAAAAAAGCAGTGAGAAAAAGAGAAGAAACGATATAATGACAAAAAAGTATAAATAGATTTGATGCAAGTGATTTTTTTCGTTTTGTTAATTGTACATTAATGATGCGATCACAACGCAAAAAAAGAAGCAACCTCAAAATGGATGGCTATTTTTGCGAAAAATTGTGGAGACTCTCTTTGTCCAATTTTGCAGACAACGACTGCGTAAATTTTTCATTTACAGTTTGCACATTGAGACGCATTTTTATGCTAAGAATCAATCATGAAGATATGCAGAAATGTATTATCATTGGCGTTTTTAGACGTCCGACCTTAACCGTATATCCTTCAATATTGGCATTTCTTTGTGGAATTCGTGATGATTCAAGAAAATGATGAGATCAGAACAAAATGATAGCTGTGACGCAGACGATAGTCTTATTCGCTTATCAATCAATTTATGTATTAATAGTAGAAAGGTTTTTCTGGCCACCGTGGCCAGATTTGAACCTTACTTAAGCCTCACTGTATGCGCCGTGTTCAATGTACTGATAATTGTTTTGAGATATGTGTAGACAATTGAAATGATACAATACCAAAAAGTTGTAAAAAGTTTATTTTTAATCCCTAATAAATTTTAAAATGAAACGTTGATGCTCTTTCTATCTTATATCTTTTTAGTGTTAAGTAAGCTTATAAACGCGTAACTCATTATCAAAATGATTCTTTGGTCTTTGGGGGTCTTCTGGACGTTTTTGCTATTTCGTCAAAATGAAAAGCAAATGGAAAAGCACTGGACAAGGTATTAGAAGAGCTTTTAGGCAGGAGATTGTGTCATGAGATTTTGCTGGTTATCAGACTCATTGCCATGAGTTCGATGGGCATTTTCACGTATTTATGTGACGAGTGTCTGCAGAATCTCTTTGATCACTCACGGGCGAATCGTATAAACACATGAACGGAATATTAGTCATTTGATGAATAAATTTTAGACAAAATCTGTAGATTGAATAAATTACTGGACGAGAAGGTGACTTTAATTATCATTGCGCCGCGAGATTGAGCGCTGAATTATTAATTCCTGGAAAGGAGTGTAAAATCACTTTTTTCAGTGATTTAGAGATCTTCGTTCTGTCACCATTTCAGTGCAATCGATGACGTTCGCACGTTTTCTCCGGCCATCTATTATTCGTTTGTTTGAAAGTGGGTGGAGCACCCAAAACTAGCCGGGGTGCTGTCAATAAGGGCGCCTTTCGACGGACTGGCGTGCACCAGGTCAGGGATTTTCCGTCTCGTGGCGCCCCGGAAATGTCCGGAAAGAGAAAAATTCCTCCGGATGACGCGCCGAGAAGACCATTTTGCTCGCTGTCTCGCTCTCGTGCGCTGTTGCGCAATGGTTGGCAAAGCGAGATGCACTGAGATTACTCTGCGATTTCCTTCCCCGTGATTTAACCACTCACACTCACTCACGCGCCTTCTCGCAGTGAAAATGACTGCTTTCCATGGGCCGCAGGTGGGAAAGCAACACGGTAGCAAGGAAAATGGGTGTAATGTGACTCATCCGCTGCCTTGTCGGCATTTTCATCCACCTCACTGACCTATTTAGGGGATATTTGCCCACTTTTCGCGGTGGATGACGATGCGACTGAGAAAAGTGCATTGCACGCAATTTTCACACATCTTACCTGCTGAAACGACCCACGGTGGGCGAATCACGGTGACACACGCGAAGGAAACTAAAAAAAAGAATGGGGAAAACTAAGAAAAATGTAGCTTTTTCACCAACTTGAACACCTCTCGTGTGCGAGAAAAACTTTTTCGGGGAAGACAAAATGTCACTGACCGCGACATCTGCGAGTGAGCATCGAACCATTTTTTTCGGGGTGCCGCATGAGAATTTTCGAAGGGGAAATGCCTGACATAACCTCACTTTGGCCACCGGAGTCAAAATAAAAACATCTGTGGTGGGTGCAGCTTTAGGCAGCTGAGCTACGTAGTGAGGATGAATATCATGCACAGAAAGGTAGCGAGATCAATGGCGGATGTCCTGAGGAGAAGTTCTACGCGATGGCTCAGTGTGCAGTGCTGTGGAGAGAATGAGAATTCCGTGACAATGAAGCAACACATTCTTGCGCAACAATTTCCCGGGAACCACTTGAGAGGCTTCTGCACTGTCCACAGTGATCCAATTGGAGCAGCCCTGATCGACGTGGTCACGTATGAAACCGTCTGTTCAGACACACTGGAAGGACTGTGCGAATACTTTGAACAGCTCGTCGAAAGCACGTCACACCTCAAATCCGGCGATGTTTTCTATTCTGTAAGTTTTTAGCATCGCCGATTTCTCCATCCTTCTTTCAATTCTCATGGTTTTCCAGGACGGTGTGTTGACTGTAAAACTAGGCGATAAGTATGGAACGTACGTGATAAACCGCCAATCGCCGAACCGACAGATTTGGCTTAGTTCACCTACAAGTGGTCCTAAACGTTACGACTTCGTTTCCGGAGGGAAGAACAAAGACGGCAAGTGGATTTACAAGCACGACGGAAGAAGTCTTCATGAGTTGCTGCAGAAGGAAATTAGAGAAATCGTACAGAGAGACGTGGACTTCTTTAATCTTCCGCACAGTGGATCGCCTCGAGAGTAAAAATGTCCAATTTCGACATTGAGAAAAGAACAGGTAAACTAATTATTTTCTTGCATTCTCAAAGAAAAGCAATTAAATATTGTCTCACGCAGCATTTTGTGCTTGAGAAGTTATGGAAATCCGCTTTAGGAGACTTTTTTGACACGGAGAAATAATTTTTTTTACACATTAATGCAAGGCAATGGGAAAAAGTTTAATGTGCTCGTAATAGCAGGATAATTCAGTTTTCCGGAGGGCATTTGGTCCAGAAATATCTTGAAAAATATTGAAGAGACAGCTAAATCACTATAGGTAAAAATATAAAATAGTAAGGTAAGTTTTATCCACTGCAAAAAATGTGGTTTCTACCGAGGTTTCTACAAAGGATTTTTACGGATTTTAAATTTATTTTAAAAAGTTAAACATCTTATTTTAGAAGGTAAAACAAAACATACAAATCGTTAAGATATTCAATTTGAAGTAAATTTCCCGTTTACAGCTCAATTAAGTATTTTATTCGATTCGTTTGGATTCTGCCTTGTAGAAGATTTTGAGATAAATTGAGAAAATTATAGAACTTGTGAGTATTTAAATTATAAAGCGAATTATACCTTTATTATTGAATTTCAATAATTTCAGGTCAGAAGAAATCAGTTTTGAAATACATATGTATAGATGGTAACCGATGTTTCTGAATGTTCTTGTGATATTTAATCGTTTCAAATAAGACCTAATTTCTCTTTTATAGTCATTCAATTTATATTTATACTGCAATCTAGTTGATTTTATGAGCTAATCTTAATATTTCATTTCAAATTCTATTTAAAAGAAAAACACCAAGAAAAAGCTCCATTGGTATTTCGAGAGATTAACCATTGCAGAGCAGTTGCTTGTGATGTGAAGTGAGATTCCAGATAAAGCCGAAGTGAGAGAAAATGAATTGCGGTAGGGACGAATAATAGAAAATTTTCATTTTATTATGTGGTGGATTTCGATTCGGCTGCAAATGATGATTCAATCCATCATGCCTTCGATACGGACAATGAAATCTGCTAGAATGGCATAGTAACAATCCGAAGAAATGGTCTGAGATTATTCGGAGATTGTCATGAAGTGCTTCATGCAAGAACTTTTGGGAGTCCATGGTAGAGTGGCAACTTTATTCCACTCTTCCCATCGAGAATGATTCTTCTTGTTTTTCTTTCACCCTCACCGGCAAGCGTTTCCCTGAAGACACTTGTCCAGATATTTGTCCATAAACGAAACATGTGCTACACGCATTTTGAAGCACGTCAAGCGGTGCGTGATTTGACTTTTTCAGCTCCTCTTTCTATGGAGCAGAAGACGATGATAAGCGGACACGGAGGATTTCCTTCCATCTAGTGGCGTGTGCTTCTTGGGAAATGTGATAAGGGAAAATCACATTTTATCTCTTCGCCATGGCAATTTAATTAAAATACCCTTTTCCACCATCTCACACCAAAATGTATGTTCTGTGGCGGAGCTTTTCAGGTTCCTTTATGAGCTTTCGAGGCTTTTCATTTATCATCTTCTAAAATACTCTATTAACGGCTTTGCGGGAAATTCAAATTGACCTTTTTAATTATGTTCGAATTCGCTTAATGTAGAAGTCATGCAGTAGAAGTCCTATGAATGCAATTTAAACCATGAATATGAATTATGAAGGAAGTCTAAAAATAGGTTAATAACGTTCGGGAGACTGAGTCGAAGATATGTCAGTTTCATTCAATCGATTAACCCGAAATTCTCTCGTCAATTGGAAGAAATTAACATTTATCATATTTTTATCAATTACGGAATTTATGTGTATTTGAAACGCCGTAATTGATCAATTTTTTATAAAGTTTGCCTTAAGAATGAACTGAACAAGATCAACAAGTGCTCAAAAATATACTCAAATCGTTTATTCCGTTTATTCCTTCCATACAAAAGTGCACCAAAACCCAATTTTTCGTGTGTACTCTCGTTCTATTTTTGAGTTTCCGAACTGGAAACACTCAGTGAGCGACGAAGAGAGAAGATATAAAAGGATTTCTATTCAATTCATTGAGCTTCTGAGTGGTGAGATAAGCGTGCAGGAAAAATTTATGTTTACCAATATTTTACGGCCTGAGCAGAGCAAATACAACAGGAGGAAAATTCAATTTCCTAGAAAGACGGTGATTAGCTTCGTCAGTGGCCACAACAAGGCAGTGGCAGATTGGCTGGAAGCCCGGCTATCACACACACTGAATCTTCAATCAATTTCAAATCTCAATTCATACGATTTCTCCGATTACTCGACTGATACCGTGTACCTGTGAGCTTTTCCCTCGCAAGATAATATCAAATCTACTCCTGGGCACTCAGACGTGTGCAGCTGAGCAGAAGCGCTCTTCGGGATTCAGGGCATCAACACACGAGAGAATATATCACTCTGGATGAAGTGCTTCCGCTGCAGAAATGGGAACCAAGGCGGACCGTGTGAGGATGTGAAATTGATACTAGAAACCATTTGAATTGAAATTCATTTCATTCTGATTAAATAGGGAGTTGATTTTCTGGGTGAAACACGTCAATTGAAAATTAGAAAAATTTTATCACTGACATAAATAAAAAAAAAACCTTTGCAGATTATTTAATCAACCGTTTTTAACCATATTCTGAAATTCAGCCTGAAAAAATCGTCACTATTTAATTAGGATTGTGAGAGAGATTCTGAAAGAGAAGAAGTTTGCTAAGGAGGAAAAAGTGAAATTTTTCGTCAAGATGGAGAGCTGTTGATTAAAAATGTGAGGCGTATTTTGAACAGAGAAAAGTAAGGGGGAAAATTGTAAGGAAGCTAAAGACAATTTTTAAATGGTTTGCCCTGCCAAAAAGATGATTTTGTGGGTTGAAGAAAAAGTCAAAAGTGTTCTTGCGTGGGAAAAGCGAGGTATGTATATTTTCATAATTCCCTGAGCCCAGCACTTGACGATGGGATTCCGTATGAAAATGAATAATTCATTTTCATACACACTGAGAGTCAAATTGCTGAGTCGTTTTGCGCTAGGAAAATGTGCGGAAAGCTTCGCAAGAAGTGGCTTGAAGAGGCGCGCAGAGAAGAAAAAACGAGTCATTTCTTATTACTCCACACAATATTCTTTAACACAGCACTACACATTAAATATTTATTCATAGAAGAGAGAAACACGAGATGAAGAGATATATTTTCTTATTTGTATAAATGTGTGTGTGTGCGCTTGAAAGCTCGTCAGGAGACAAAACCACGCACTTGATGTGTGATAAAAAGCTGAATAATCTCATTTACTCCGCATGAATAAATCCCGGGTAAACAAGACAATACCACAGACATGGCAGAACGAATATGTGTGAATATTTCGTATGTTCTCTCAACGAGAAGGAGGAAAAAGCGTGCGAAAAAGGAAAAAGCTCATTGAGAGCTTGATTGTAGAGATTTCTTTCGCTGGAATGCTTTTCTATTTTCATACACTTAGAATCGCAATTAATTGTCTCACTGTACTTCTTCCACGCTATTCTATACCGTTTTATTTTTGATGAAAGAAAACACCAATTTGGCAAGGAAGTGAAATGACAAACACGACGACAGTTTAGCATAAACCACACAAGCGACGAAAACAATTAAAATTTCCCTTGGAACAATGAAATTTTCAGTCAAATGGAAGTAAAGACAAATTAGAGAATTTTTGTTTGTGGATTGTGGAGTAAAGAGGTAATTAATTATTAATCGTAAAGTAGTCGCAAAAATCTGGTCTGCTTGTTTTGAATTTTGTTGAAAATCTGTGTCAAAATGCAGCTCAACCGGAAATTATGTAACTCTATGTGTGTGTTCAGTATTTATTATCCGCATTAAAACTGATATGAAATTTTAGTTAAAGAATCATGCAAATTAAGAATATGAAGTTTTATTTACTGCGAATTTCACCTGCTCAGAAAATAATCTAACGAGATGCTCGCATATTTGGTAATTTAATTTTCTCCCACCCAGTTTGTGGATGCGCCTGTGATTCCGATATATTTATATGTATATATACGAATTCTTTAAGTAAGAATAAAGTAAATGGGCTTTTCATATTCGAGTGACACACGAATTAGTCATTTCATCCAGGGGATCACTACCCTCCGCCTCCACTTTCCACTCCACGCCGAAGTTCATGCTCAGAATATGTGCTGCTGGGAAAATTTCCAAAAGCATACATATATACATTCTATGTGCCTAAATGGTGAGCACACTGAGGAGCAAAGACGACATGGAGGAATCATAATGTATGAGTTGTGTAATTGCTTCTCGAAAAACGACGAATGCCTGGCGGGTGGAAAAATATTTGTGTGAAATAAACTTGAGGCGAGGGGCGCTTCGAGGGGGAGAAGGGCGAAGAACGGGAGCTTTTTCGAGAATGAAAATTCATATTCTAATCCAACACACAAAAGTTTATTTATACTACGTGAAAGACATGGCTATGTACACATGATATTACACACTTCGTAACCACTGCTCCATACCTTCTATATTGAGATAAGATAGAAGTGGTGTATAAATAAAACAAACGAGAAGCTCATTTATTAAACCCTTCTCGCGTTTTCCCAATCCGCCGAAGCACTGCAGCCTCCCTAACTTTCGTGCAGAACAAATTTCAAGAGTCATCTTGTCTGTCGTCGTCTTTCGAAGAGATTCTCATCAACAGTTTGTTCAAAGAGATGATTTATGGAAATCTTCACTTTTAAGTTTTGTTTTGGCTCCTGCACATTGAACGTGTATAACGTGTAGGACTCGAAACACACACATACACACTTTGTTGCTTCACAATTATTCTCCATGGCTAAGAAAGATTATACATGCTTGTTTGGAAAGCATCCTTAAGATATATGCCAGCGTTATTGCTTCGTATGCATGGGGAACATCAAGAAGAGCTTCCCAAGGCACACGCAGAGGAAATATGAATATCGTTTCCGCACATCTTATATATGCACGGAAAGCAGCAGGAGAAGTGCAATATCAAAATACCGAAAATTGTAGGAAAAAATGACTGAAGAAACTTCTTTATTGCTCACTTTTATTGCACTCACTTTTATATTTGTATTCCTCCGATGAAAACTATTCGTGGAGTTGCGATGAAAACACCTTTGACGATGCTTTTATTGAAATTTTATTCTTTTATTGATTTTCATATATTTTTATTTGCATAACTTTGCAATTCTTCGCAATTTTTGTCGTTGTGAAAACGCTTTTCAAGATATTCAAATAGCGTAGAAACACAACGACAATATTCTAAATAAATAAAGAAAGAGCTGCGGATAGTCCAGATGTACATTAGAGGAAATTTAATAATTTCTTTTAAATATATATGCGTTTCTGTCGCAAATATGAATTTTATTAAAAAGACTTTTAGACAAATTATTTGCATCATTTATCTCAAAACAAGTCTAAAAGAAAAATTTAATGGCTTTTCATATATTACAGAGGTACGTGTGGTATTAAACGTTTTCCAAAAATAATTTCCCTAATTATTTTAGGGATGAGAAAATGAAGTGTGGTGAAAATGTTGAAAGTAAATTACGTTTGAAAGAAGTAGCTTTGTTCATTCCAACAGCAACCCAATTCTCGCAATTTCAGTCACAATTATTCAACACACCAATGCCTTTTTCCTCATCACATCCTCGAACTCTTCCACACTTTTGATTTTAACATGGAAACGAGGGTAATCTGTGCATGGTTTTCTACCGCGGTGCTTGTGTGGGCGCGCAAGCATTTTCCTCCCAAACCACCCATTCGTTGTGAAAGCTTCCCTCCACCGATCCTGTGATGGTTTTGTAGTGGGCAGAAAAGAGAATCGCCCATATACCATCAAATTACAAAGTTTCATTCTCTCATCGTGTTGGGAATAAAATATATTTTTATACAGCTTTTTCTACTT